TTATATCAAGGTTTACTTCCCCTATAATCCCTCATATATGTCTGAGTTTTGACAGTGTTTCATAAAACAATATTGGTTGTTCCGTACACTGGAATAATTTAAAGTTAATAATAATTCACATAATATGATGAATGAATATATAATAAATTTGTTTCAGTGAAAAGCAACAGCTCGTTATGGCCAGCGAATGCGGAGACAGCATGGCCGCGGTACAAGGTCTGTTGAAGAAGCACGAGGCCCTGGAGGCCGAGCTGGCGGCGCGAGGAGTGCGTGTGAGGGACCTCACTACTGAGGGAGAGGCGCTGCTGGCGGCCGGGAACCTACACGCTGACGCCCTGGCGCATAGACTACATGCATTACAGGTATGACTTGATGTACATACATTATTTTTAATTCAATATTGGACTTAAAAAATATTCAGAATTCCCATCTTCCTTATTTTTATGGTTATCCATCCATTAATATTAAATGGTATCTTATTTAATTTTGTCAGGCCAAGTTGGAGAAGCTGACCAGCCTAGCGGCTCGTCGTAAGGCAGCTCTCGTGGATAACTCCGCCTACCTCCAGCTGCTGTGGAAGGCGGACGTGGTGGAGTCTTGGATCGCGGACAAGGAGACGCACGTCCGGTCGGATGAGTTCGGGCGCGACCTCTCCACCGTCCAGACGCTGCTCACCAAACAGGATACGTTTGACGCTGGACTCGCGGCCTTCGAGCACGAGGGAATACAGAACATTACGTCCCTCAAAGAACAGCTTGTGGCGGCCGGACACGAACAGAGCGCCGCCATTGTTAAGAGACACGCGGACGTGATAGCTCGCTGGCAACGCCTGCTGGCCGCCGCCGCCGCCAGGAAACAACGCCTGCTGCAACTACAGGACCAGTTCCGACAGATTGAGGAACTGTATCTGACGTTCGCCAAGAAGGTAATATACATACAAATATAGCTGATTAATTGTCGTCATATAATCTTTATCTTTAATGTTTCATTATTCAACAGGCTTCCGCATTCAATTCATGGTTCGAGAACGCCGAGGAGGACCTCACTGACCCCGTTCGTTGCAACTCTATCGAAGAAATACGAGCTCTGCGTGATGCCCACGCACAATTCCAGGTAAATAAAAACATCATTAGTTTAAGAACTGTCATATGTTGAACAATGTTTTAACAATCGTGTTGTGTGGCAGGCGTCTCTTTCATCAGCTCAAAGTGATTTCGAAGCTCTGGCAGCTCTGGACGCCCAAATAAAGTCGTTCAACGTCGGCGCCAACCCATACACCTGGTTCACTATGGAGGCGCTCGAAGAGACCTGGCGCAATCTGCGCAAGATTATAGGTAGATACAACATTTTGAAACATTTTTATATCATTTTAAAACAAAATTATCCCCTTTTCCTCACTTCTCGAAGTATATTAAATAATAATAATAATGTTATATTCTGTCATCAGCGGAACGCGACGTAGAGCTAACAAAGGAGGCTCAGCGTCAAGAAGAGAACGATAAACTACGCAAGGAGTTCGCCAAACACGCGAACGCATTCCATCAATGGCTGACGGAGACACGGTGTGTATTATAAAGTGACTAGATTATAGTCAATAGAACCAAAAAATCTTGTTCAAAACTATTTCACCTTTTATTGAGGGTTGTGTCAATCTATCTCTTGGTTAATGATTGATAAGTGAACACTTTGTAACATGCGCTTGATGTGCAGGTACCGGCTGCTAGGCTGGGACGGGTAACGTATCCGAATGATGCGTGTTGTACTAAAATATTGTTTGCTGATTGGCTGAAAGCAAACATAAATATCAATAATTGGCTATTTTTTTTTTTTCTTATGTGAATTTGGTGTTTTGATGTTTAATCATTGAATTTAAGGAAAATGTACAGTTTGAATTTGCATAATGTAAATATTCTCTCTTATTAACACTTAGTTGTTGTTTTTATTTTTCAAAGTGATCACTAATTTCAATATCATTCATACATCGATATACATTACATTATCATATGATCATTTTCATATCTAAAATCTTAAAAATATACTTGTTATAATATCGGTTAGGCAAAGTTTTGTTCTTATAAATGTTTGAAGGTCATTATCAAAATTATGACACATCATCTCCATGGTTAAACCTCATGAACATCTATCATCGTAAACATATTCGTGTCGTTTTTACAGGAATGTTTTTATTAACAAATTTTGTACACTATTCAACAGAATAGTATTTATAACTATTTATATATGTGTAGTACATCCATGATGGAGGGAACTGGTTCCTTGGAGGCACAGTTGGCGGCGCTGAGGCAGCGGGCGGGAGAGGTACGCGCGAGAAGGGCCGACCTGCGACGACTTGAGGAACTGGGTATGTACCACTTATATATATTTAGATTGGTTATGATGTAACATTTACACTTAGTATTTCTGAATTAAGATACAAAGGGTTTTAAGTGGTATAAATAATCAGTGCATTGACTAACAGTGTCCTCTTTTGTGTTTAAGGTGCTGCTTTGGAAGAACATCTGATCTTGGACAATCGTTACACGGAACACAGCACGGTGGGGCTGGCGCAGCAGTGGGACCAGCTGGATCAGCTATCCATGCGCATGCAGCACAACCTGGAGCAGCAGATACAGGCCAGGAACCACTCGGGGGTCAGCGAGGACGCGCTCAAGGAGTTCTCCATGATGTTCAAACACTTCGACAAGGAGCGCTCCGGACGACTCAACCACCACGAGTTCAAGTCCTGTCTGCGGGCGCTCGGCTACGACCTGCCCATGGTGGAAGAGGGCCAGCCGGACCCGGAGTTCGAGGCTATACTCAGTAAGATTTATTGATATTGTAACATTCATTCACAAAATAACTCGTGTTAAACTATACGAACATGTTCTGACGTTATACTTAATCGTACACAGACGTGGTGGACCCCAACCGCGACGGTCAAGTGTCGCTGCAGGAGTACATGGCCTTCATGATCAGCAAGGAGACGGAGAACGTTCACTCGTCCGAGGAGATCGAGAACGCCTTCCGCGCCATCACCGCGCACCAGGACCGCGCATACGTCACCAAGGACGAACTGTATGCGGTGCGTATATATTACGATCAACATGTCACATGATTATTATATATCAAATCAACATATGCTTATCTATACTCTATTTTAGAACCTCACAAAGGAGATGGCGGACTACTGCGTGGCGCGCATGAAGCCGTTCGTGGACCCCAAGACCGAGCGGCCCATACCGAACGCTCTCGACTACATCGACTTCACTCGCACGCTCTTCCAGAACTAAACGCCTCGCTGTGTTGCCGCTCTTTGCTATAACTTATTAAACTCCACAAAAAAAAATCACTGTTTTTATTTGTCAACCTTCGCGATAGCGCTACAGATGCTGCATGTGTTGCATCCGGTCGCTTTCAATTCCGAAACTATCAGACTGAAGTTTTTCTACGCACTTGTGTTTTATTAGAAACTGTTTTTGCTGTTGCGCTATTTCAGAATGTACGGCGTGCGTTACGTTTAGATGTTTAAGTGTAACGTATCCTTAACGTATTATCTACGTGAAGCGTAGTTAAGTGTTTTACCAACTGGTAAATGAGTTAATGCAATGGGTATGAATTCCTTTCCTCTGAATCGAGCAGAGGAATACGAAGCTCCCGATATTTACGGATTTCTAATAAAATACACATTTCATACATGTCTAGTTTAATGTTAATCAGTGGATATTGCATTTTATTACATACATTGTGTGAGCTAATTATATTGTAAGCTTAAATTTACATTTATTATTCGCTTATCATTATTCTGAGAATTAATATAATAAATCTTATTGTATTTTTAATAGCATTTTAATAAATATATTTATTCCCCAATCGTAAGTCTTTCTTTTCATAAATATTTTAACCCAAATAATTACATTTGTTACAAAAACATTCTTTTATACAGTATTTTGAGGGAAATCATTATAGATTTAATATAAATGTACATAACATTTCAAACACATTCATATTTAATGTATTAAGAAACAGTGAATTGATAAAAAATGCAATTATTTTCGTTACTCTTACCCAAATGATGAACAAAATATTGCATTGATATTTTTAATCAAAACTTATTTAGCACTTTCCAAATAATTCTTAAGTTATCCAATTATTTATGTTCCTGGCATAAAAATGGTAATAACATAACACTCACATTAGGAACACAACAGTATGTAATTAAATATTTACATTAGCATAATGCTTCATTTATACAACTAGACCGTGCTAGTCTATATCAAGGATGTTGCGAACATTCGCATCCACAATTGCGGAACATCCGCATTGATTTGGACATCTGCATCCACATTAATCAATGGGGATGCGATATTGTACAAGTAGCGACAGGGCTGGTGATATGGCGTGCGGGTCGCACGTGACAATGACCAATGGGAGCGAAGAAATTGGTGACAAGATTCGACACGTTTGTTTGTTCTAGCTGAGGCATCATTTGTTTCTTGCAAGTAAATAAATATTACGTGTATGCGCCGTGAAGTGAAAGTTAACTGTACTGGGCAGTGTTCCTAGCGAACGACTATATAGTTTAATTTACAAACCTCTGCGTAACAAACAGCCTTAAATCAGAACAGGCGGCAATACAACTTTTTTATCAAGTATAACGCTCTTATTTTTAATTTCAATTACTAATATAAAAACCAGTAGGTGAAGTTAAAAAAATAATTACATTATACATTACTTATATTTAACATAAAAATAAGTACTTATGTTTGATTACAATAGAAATGTTAATAATTATGATATTGAATAAATTCATCATTAAATAGATTTTATTTACATAATATCTTAGACATCCGCAGCCGCATCTGCGGATGTGAGCCTGCAAAACTCCGCATCCGCATCGATTGATGTGAAAAACTCGTCGTCCGCAACATCCCTGGTCTATATACAGGTCAAGATGCGAGACATACACTTCTCAAGTCCATAGAGTTAATGTCACTGGTCAGTTGTTATGTCTGCGCCCGCTGCAGCAGGGCGTACTCCTCGGGCGTCACGTGCTGTCTCAGTCGCTGGAGCAGCGAGTCCGGCAGCGGAGCCCGAGGGGGCTGCAGGTGACGGACGGACAGCAGCTCGCGCACGGACGGACGGGAGCGGGCGTTGTACGTCAGGCACCACTTCAGACTAGATATCAAAGACTGAGGCAGATCTGTTGAATGATAATGAAAATGAAAAACTTTATTATCAGCAATAACTCAATGTTAACAGGGAACACAATTACAAACATAACAAAATCTTGCTGAAGTGATAACATGGCGCGATGTCCAGGGGCGTCCACACTAAGCGAGCTTGTGTCGTGGATGAGTTATTTACGAATAACTATAACAAGTTTCACCTACGGTAGACGGCGTGGTCTTTATAAAGATGTTACAAATGGCTCAAAAGTATTAAATCATAAATATAGAAAGAAAAAGATACAAAAACAAGTAAATAAAATGGAATGACATAAATATATAGTAATTATTATTACGATAACAAAATATTATATATACATATATATAATAAAGTAAATATAGGTACAAGATATAAATATAATTATCATGAATCTGATATCACGATTGTACGATAAGATTTTTTTCTGTATTTTCATAAGACAATGAAAGTAGCCCAATTATGGAGAACCTTTTTAGCTTCATTTAAAGTGCAACGGTTTATGTCACATATGCTAGTTACTTTATTATATACAAAGTTGCTAATAAAAGGATTGAAACGTCGTGCAAAGGATGAGTTAACGGTTGATACTGGTACTTTAAAAATACGACGCTTCAACTTATTAGAATATTCATAAGAGTTTTCAATAGCTTTATGAACAGATAGAACAGAACAGAACAGAGTAATTTTTTGGATGAACAATTGACGAACACTGAGTACTTCACTTTCTTTATAAACAAGATCAGTTAGATATATATACGGCCTACGCAATAGTACTTTTAAGACGAAACGTTGGGATCTTTCTAAAATTAGCATGGAGGTTTTAGAAGCGCCACCCCAACAGCTGATACAGTAACTCAAAATTGATTGACATAGGGCGTAGTATATGGTTCGTAGGGCGTAGTATATTGTCAGTAATAATTGATGAATTTAACATTTATAAAAATAATACAGCGTGACTCTTAGTCAAACAAATGATATTGGGTTTTGAGCTCTATGTGATAATTAATTCATTCATAGTTATGTTTGCGAATGTTTAATGTTTTGTAATCAAGTCGTACTAACGTTCTGCGGGCGGGTAGTCGATGCGATGGTTGGGGTCGAGGATGGCGGTCAGCTTGGCCAGGTTGGGGATGTGACCAAACGGGGTGCGGCCGTACACCATGCTGTATAAGATACACCCCAGAGACCACACGTCTGAACGGAACGAGATCTGATAATATAAACAGATTATAAATCAATGGGCTTAAATAACAAATTAAAAGCTAATGTGTTTGTACATTCAGTCTGACAGAATTGAACACATGGAAAAGGAATATGCTGTGCATACTCGTTTCGTTGTTTTTAATATAGAAGCAATATTCGTTTAAAAAAATTATTCATAATTCAAATTGAAATTATAGAAAGATAAAAACGATCCACACGAAGTAGGCCAGTGCAGAAGCCTTTAAAATTAATGAAAAGTGACAATAAATTATAGTAGAATGAAACTCATTAGAAAAGGACGATAATATTATAAAAATTAAAGGAAAAATAATTTACGGGCGATCTGAGGTCGGGAAGGGTATGGGGGTGAGTATTTAATGGTAAAAAGTGGGTTTTCTCGATTTCCGGCAAAACTTAAAGTCCTACGGAAAAATGTTATATGGCAAAGTTGTAGGTCCCTAATAAAAAGATCTCCTAAAACTTTTGTACTAACATTTTTTTCACATAACCTCAAAATTTATGTGAAAAATTCAGAAAACCAAGTTTTTGGTTTTATATTTTTATCTCTTACAAAAAACAATATTTTGTCACGAGATTTGGTGAAAACTTTCCTTTTAATGTTACAAATGCACTATAATTTATTTGATTAGAAATATTTATTTTTTCAGCTTATTTTGAATAAATATCGAAAAATCAGCCTCAGCCTTTTTCTTCACTATCGGAAAAAAGAGATTTCAACGAACAGAAAACACACCAAATTTTTGAAAATAGCTGATATTTTAACGGGTGTTTTTTTGATTGAAAATGAGGCTGATTCTTCGGTATTTATTCAAAATAAGCTAAAAAAATATATATTTCTTATCAAATAAATAATAGTGCATTTGTAACATTAAAAGGAAAGTTTTCACCAAATTTCGTGACAAAATATTGTTTTTCGTATGAGATAAAAATATAGAAACCAAAAACTTGGTTTTCTGAATTTTTCACATAAATTTTGAGGTTATGTGAAAAAAATGTTAGTACAAAAGTTTTAGGAGATCTTTTTATTAGGGACCCACAACTTTGCCATATAACATTTTTCCGTAGGACTTTTAGTTTTGCCAGAAAATCGAGAAAACCCATTTTTAACCCTTATATAAGCACCCCCATACCCTTCCCGACCTCAGATCGCCCTAGAAATTATTTTTCCTTTAATTTTTATAATATTATCCTCTTTTTCTAATGAGTTATCATTCTACTATGATTTAAAAGCTATCGGCATTGGTCTACAGAGTATTCGAACATGTTACCTCCAGAACATCAGATCAAAAATATAGTTTACATTTTCATTTAAAACTTTAATTGTAATGTAAAACAAAGTATCTTGTACGAATTTTTTGAAATTGTATCCTTAAGACGTATTATTGTGTGTAAGTGTGTTAGTATGTGCATGTAATGTACCTATCCTTGTTAAATTGTAGACATATACTATTAAAGTAGTGTGAAGGTATGATATACCTTAATATTGTCGCTGCCCCCGTAGCCGCCCGCGCCGCCCATGAGCGCTTCAGGGCTGATGTACGAGTACGTGCCGGCCGCCTGCGCGCGGACCACGCTCGTCGCGTCGCTGCTGATGGCGGACGCTATACCAAAGTCGATCAACTTTAACCGCCCGCACACCAACAGAAAATTCGCGGGCTTCAGGTCGGCGTGGATCACTCCTGAAATATTATTGGTATATACGTGTTAAAGGTGTATGGTTTAATTTAGAATGTGAGGAAACATGAGTAATGAAGATACGTGAGAGCGTTGTGATAGTTAATTTGTTACTAATCTTTATATATATAATTCTTTTGTGAGTGTGTATGTCACTGAACTTCTCTCAAACGACTGGACCGATTTTGATGAAATTTTTTTTGTGTGTTCAAGGGGATTTGGGAATGCTTTAGATTCACAATAATGTCCGCTGGACAATGTTTTATTAATTAATTTTTAATTTATTAGTAGTTGTTGATACAAACGTTTTTTTTTGACATTAGATTTGACAACTAACTAATATGTCAATCATTCTGTCGCACTTCAAAACACGGAGATTTATGGCTTTGATAAAATTTTAGTAAAATCCAAAAATATAAATAAAAAACGTAACAGATATTTCTTGACTATAGGGCGATACGAAAGTTCACCGGGTCTTCTAGTATGTATTTAAAATTTTACAGGACGAGTGGACTGTATCACTCATACCCACATAATTATGAATGTAACTAATATTGACTTCTAGTAATGCGAGCCAATATTGCTATGTCTCATCTTAGACAATAATAATAAGGAATTAAACGAGTAATAAGTTAATAGTTCTAGTACCATGTTCATGTATATAATGTACAGCATGCAGCATCTCCTCCCAGTAGTGTAACACGAGCGCGGGCGGCAGACCGGCGCCGCGCGCGCGGAGGAACGAAGACAGGTCCGTCTCACCGACCTCAAGCACCAGACGGAGGAATTGGTTCTGACGGTCGTACTCACTGCCGGGACATACAGATATATATTAATATATGTTACATATAGAGAACAACATGAAGACATACATAAAGATTTGTTAACATAAAAAAAAAATTGAAAATAAAGAGTGAATAGAATGATAGAATCCAAGCCTATTGTACATGGAATTCCACTTTAACAAATATATAATTATATTTATTTAATTTATTAATAAATTTAATGGTAATTTAACTCTTATCAGGTCACAAGAGATTTATTTTTATAGCAATGTCAGATGCTAAATATTAAAGTAAAAGCTTTAACTCCTGCCATAAATTAATAACTTAGTCTATATATCCAAATTTAAATTTTAAGCTCAACAGCATAAAAAAGCCAAAATATATATTTTTTCTTTTATGGAATATAAAACACTCACTAGTCATAGAGCCTGATGACTCTGTCCGAGTTCTGCAGCTCTCTTAACAATCTCACTTCATTGATGTAGCCCTGAGCTAACTCCTGGTCTATGGCCAGATGGACACATTTAACAGCATATTCACTGGATGTTCCTACTTCTAACACCTACAACAATATATACATAAGATACAATATCATATATAATTTATTTTCCATTTTTATTGTCAGTACATGGAAGGGAATCCATTACCTTATATACTTCACTGGACCCACCGGTACCTAGTTTCTTAATGTACATATATTTCTTATCTTTTATACTTGTAGTCTTAAACAGTATCTTGGAGTTATTTCCGATCACACCCTGTGGATATGATGGTGTAGCTGCGTAGGAAGCCGGCATGGGTTTTCTGTTCAGAGGAGTTTCCGGCACTGGTACCATCACTACTGGAGGTGCCGAAGGCTTGGGAGGTGGAAGTGGGTCTTGCTTTTGCTGATTATGTCTGAACAACTCGCACCTCACTTTATCTCTGTTCTGAATCACCGTCTGCTGCGGCGTCTTCTTATGACTCTGTTTCGCCGAGCCTGGCGTGAATTTCCTTATACCAGTCTTGATTTTTGGCGTTGCTGTTTTCTGACACGTATTAGACACTTTTGATTTCACAGGAGTCTTTTTATGAACTGAATTGGGTTTATTATTTTGAACCTTTATATTGGTATCCTGGGGCTTTAAAACAATGGGCTTTTTTGCCTCGGCTTCATTATATACGTTTTTATTCGTAATTTTTCGATCCTCTTGCAATTGATTAAAATCTTTACCCGAGAATGTCTGATTCTTAACTTTGTTTTGGGAATAACATTCTTTATTTTCGTCATTTTTTGTTATTTTTCTTTCGGATGCAAAGGCTCGGAAGTTATTTTCTTTGTTCGCCAAAACTTGAGGAGTGGAAGATTTGATTGTAAGTTGACATTTCTTGGGAGCAACGGATTCACTAATTGAATCATCGCTGTCGTCAGTAGTAAAACTTGAATCTGGAGTATTGGATTGAGTCTGTAATGGCATCAAATTGGCCAGTAATGCCGACATAGGCATTGGCGCAAATTTGATACTATTTGATGAAGACTCAGTATTGTTATTCATGATCACAGTATATGTTATACATTTGGATTTAAAATTCTTATAATTAGTATTAAACTAACACCAAAACACACTTTAAAAAAACATTGAACGTCGGTTGAGATATTTGAATTATGACAGTTGTTTACATCGTGATAAAAGTGACAAGATAAATGTTGCCAGCCAAAGGATAACTGTAAACAATATCACCAATACAATACCCATAGAAAATTGAAAATTCAGCAGTTTTACTTAAAATATTTAAAAATGGAATATGAATCTGAAAATGAAAACAATGTTTTAAAATATTAGATATATCAACAGTAAGTTTTTTTATTCAGTGTTCGAAATATTAAAAACTTTTTAAATAAAAATTTGAATACCGCTTACTTTTTAAGTTTTATTTCTAATTTTATTTCATATAAAAATAGTTAAAAAAAACTTCTTAAGTTAACCGGTTCTACGTGAAACATACATTGCAATGTTTAAGATAAATGTACTAAAAACCAAAAAATAATAATATAGATACAGTAGTGGGAATTATAAAGATATGCACAGACTAGACTAAAATAAAACCGTGGGGCACGTGAATTGTCTAGAATCGTTGATTAAAATGTTTGTTTTTTAATGTTACACTATAATTAGGCAGTTGTAATTTCCATGAACAAGAAAATAGTAAGTAATTTCCTAGTTAGTTTATTGCAGTCCAACTCCTCTAAAAAATTGTTATCAGCCATTTGGTAGCGGCGGCCAACTTAGATTTCAATTTAGCATAGTAAATTGTATTCTACTTGTTGAGACCTTGCATTTGATACCCATGTTGATGGGATTGATAAAACCTACGTTATCCGCCATTTTGTAGAGGCCGCCATTTTGGATTTTAATTTTATATAGTACATTGTATTGTACTGGTTCAGCACTTTCATTTGATACCCAATACCTATATTGATGGGATTGATAAAACCTACGTTATCCGCCATTTTTTGGCCGCCATCTTGGATTTCAATTTTTTATAGTACATTGTATTCTACTGGTTGAGCACTTTCAATTGATACCCATATTGATGGGATTTGTAAAACATAAATTATCCGCCATTTTGTAGCGACGGCCATCTTGAATTTATAATGTAAATGAATAAACATAATCGTATTGTCACCAAAATCCAAAGTATATATGTAGAACATTTCAGATTAATCGGTTAACAGGAAGAGGGTGAAATTTGAATTACTAAATTTGACCCAAGAATAAATAATAAAACAAACGGGGTGAGCTAAGTAAAACCGTTTAAAAACCATTAATAGCTGGGACTATAAAATAACAAGACCATGAAATTTTAGTTAAGTAGCCTAAAAGTTAAATGAAAGTAATATTTTCGGATTTACTACGCGATTTTTTATTTTTGACTATAAACTACATTCTCCCGACGTTTCGGCTACTTTACAATAACCGTGATCACGGTCACATCTCGTCTGCCCGTGATTGAAATATTTGATAAACTAGCAGCCCGCCCCGGCTTCGCACGGGTACATACATACATACACCCTTCTTTTTTGCGTCGGGTTTCAAAAAAAAAGTAAAATTATAAAGGAAGTTTGAATTTTTTTTTCATGATTTTTTTATTCATATTTTTTTAAATGTGTTTTTTTGTATTTTTTATTTTTAAATTTTATACAAATATCATATTATTTACAAAACAAAAGCCATTAGTTTTAGTGAGTTAGGGCTTCCCTGTAAACGATATTTGAAGTACTTTTATTTTGTGGCAGCAAAATAAAATTGATTTTCAGGAGCTCCGACACGTGATAGGCCAACGTACGGTTGGCCATGAGTGAAACATTCTTTTCGTAGGTCGATCCCTAATAATTCGAAGGTTTGGCCTTGGGACTTGTTAATAGGATCATTTATGTGTGTATGTTACTGAATTACCAATATTCATTCCATACAACGTATTTAAGTAATAGAAAAAATAAAGGCTAGTACTTTTGTATCTTTGCAATTTGACGAATCCACGGACATTGCGGGTTGTGCGCAGTTTGTAGCTTTTGTGCGTTTTGAATCCAGCGATGAATTAATAGAAGAAATACTATTTTGCAATGCCCTTCCCACAAATACTACAGGTCAGTGTTTGCATAAGATGTTCCTTGAAGCTACGCAATATATGAATATCGATTGGGCAAATAAATGCATTGCTATTTGCAGCGATGGAGCAAAAGCGATGACTGGTGCGAAGAGTGGATTTATTGCTAGGCTAAAGGACCGATGCCAAACGCTTGTTGGGTGCATTGCTTTCTCCACCGCCAAGCACTTGCGGCCAAAGCCTGCCCACAGGAATACAGCCAAGTTCTAAATATTGCTATAAAGATTGTAAATTCTATTAAAGGAAAAGCGTTGCAGACACGATTGTTTCGGATTACTTGTGAAGATATGGGGGCACTCCACCAAAATTTACTTTACCATACAGAGGTTAGGTGGTTGTCAAAAGGTAAAGTACTGGCCGGAATTATGGAACTTCGTGCAGAACTTTTAATATATTTACAGCAGGTCAAGTCAGAATACTCTGAATTCATTTGCGACCCAGAATTTCTTTTGAAATTAGCTTTTCTTTCTGACTTATTTGATCATTTAAATATCTTGAATAAAAGTCTTCAAGGGCGAAATGAAAATGTCATCACTGCAAAAGACAAAATACGTGACTTTACAAAAAAAATTGACTTGTGGTCGTCGTCTTTGAACCAAAATAATTTTGATGCTTTTTCGTCGACACAATATTTTACTGAAGAAGTCGGTTGTGAGGTAAACATCAAGACATATATAACTGGTATGAAAATGGTGTTAGATAATTTGAAAGAAGATTTGTGTCATTATTTCTCAGAGCAAGAGATATCGGAGAACACTGGGCAGAGGTGGATCATAAATCCATTTTTAAATGCAGCTATAAATGAGGCTAGTTTACCAAATAAGCTCAAAGAGAATCTGTTAGAAATATCTGCCGATGGGATGTTACACCTGGAGTTCAAGTTTTCTAATTTGGATACCTTTTGGCTAATGAGAAAAACAGAATACCCGGAATTGACAACTGAGGCTTTGAAGTGTTTGATTCCATTTGCCACCTCGTACTTATGTAAGTTGACATTTTCATCGATGGCCCAGATAAAAGTATACAAAGAAATCGCTTAAAATTGGAAAACGATTTAATTCTAAGTGTCGCAAAAACAGATCCACGATGGAAAAAAATAATCAATAAGAAACGAGCTCAACCTCGTCGTCGTATTTTTTGTTTATAAATTATAACATATTAAAATGTTTAGGAGTTTGTTATGTTATGTTGTTTGTTATATCCTTTTGTTAAAATTATCTTACAGTAAGAGTAATTTTAAAGTTAGAGTCTTACTTAATAAATAAATATTAATTGTCTTTATTGTTTTTTTTTTCTAAAGTACCCGACCTCTGGCGACCCCCCAATAGAAGCTTCGCGACCCCCCAGGGGGTCGCGACCCACAGATTGGGAATCACTGATCCATATTGAACGTACTTCCTCCCCAGTGACGTGAGCCCACATCGCATGCAGGCTAGCTGAGCGCGGTGACCGGCATCCACGCGACTTTTTTCAAATACTTGCATTTTTAAACTCGTGATATCTTCCGAATGAAATGTCCGAATTGAAAAATTAAAAAAGTTATAAAAAGGTATTTAAGCCGTCTTGATTATAAAGCAATTTATTTTGATAAGGATTAATATCAAGGTACAAATAAAGAGCCTTTTTAAGCGGCTGCATATAAATTAAATGTTTAGAATAAAATACCGCTTATTGTAACATATCTATAATATTTAGACATATGCTGTCGCGACACTTTTTGTAGATAATGATGAGTTCTGCAAAGTCGTAGTAAATGATTTTGTTCTATCATCAATAGTTTTCGCAGCGCACGCGACGTAGGGAATTTTTCAGATCATTTTTTTACACCTTGGGTTACATTATTGGAATTTTAGTAAGGATCCATAATGTTTTTTTTTTAAATATATAGCTTATATTACTCGAGAATAATGTAGCCTTCCAAAGATGAAAGAATTTTTGAAATCGGTCCAGTAGTTTCGGAGCCTATTCATTACAAATAAACAAACAAATCTTTCTTCTTTGTTAATATAGACAAGCTCGATTTTTAGAAAATTATATATTCTCTTTTGATAAAATACCTCATTACCTGTATTATTTATGTTAAGATTAGATAAACTTTCACAATGCATCTCTTCAATTATTATCATCTTTTTCGGAATTATGTATAAGGCATTAAATCAAAAAAAAGCTCATGGTTATTCCCTATTGTATATTTCTATTTTTCGCAAATGTAGAAACTCGTATATATCAGAAAAATAAAAACCAATTTATATGTATATTCATTCGCCTCATAAATCTAGATAAAATGACCGTGTATATTGTGACGAACACATTTGTTGAATAGTCAAGACGAGAAAAGTAAAAATTGTGGGTATCCACGGATGTTTGTTGTTTTTCATGCATATACTACTAAACAGAATTTACAGAAACTATGCAGTAATGTAGCTAAAACATCATGATAAGAGAAAGACTATAATTTATCCAAAATATAGTAGATAAAAGATTGGACGTGTAGATGTCGCTACCGTAAGGTATTGTCTATCACTTTAGTACATATTTCTCTATTATCCGTGTGATAATCATCAAATTCACGAAGTTAAAGGAACCGAAAGCAAAAATCTTATAAGAATAAAATCTTACACGATAAAAGAAGAGCTCTGACGAATGTTTCTCATTGAGGTAAACCAAATCTGAGACCGCCTCTCTACTAATCAGGTGATTTTATTTATAATTTTTCCAAATATAATATCAATTTTAAGTTATGTTATTATAGTGAATGATTTCGTATTGAATAAATAATACAACAGTGATTTCTAAATGTTTAATGAGTAATAATTATTATTTAGTTATATTTATGTTAGAGTTATATTCCATATAATACAATGTCTCCTTATTAATATGTATAATAACATTGAGTATCGCTATGTATCAGACTCTTCCATCTTAGTTGGGTATCTACAGTCGGGTGACTCGCACTCGCATTTCATCCATTTTGACTTCACTGACCAAAATTTGTCTCCATAGTCGAATCTGCAACGAGAAAAATAAAAAAAAATCATGTTAATATAAAGTAGATATGATGAGAAGTCTTATTACAATAGTAATTGTGTTTTTTACTATTTGTATGTCACTCATTGAGTGAAAGAAAAGTGTTTCTATAAAATATTTTATCCATCGTCAAATATGTGATGTCCTCGTGACCTCACAGAACGATTTAATACGTTCAAGGGACTATGAAATTTTAGGAGTATGAAGTTTTTTCTATCGCCAGTAAAAATACACTGTACTAGATTTAAATTCCTCGATGGATTCCTCGTTCTTAATATTGATATTTATGAATATAATGTAGTAACTCAATTTTTGATGTATGCAAGTCTATCAACAATTCGTGTACTTACGTTAGCTCATCTCCGGGCGCCAAGTCCCTGAGAGCGAAGAACGCGACGTGCGGCAGGCGGAGGTCTCGACCCGACGTGAACACTCTGACGGGCGCCGCGGACGGCCGGCAGCTGTGGTTCATGAACCGGGCCGCGCTGCCGAAACGACACGCGTCCACACACAACAACGTCTTGTCACTGCATTGCTGGAACATAAACATACATTTAATATATAGAATGAATAGGTATATAAAATGTCGTCTCTCTGAGAAGAACAACTTATATATTCACAAATCAGTGTGATAGATACCCCAGGGTCAATCTGAGACCATAACATTAAAGCAATTTACATTTACTTCTCACAATTTTGTCTTAAATGTTACTGTAATGACGAGATAATACATTAAATACATATAATTCTGATGTACTATATATAATGAATGGATTGGGAGCTGTATCGATACATTCTGGAGCTTCGAATTTTGTTCGATTTAAATTCTATATTTTTATATCCTTTCTTAAGTTAGGTTTTAAGTGTTCTTGTATTTGATTGTGTGTCGTACACGCACATATGTATATAAGTAAACAGTTAGTTACATATTCTTTGTTTAAAATGTGTCACATCTGTGTATCTCATATTCTTTGATATAAATCATGTATAAAAGTCGAATCATTGCATATGTAAATCAGTGTGTCTTATTGTACTCTCTCGGAAATAAATCGTGAACTAGTTAGTGTCTTCTTTATCCTCAACATTCTAAGCCCAGCAATCATTGGTTAATATATTCCTACCTCCAGTAAGTCAGGCTTCAGGTCCAATGCGAACATATACTGATCGTCTGTCCGCGCGTCCGCTCGCTCGCTAGTGATGAGCTCCCCCCGGTACAGCGCCACCAGCTGCCCCCGGGACACGCGCGACATCACCCGGAGCCCCCAGCCGCGGGACCGGGTCCGGAACACCTGCACCGGGGTGTTCAGCGACCCCGCGCTCTCCATACGACCAACGACGCGGTTCGTGCAACGTTTCTGTGATAACGAGGTATTATTAACACTCAGACATCTGTACACTTAGCATAAGTTTACAACATCACATAGAGCGTTTTCAGGTTCTAATATATAAATATTCGAATATGATAGAATTGACATAAGTGTATGAATGAAATAACTGGAAATACTACGCAGTGCCGGCGTTAGGAGAGGGCGCGATGGGGCGACGGCCCAGGGCGCCAAATTTGGGGGGGCGATTATTGGGCGAAGATGGTAGATGGAATATAGAATTATAAATACACGTTCAGTGTTCACATTGGTTCAGAAAAAAAATTATACTTGATTTTGATTTGTTCAAGTGGGCGCCAAAATATTCTTGCCCAGGGTGTCAGTCCCTCTAACGCCGGCACTGGTACTACGTATGAAGTGTAGATACAAACTGGTCTCACCATGTTACAGCCGCACGTGTGGTTACACTCGAACATGACGGGCGGGTCGTGGTGGGGGAAGGCGGGCGGCAGGCGGCCGGCGCGGTACCAGCGGCGCACCGACAACACGCAGCAGCCGCACTCGGCGCCGCACGACCCGTCCGCACACTCGCAGCCCTACACACACACACACACACACACACACTGACACAGGCCCACAGAAACACGTGTCACGTGACTACACGACAGAAACTATCAATATACTTATTTCAAGGATATAATATGTGGAATTTAGGATTACATAGTAAAATATATCGACAGACAGACCCTGGCTTAAGCTATTAAATTGCCAGGTAGAAGAAGAAGTAAAAAATATTGCTCTTTGATTTTCTGAAAATTTATCATAGTCCGTTCTTTAGTTTTAACGTGCAACCAACATACATACATCCTTACCGATTTCGGTTTTATAATACATTATATTTTTCACGTCTACACATGAGTATCACCTGCATGGTCTCTATGGTGTTGTCTATGGTGAGGTGTTCAGTGAGCACATGCTGTGACACGTACGTGAAGGGGGCGGGGGACGCGTCGTCCACCTCGTTCACCACACTCACGGGGTAGGGCTCGCGGCCGTTGGACAGGTCACTGAAGAACACACAAGTCATCAGAATCTTACAAAGAGTTGACTTTATAAGCTATTAATACATACCTGGTGATGACCTTGACCCGTGTCATAGTGTCTTTGACCGCGAGTGTCATCTGCATGTTCATAGAGATGGCTTCGTGACACGGACCGCTGCACACCTCCACCGGTAATTCACCCGACGAGTTCTCTATGTCCGTCTGCAATAAACTATACATGTAGAAACTACTATTCCATACATACAATTAATGTTCATGGAACACTAACCTTTGCTCCGTGGGCGAGTAACACGACCACGCATGAGTAGTGACCCTCGCGAGCGGCGATGTGGCTGCGATAATAGAAACTTGTTACAATACTGTACATGTGTTAACTTGAAATATTTATTTTTTTATTTTATTTAAATAGGTTTACACCAATACAATGTAGAATAGGTATCTATAATCTAGGGTACAGTGTAACAACTACTTACAGGTAAAATCCGCATGCACACAAATTTAAATAAGTCTACTTTAAAAGACTATAGAAAAAAAATTTTGCCACTACAAAAAGTACAAAGTTCGTAAAAAAGAAAAAAAAAGCTTACAAATAAAATGCATAGAAACAATGAAAATCACAATTAAAGAAATTAATACATGTCAACAAAAGAGCCATAATATAATTATTTTTTTAAACAATTTTGTATAGTTTTACAAAAATTTAATCGAGAATCAAAGTGTAGGTAAATCTATGTCATTACTGCAACTATTAACTATGTTACATAATCTTGAATAAGGTGAATTGGCCCTTAAAACAGTTCTACTTCGTGGTGGACAAAGTGGGGTAATCGGGTGACGAGGAATTCTTACGGGTACTCTTAAATTAAGAGAATGGACACGGACAGTCAATTTCTTCAATAAAAATCTTATAAACAAACATCGCATCAATGACATTCCGGCGTTCTGATAGAGAGACCATATTAAAATGAAGCAAACGACTTTTGTATGATTTAATGGTTTTATGTAAGCGAGCCGAACAGGATAAATGCCATAGGAAACGTTTTTGCACACGTTCTAGTCGCAAGATATGAGTGGCATAGTGAGGACGCCAAACAACACTACCGTATTCCAAAATACTACGAATGAGTGTATTGTATATTAATATTTTTGTTTTAGCATGTTTAAATGATTTACAAGTTCTTAAAACAAATCCGAGCATTTTAGATGCTCGCTGAATTGTATCGTCAATGTGCAAAGAAAAGGTTAGTTTTTGATCATACAATACACCAAGGTCGCGAATACTATTCCTTTCCTCAATTTTTTATTTCTTATGTAATATTCTGAACTTGCTACGTTATGTTTCCTGGTATATTTGACATGATAGCACTTATTTATATTTTAGGTACATTTCATTTTCATTACAACTTGAAATATAAATCATGAGACCTCTTGTATATGTGTGTGTGTGTGTGTACTCACAGTGGCGTGTCAGTGTGTGCGTTAGGAGCGTCAGTGGCGTGCGGCGCGGCTCTCAGTATCATGGCGAGGCATCGCGGGTCACCCGCCAGTGTACACCAGTGTATGGGCTGGTTGCCTTCGTTGTCACAACAGGCGGCGTCCGCACCAGCTGCCAGTAGTAACCTGAAATATATTAAGATTCTATTTTTATTACAAACATATAATAATAATGAGATCTAAAACTTTCGCGAGTATTCATTTAAATAAAACTAATATTATTGGAATTATACTAGACGCATTTTATTATTCACTATAGACATTCACAACTCGTCTGCCCGTAATCACAGTTGCTGCAAATTAACCGAAACTTCGGGACATCGGGAGTATATAGTTTAAAAATAAAAAAAATGGCGTAGGAATCCGATTAATATTAGTTTCATTTAAAGTTTAAACATATAACAGTGAATTAACAAATAGTCCGGTAATTAGACATTAGAGGTTACATAAATTCCCACCAAGCTGAAAATCGGTAAGATTGTTTGAAATATCATTAAAAACAAAATTTGAAAGTTCCCCTGTAAGGAAAAAAAATTATTCAAGGTCAAAGGTAAACAAAATGAGTTTTTCGCAATTTTCAGCAAAACGGTAAGTTTTATCATAAAAATGTCTCAGACAAAAATTGTAGATCATAAAATGATCTACAAAGAATTAATTGATACTTTTTGTTCTACGTGCCACCGTTTTTGAGATACAACGATTTAAAAAATTGTAATCGTCATAATATGCATGAGTACGCCACGTATATGTATATGTATACTCGTACATCTCTATAGTTGTAATATAATATGTTAAAATATTTTTACACTTTACTTCCACCTGCGCCTGAAAAACTAAACTCGATTTTTTACAACTGCAAAAACTGCAGTGCTAAATATGGTTGCAAAAAAGTCGGACTGAAATATTCTCTGGCATGTACACATTGTCAAGGCCGGTTGTGCTCTAACATTGAATCACCAAAACACAACCAACACTAACAGTAGAGGATCCGTTTAATTCTAACGATATCCATTTAAATCCAACATGCAGTTTCATGGATGCATGCATCGCTATTATATATATTATATAATACATAACGCACTTTACATCCACTCAGGATGAAGATGAAGAAGAACAAGAACAAGATTTTGAAAATTACGACATCGGACGATTCAATTTCACTACTTTTTTTTAACTTAAATTGCTTTTATCTTTTCAATCTCTGCTAATATCCATTATTTATCAATAGTTTAAAATTAAACAAGATCAAAACTGACCCGTGGAATAGACCTACTGGAGAAGATACAAAAAAAAAAGCTAAGTACACTACCTCATAGGTGGCGAGGAAACGTGTGCATATTATGACGATTATAACTTTTACAACTTTTTGAATCGTTATATCTCAAAAACGGTGGCTCGTAGAAAAAAGTATTATTAAATTCTTTGTAGATAATTTTATGATCTACAATTTTTGTCTTAGATATTTTTATGATAAACTTACCGTTTTGCTGAAAATCGCGAAAAACTCATTTTGTTTATCTTTGACCTTGAATAAATTTTTTTCCTTACAGGGGAAAGATGGGGAACTTTCAAATTTTGTTTTTAATGATATTTCAAACAATCTTACCGATTTTCAGCTTGGTGGGAATTTATGTAACTTCACTGTTATTATTTGGTCTAATTTGACCGGACTAAAAGAAAAATAAAAAAAAATGTAACTTATTTAACTCGTGTACGTAAAAAGTAATAAAAAATATATATACAGGGTGACTGGTGAATTACTATCAATATTTAAGGAGAATACTCGGTACATGATTCTCATTCAAATTGTGTAAAAAAAATAGGTACTTAATTTTTGACAAAATTTCCGTATAAATAAATAAAGTGTGGATACGTTCCAAGTGTTCAAGTGTGGAGGCGTGCGGCGGCGTGCGGATACAACACTACGTCGCGACACGCGTATGTGTGAGTGTGAGTGTATACCTAATCTGTAGGGTGTTCACACGATGCGTAATTAATTACACAACTTTTGGTTAACTTTACTTAGAAGTTTATTAATATTTATGTTATATTAATTTTTATTTTGTCATATATGATCGTCAAATATCACGTCCTCAAATATCGATAGTAATTCACCAGTCACCCTGTATATTCCAACTCTCAACGCATACGAACTTAAGCGCTAACGAAAGAAACTTGTTCCTGTAAATTATAAAGGGTGTTTCACATCGCACCTGACAACAGCGGCGTGTTTGTTCTCAGCGGCGCGTACGAGCGGCGTCCACCTGCCGTGATCGCGCGCGTCCACCGCCGCGCCCGCCTCTAACAACAAGGAACACACGCTCGCCCCGCCGTACTGACACGACATATGCAACGCCGACATGCCCTCCGGACCCTGCACAATCAGTCATGAACATTCAGATACATATGTGTTAAAATGTGCTGATTACGTGCAATTTTGATTTTGATTTAATATGTATGTATACATATTTAATTACTATGTTTCTGTATTAAAATACTTAAGTACATACATATTTACATAAAAAAGATTTTTCATTTCACAAAACGCTTTGTATGACGTCCGCTTATTATGACGTGTTTGTCAATTCCTTTCGGTGCCATTATAAACGGACTCTACTGTATAGAAGTTCATATTTGTATTATATCTATGATCTCAATATTTTAATAAAAATAAGGAGAAAATTTATAAGTACTGGGACAAGCCACAGACCATTATCTTATAATTATAGTCTGTCTGAATTTTTATTAACATATTGAACATAGCAATGGCAGACAAAGATGAGACATCATCAGATTAAGTGTGAATCAGGCTCTCAAAATAGAAGCCATTTTTGAAGCGTTAAAATTCAAATAGCATGTATAGTACAAGAGATATCTACACAAGCAGGATTCGAACCTGCGACCAGTGGCGGCTGTACCTTAAGTGCGCCCGTGCGCTGAACCACCAATTCAAAATATTTAAAAATTACAAAATATTATGTCATCTTAATTTTTAAATTACCATTTTAATATTTATTTTTTAAACATACAACAAGGTATAAAAAATTTAATTTCCAATTATGGTCAAAAAGTTTGAGCGCTTTACTAAACTCATATCGTGCGCTCCGGCGAGTGCACGAGGACTGCTAATACATCTTGTATGAGACACGCATCAATACGCCTGGCGCGTGAGACAAAAGATAGTTCATAGAAATGTACCGAGTAACGAGTCGGTTCTCGCGCGCCGCACGAAGCGGCCGAAGGTTACCGAGAGCACCCGATGTATGACGTATTGAGCCGGCCGGCAAGGGGCCGGCCGAAAGGATGGGTGCTATGATTGACATTTCGTTAATCGTTATTGGTATTGTTTCAACTTTCACTGTATGCGTGACGCGTTAATTCGTTATTGTTTATAATTATTTCCGTAATTCGTTTTAGTTTTTATTTCGTTTCTATAATAGAACTTTTATTCTGTACTGTGTTTTTTATTAGTTGAAAATGAGTATAAATATTGATTATATTAAAGAAAATAACAAAATTTTTCAAAGTAAAGTGAACATAAAATTGGCCGGGCCGCCACGGCCCTTTTTAAATTTAAAACAAGAGTATAAATCGAAAAATAAAGCATTTATACGAAGTTTTAAAAGTGAAATGTATAATAGAAAGAAATGGTTGTGTGGATGTGAGCGTCTTAATGCATTCTTTTGTTTTCCTTGCATTATTTTTGGCGGAGAATCGATTTGGACAGAAACTGGAATCAAGGATTTGACGCATTTAAGTGAAAAAATAAAAAAACACGATTCTTCACAAATACACCTACAAAATGTAATGAGTTTGTCTGTGTTAGGCACAGTCGATATTCGTAATCAGCTAGATTCTGTGTATAGAAGTAATATCCAAAAGTATAATAAACAAGTTGATAAAAACAGATACATTTTATCACGTCTTATCGATTGTATCAAGTTTTGTGGTGCATTTGAGTTAGCTTCGCGAGGTCACGATGAAACTATTGAGTCCAGTAATGCTGGAGTGTTTCGTGGATTAATAGACTTTGTATCAGAGTTGGATATAGTTATGAATTAATGTACAAAAAATAAACATATTTCATGTCAATTGTTGTTTTTGTCAATATTTTAGTAAAGTGAACCACCAGTTCAATAACCCACCAGCCGCCACTGCCTGCGACCATCGTATGAAACCGGGCTAGATGTTTTAACAACTAATCTATGGCGGCCTGATTCGAGTTAACATATTAAAGGCCTTCAAGAAAACCAAAGATCATTAAGAATCAATAGTTCGATGACCATAATAGATAGGCCTGTTTCGGACCTGTTTGTTGACGTCACATCCGGCCGCTATTAAATATTTGATAACATGAAGCAGGTCTTCGTCCGCTGGTCTGGTCTGCTCCTCGTGTACTTCCTGGTCTTCTTTCAGTTCGTGGTCTTCTTTATCTGTAGTCTCCGTCTTTTCCTTATCCTCATAATTTGTAACAACTTCATCTTCTTTCTTAACCACTTCGGCTTCGTTGCCTTCGAATTCCGTTTCCTCTGAATGTTCCTTATCTAGTAGTGCTGTGGGGAATTGGATAATTAATTAATCATGACAATTTTATGTCGATAAGACTGTAGTGTTTTAAGGAGACCAAAAAAAATTATAAACAAAAAAATGTAATAGAATTCATACAAACATTTATTGCAATAATTTGATAGAAATCTAAATAGTTCCTGAACATTAAAATGCTGCCATGGAATCATTAAAAAGATATAACTTCATTAAAAATAATCATCCTTCTAGTATGCAACAAGAGAAACTTTTCAAGTGCTATAGAATAAAGTGATGTGAATGGTCCCTCTAGTATGATATAAGCGAAAGTTTTGTAGTATTATATAATACTAGCTTTCCGCTCGCAGCTTCGCCCGCGTGGAGTTCGGTTATATCGCATTTCCAAGAGAACTTTCCAAAATCTGGGATAAAAACTATCCAATGTTCTTTCTCGTGGTCAACTATAGAGTTAGACATAGGTTTGTAGACATAGGTCTGTACTAAATTTCATTAAAATCAGTTCAGTGGTTTAGGCGTGAAAGAGTAACAGACAGGCAAACAGAGTTACTTTCGCATTTATAATATTAGTAGGGATAGTGTCGTGAGTATAACCTTGCACGGCCCTCATGAGCGGAGTCCTACACGTGTTGTCGAGCGCGTCCATGTCCGCCCCGCGCGCCCTCAACACACTGAGAGGCGCCAGTCGGCCGCGGACCGCCGCCACGTGCGCTAGGGTGCCGCTCGACGCCTCGGGTATACACTCGTTAATGTTCTCACAACGAACTGAAATTATATTGTATTCATAATATAAGATATTGTATCTACACTATAAATTTGTATTGCAAATGGTCTCCACTTTAATCAGGGTTTCTGGAAGAAATTTCTTGTTAGGGATAAGTTATCCCTTGTACACATCTATTATTAATAATTTACTCTATACTTTGTTGGTACAAAAATAAATAAATTAATTAAATAAGACTTAGGATATCATTCTCAAAACTGATGCTTTATCAATCACGGTGATTTATAACTTTTTTTATGGAAAAAAGGGGCAACCGAGCAGACGGCTTACTTGATGGTAGGTAGTTACCGTCGCCCATGGACATCTGCAACGTAGATTTGCGGATGTGTTGCCGCCCTTGATTGGGGAAAGGGTGGGAAAAGGAAAAAGGCAGCCGGCTCTCTCACTCATCGGACGAAACGCAGCCATTAAAAACTACTTCACGCCGATCTTCTGTGAGAGGGTGGTACTTCCCGGTCGAGCCAACCCATGTAAGAGCTGTAGTAACTTACCACAGCTAGGCTCTACCACCTCTAAACTATACTATACAATAATCTTCAAACACTATTAAAAAATTCTTGCATTTGGTCTTGAATGGACATAGTTCCAAAAAAACGCTCTAACACTTGTACAATCCTTGCAAGATATTTTTTTTTATTTGATAAAATAATCGTCATATTTTTTTGATGAATATTTTGATTTACCTATTTTGGTTAGTATTTGTTCCACGTCGTTTTCAGTCATAATTAATTCGTATATATTCTGTGCAGTGCACTGGTCACGGTCTTCGTTGTCGGCCGCTTCCATCAGTTTCTTAACGTCGGGTATCAGAGGCAGTAACTCGTCTGGGAAGGTTGGCTCAGGGTCCAATAGAGCGGGGTCCAGTGATGAGAAGCCGAGGAACGCTGGGGTACTGGAATTATTATATACATCATGTATTAAAATATGGACGCCATATTTACTACGAAAGGAATTAAAATTATTGGAATTTTAATAAAACATAAATCAAGATCAGAATATTAAAGGACGCCTGTGTCAGTGGTGTCCCGCCTCTCATGCATGACGGCGCGGTTCGAAACCTGGCAAGTATAGTGCGTTTAATTTAAGCTGAGCTTTGCATTTGTGTGAGTGCACACACGGATAGTGTAGGTGTGAAGTCAAATTTTTGAATGCCACGTTCTTTTCTAGTTTTGAACCAGTTTATTATGCTTTTACATCGCCCCGCACCTTCCTCACTTCACCTTTTGTATTGGTAGCAAAATCAAATGTTGAAAACGCAATGTCAAGTGAATAAGAATTTTTATAGGTTTTTCAAAATTTTTATTAACAATTTTTTTTCCATAATATTCATATTATTTCCATCTGGTCCTTTACAAGTTTTGCTTATTTTACATCACTTATGTTATGTATATATTTAAAATATAATAAGATCTAATTTTTAAAGTTTTTTGTCTAACTCTACTTTTACTTTTACCCACACAAATGCAAAGCTCAGCTTAAGTCTAACGGACTATACCAACGTGATTTTCCTCTTTTTGTATATGTGAATGTATATCCTCATAACCCACCACTGTTCCCTCTGGTCGGGCAGGAAGACCCTCTTGTTACTGCAGTGCATGTCGACCCTGACCCGTCCGTAGTCCGTGTTGAGAGGCTGCCACCTGTGAGACAGCACCCCGCAGTGAGGACAGCCCGCGCGCTGCCTCGCCTCGCCGCCTATACCACAGTCCATGTGGAAAAGATGGTCTTTGGAGCACTGGTAGAATATACCCTGGGAACAAATTGGGTTATATATCATTATTTTACTGTTACACCATCGGCATATATCATACTGCACCATATGTTCTGGAGAAATGTTTGAAATTTAAATATTCCTAAAACTTGTTAAACAGCTTCAAAGAAACTAATATAATTTGGATAATCACGGTTGCTGAAAAGTAACCCAAACGTCGGCATTATGTAATTTTTAAAATAATAAAATATGCGAAGTAATAATATCAGTTTCATTTAAATGAATATTAGCGAAAGTCTTAGATGTAATTATTCGTTAAATAGCAATCAAAATTCTATTATTAAAAATATTTCTATTGTTATTGACTCTGAACTTCCTAATACCTGTGTACAGAACAGGCCGCATGTTGGACAGCACATGTGTTTGGTGAGTTGTGCGGCGTGCAGCTTACACGCCAGGAAGTAGGGAGCCCTAAGTCCCGGCCGGCGGAGCGCCAACAGCTCGCCTCCGGGAGCCCGAGCCGCGCGGTGGGAGCACCCCACACGAACACCCTCCACCATCTCGATAGCCTGACAGAATACTGGCTCTGGGGACAAGTTGTGTAGTTTATTTATTTTATTTGAATGGCACATCAACAGTACATACATACATTAAACACTTAAAACTAAACATTTATAATTGACACTAATCTGATGTGTGTACCAATTATAGACGTACACATAACACAGCACTGATGAAGATTACTGTCTACCTGCTTAATAATAATACTTATTGATTACAAAAATATTATAAAAAAATGAAGATATCAAAGAAGAAAGAATATCACATAACAATACACTTCAGCTAAAATTCACTAACGGGACTTGACAAAAACATCGCAAGTGTAGTTGTAGATATAGTAGCCAACCGTTATCGCCATCTATGTTCTGTGTCAAGACGACTCCATACAATTTACAACTTTCATGCCGCGACCTTGCAATTATAACCGATTTCTCTCTTTTAATATCTAAGTAAATCTCTATCAAAATCCGTTGATTATTTTTTTAAAGACCAAAAAGGATCCAAACTTCCCCACAAAATTCCTATTCAATTATGAATATTAATATATATTTAGTGGCATTTTAATATAGTAGTACATAAAAACCAAGTAAATGGACAGCACGTATATGGGTTAGCTCAAGCAAAACTTATCAACCAAAAGAATTCAAAAGCAGATTATATTGTGAACATTTATTATTATATGTTTTATGTCAGTATATATACCTGTAAGGTCTGTGGGCGCTGCGTAAACGTTACTAGATTCTTCACAGAGACACGTCGCGACGACTGTGGCCGCCTCTGACGGAGCAGCCGGCTCTGTTTCCTCCTCCTCACCACCAACTGCTTCACTTGCACTAAACAGTATTACAAACTATTAGAGAAATCTATACATATTAGTATTAAATCTTCTTACAACCATCTACAAGCATACTTAATATTACTTTTAATACCCATTAAGTAATTTATCATATTAAGGATATGTACTTGTTATATTATATATATTTAAGTTACATACATTTTTGTTTCCGTTTCTTCTTCAGATTGAGGCTCTTCTGTATGTGTCCTAGTAGTTTTCCTCTTAGGTTCGAAGTCACTGTGAAAATAATTATATTAATAGAAGTATTTATTTCTTTGTTGTTTGTAATCCAAACTAAATATACCTATCAATGATGTCATCAAATTGATACGCGTCATAGTTGTAAAGACCGAGGTTGGCTTTACGAGATGAACGACGGAGGGGAGCACTGAAACATAACAAATAACATATAGAACACGTCAAATATTATTAACAATACATCAAATACGAAGCACAAATCATAAATATAACGATAAAATATAAGAATCAAAATAAAATAAACATCTGCAAAAGAACACATAATAATATTAACTCAATATCTCGAGGCGCCATCCCAGTAACATCTTTATTATATATAAATGGTATAAAGTATTTAGACACCACTGACAGACGGTGAAGGAAAACATCGTGAGGAAATCTGGACTTATAATTTCAAATTAAATCGCCATTGTCTTGAGCAAGCAATGTGATTAATGCTCAAACCTTCTCCATGTGAGAAGAGGCCTCTCAGCAGTGGTCTCTGATAGGCTGATAATGATCATGATAATATGTATATATGCCTTTATAGCATATTATAACGCGATGTTTCTGGGAAAGCGCCTCGTCCCCGATAGCGTACGGTGAACAATTTCTTCGCGATCGTTTCCTCTTAGATGTATCAGGACGGAAGTCTTCATCACTGACACTCTCTTCATCAGCCTGCAGCAGTTGACTGATCACTTCTGTATCATCATCGATCTCCTCGTCTTCTCCGTCGCGAGCTGAACTTTCTGTTTTTCTAAAATCAAGTGAACAGCCATGACAAAGCCGGTAACTATTTAACTATTATGACTGAATCTAGTCATTGCTAACAAGGCGATATTAATTTTTATGTTAAAATTAAATCTAAGGACATTTCTCTTTATTTTATGCCCTAATAGACTTGCTAATTGAGCACCCTAGTAGGTTAAAAATTTTAAAGAAAAAAATAAATATTAGAGTTAATTCCATATTTTTTCAAACACTAATGTACTTTTTATACAATAATCACTAACAGTAAGTTGAAAATTGTCCTACAAGAGTTTGCAGCGGTCCACCAAGGCAGTGGTTACTTGTCATAAATATCTAGTGATCACAAATGTATCTACAATATCTAGCAATCTAGGTCTAGACCTAGATTGCTTCAAAGTTTAACTTTGAAGAAACATTACCTTAAAATCTCCCTGTGCAATGTACTGCTACATTTCTTTGGAACTACTATTAGTTACAGAAAATAAAATTTTAAATGGAAACACATAATATACAGACATTAAGAATAGATTAATTTACATTTTATATTGTTCTATTAAGACATACATCTATACATTATTATATATATCCAACATGCAGATGGTTGACAATATGTGAACTTTTAAATAATGATACTATTTTTTCTGAAATTAATTTGAAAATATTTTAAATTGTCTCTTATCTTCAAGATTAATTACAATTTGTCTTTGAATTCTTATTATTCAATGCTAGTGTTGCTTTACTAGAATAGAGTAAAAATATAATTTAATAACAATTTTTTTCCATTTCTTTCAAGAAACATGATATTAACTTCTAACTATGAAGTTTAGTAAACTCAATTGTAAGAAAAATTCTATCAATTTAGTGTTTGTATTTCTACTATAAATAGGAATGTTCTTTTCTGTTAAATTCTCATACAATGCTTCTGTACTATATATATAACTCTTGTAAATTATCTGTACAGCTACAAAATTAAATAGAATATTATAGCCATAATTTAATTATATCTTAATTGTATGTATTAAAAATTCATTTAATTAACAATTGAAAGTTGATAAGAATTAGACACTATCCCGTCTAACATTACATGTTACAGTTCCTTTTGAATCATAGTGGAGTTTTTAAATATGATCATATTTTTACTCTAACTTTGGTTGTATAGTGCATACTTTAGTTTAAGATCTTTGTTACCTGTTCTCAGCTTCGCTGGACTCTTCATCCTTTGCAATCTTCAGTCCCAATGTTCCCATGTGCATTAACTTTTTATTTGAGTTATCGCCGTCTTTACTTTCAAATGTACAATCTTCATGTATTTTACGTTTAGATGATCTTTTTTCTGTGACTGTCTCAGAATTCCTTGCTTGAGCTGATCTCCTCGTCCTCACACCTTCTTCTACTGTTTTCTCAGTTGATATTCCTAGACGGGCATTATTCTGTGACTCTAAACCCATCCTCAATTCCTCGTTTGCCAATATCTTAGCTGTTGGTTTAATTCTGCGAGACAATCTTTGAGTTGGACCTGAGCTACCTTCATTGTAAGATTTCTCTTTTCTAGCTATTGCATTGGCTATGACATCAGAGAAATCTTTACTTCTCCGCCTCGTTGAACGTTTGTGTGTCATGCTTTCAATAGGCTCATCATCATCTGAATCTGCGTGACTTATATTCTCATCATCAGATTCCTTTACATAATTATAGTTGATTGTATTGCGTCGTCTGACTGAACGTCTGGGTGATATATCTTCATGTTTCTCCTCCGTGGATACAATCTTCATGTTGCTGCTCCTTGCACCTGACTTTTCTGAACGAAATGTTAGGACTATACGTGGTTTCGGATCTTCTGCATCTGCCTCTTTATCGGGATTTTTTACGACTTCAATATTATCGACCCTCACAGTAAGGTTGTCAGGCGAAGCGTCGTTATCATCATCTTGCTTGGTGACGGGATTTTCACTGTCGGTAAGCATGTTTTCAAGGTCTAATTGTTAAAAATGATACTGACACTTGTGATACACTTTTTATTTAATTTGGCTTATTGATCCAAACGCATCTACTGATTAGAATAATTAAATTATAAATAATCACATATTATTCATTTTATTAAAGTGTTCTCACACACTTATTTGTATACAAATCTTTTTCATGAATGTTTACGAAACATATTCTTTACTATGTTTAAAACAATATCTAAGTATTTCAGACATAAACTAAGATATAAGTGTGCATTTTGTGTTGAGCTTTGGATGATTTTAGTACTTGCGATTATTTAAATTACGAGTCGATATCAATATTAAATTCAAATAAAAAAACAAATCGACAAACTACAAATAAAAAGTGACACCAACATTCAACTATCAACATCAGTAAGTGGTCATTGGTCCAGTAATAGCATATAAGCATATACCTACTAACTATATAATTATGTTATGGTTAGTTTTAGTCCTGTACACTTTTCCACAGAGTATATTAAGTATAATGTATACAATACACAGTGTATTGAATATAAATAATTGAATATCTATGACTGGAAAGAGGCGAAATCCACGCTATCTTCTTTTTTTATCGCAATTTAAATAAAAAAATCCTGACTGAATTTATCAAAATATTTAATATCTTTTTCATCTGAAATTGATCTAAGTCTAACAGTAGCATTAGATAAAACATAAGTTTAAAAATTTTCTATAATATTAATGTTCAAAGTTTTAATTTTATCAAAATCACAATGTATAAGGTTTCTATGATCATCACATTTAATAAGAAAAATCTAAGCTTAAAACGCGAAGTATAGATTTATGACTGCATAGAATTCATATAATGACTGCATAAAATTCTAATGGCAAAATATTTGAATTAAGATGATATTAATATTTAGTAATATATTTAAATGACATCTATCTTTAAAACGACATTAATAACTATATATGTTCTTCTTATCAAATATGATATTTATAAATTTTTAGATTCAATGAAACTCCTCATTTCTTTTGTAATAGATGAAACTACAATTAATTTAATTTATACCTATATCATAGAACAGGCTGTATCGTATATATTCCTTTGCCTTTCATTTTTAGGGAAGAGTTTTAAAACAACAACTTAACCAAGTTATCAAGTACTTATCCTGTACTTGTTTTTATCTTGTGTCATAACTCATAAGATATTCTCTTTAAATGTGAAAGGTTTTTAATACAACAGTCCTTGTTTAATGTCGCTATTTTTGACTTAAAGGCTTGGCGGCATCATATTTACTATAAAATCGTTGTTCAAAACTGAGAGGATTTATCGTTAAAATTTAGTATTTTTTGTTAATTTAGTTAGTGCTAATAATTGAATATGAACCCTTTATTTTTAAGTCCAGAACATGTTCTACAAGGAGGATATTTTAATGCAACCCTACGGAAGTTGCAAGAGCCCAATACTACAATTGAGCCTCATAACTTGATGTACCCAATTTTTCTCTTGTAAGTTTTATATATATATATTTTTTTTAAATTGCGATAACCTCAGCAGTGATAACTAAGACATACAATATAATAAAAATACCACTATTTTTCATGTATTCATTATGTTTACATTTGCATATATTACCTTTGATTTTCATTGTACATTGTACTATTACATACCCCTCATTAACTTTTTTTATTTAATCAATTTAAATTTTTCCTGTTACTTATTTGTCAGTAAGTGAAAGTATATTTATGGACCATTAAATTAGAAATTAATATGATGAAATCTGTATCATAATTTATTTACAATAAAAATACATAAAAACCGGATATTATTTTTTTCCTAGACAACCTTGAAAATTTACTTTGCTTTTATTTATTTAATATAGTTTGTTATTGTAGTGGATTGATTGGTTAATTACTTAAATGATTGTGGAAGTGAATGTCAAATAAGTTGGGCAATCAAAAAGGTGATACCATTCACTTGTACTTTTTGTAATTTTTCTCATAAATATTTATAATATTATTCCTGGAAAAAATAAAGAACCGAGCTTGTGAACATTTTAACAAATGTAAAATTTTCCAGAGAAAATGAAGATGCTATGCAATCTGTATCGAGTATGCCAAATGTTTATCGTTACGGAATAAACAAACTGATTCCAGCACTTGTGGAGCTGGTGGAACAGGGACTGAAATCCATCCTTATATTTGGTATAGTTGAAACACTACCCAAGGTATTCAAATCATAATATGTTCAAAAATACTATACAGGGTGACTGGTGAATTACTATCGATATTTGAGGACGTGATATTTGACGATCATATATGTATGACAAAATAAAAATTAATATAACATAAATATTAATAAACTTCTAAGTAAAGTTGACCAAAAGTTATGTAATTAATTACGCATCGTATGAACACCCTACAGATTAGGTATACACACACACACACACATACGCGTGCGGCGGCGTGGTGTTGTATCAGCACGCCGCCGCACGCGTCCACACTTGGAACACTTGGAACGTGTCCACACTTTATTTATTTATACGGAAATTTGGTCAAAAATTAACTACCTATTTTTTTACATAATTCGAATGAGAATCATGTACCGAGTATGCTCCTTAAATATTGATAGTAATTCACCAGTCACCCTGTATTATGTAATAAAAAAGCATTTCGAGCCACCAATCTTTTGGAATAGTCCCATATTTGGCAGTAAGCCATGTTACTGTCCCACCAACTTTATTCATTCTATTATATTCTAATTATAGGATGCAAGAGGCTCAAGTGCGGACTGTGCCGAAAATCCTGTAGTGAAAGCCTTGCCCAGGATTCTCGAGGCCTGCCCCAATCTGACAATAGCTTGCGATGTGTGTCTCTGCCCTTACACCTCACATGGTCATTGTGGCTTATTAACTGAGAAAGGTGTTATTGACCATGCCGCTTCAGTGAAGAGAATTGCTGAGGTTGCTTTGGCTTATGCAAAAGCTGGTATGTTGGACTTTATAGTATATAAGTAATAATAGTATACAGTAAATAAGTAAGTAATTATGATTTCCATATAATATATAAATATTTTATGGTACATTTCAGGTGCTCATATTGTGGCACCTTCCGATATGATGGACAACAGGATCAAGGCCATCAAAGATGCTCTAGTCGAGAATAAACTTCAGAATCAGGTTAATATACATACATAATTGTATTTGTATTTGCCATAAGTTTTTAAATTTTCTATGAATCATTTATTTCTTATATTTGATAGTACCAAATAGAATAATAATATTTTAAGGACCTGTTTTAAACTATAAATTCTTTGACTGTAGCTGAAGCATTAGAACAAATGTAATTAAGAACTGAAAAATTTATTCTTTTTTCATTCTATAGTTTATGGCCTCGATCAGTGTTTTGTATTCACATACAATGTTAGTAGGTTCATATTATAATGATTTTATATATTTCCAGGTATCAGTGTTATCCTACTCGTGTAAATTCGCGTCTTCAATGTACGGTCCATTCCGTGACACTATGAAGAGTTCCCCGATGGCTGGTGACCGGAAGTGCTACCAGCTGCCTCCCGGAAGTGCTGGACTTGCGGCGAGAGCTGCGGTAATATACTATACAAATAAATAATAATGTTGAATATTACATTAAATAGTTTTCACTCCACTTTTATTTAGCACTAGAAGACCTGGCCAACTTCGTATCGCCCTTTAATCAAGAAATATCTATTACGTTTTTTTTATTTATATTTTTGGAGTTTACCTGTAAGCCATAAATCTCCGTGTTTTGAAGTGCGACAGAATGATTGACATATTACTAGTAGTTAGTTGTCAAATCTAATGTCAAAAAAAACGTTTGTATGGGAAATAGAAAAGGGCTGTTTTTATGGTTTTCCCAGTAATGAATCAATTTTTTTCAGCTTTTATACCTTTCCTGAACCTCCACAAACATTTCAAGACTAAGATAAGATAAATCTGTTCAGCTGTTCTCGAGTTTTAGAGAGACTAAGGAACAGCAATCCATTTTTATATATATAGAAGATAAAATGTACTGTCGAATTAATTAAAATATTAGTTTTCTTTGACTATACATGTTCTAAACTATTTAAAAATTAAAAACTAGGAGAGATATTAAGATTATAAGTTTGTTTTACATTTGGACTATATGTGTTAGTTCAATATTTGTAATTTTAAACAGGCTCGGGACGTCAGCGAGGGCGCCGACTTCCTGATGGTGAAGCCGGGTCTACCTTACCTGGACATAGTGCGACAGACCAAGGACAAGTATCCTCATCACCCACTCTTCATATATCAGGTCAGCCAAAATTAAAGACCTCGCAATAACACAATACCTACTCTCCAGAGTCATCCTAATATCCTTACAATTTCATTTATAGGATATATCTCAATAGTAGAAATAGTTACATTATTATTAAAGACATGTTATGCACATAGTATAACTTATCCCTAAAAAGAGATCTCTAATAGAAACCCTATTTTAGAAGAAGCTAGAAAAGTAATGCGGTGTAGGTACAATAAGAAAGTTTACAAACAAAATTATTATAATATGTACTTATTAATCTAATGACCATCCCAGAGACAGTTTCATTGCTATTGAACTTTAATATGTATTATTTTTTTATTTTTATTTATTTTATTCTATTTGGATAGCCAACAAAAGAAAACATTATTACATTCATTACATTATCAAACTATCAATAATAACTTAAATGTCCTTTTAATTATAGGCTATCACATCATGCAAAATACATATAATAATTGTAGTAAATCAAAATTTAAATTAAAAAACAATAATAATAAATCAATAAAACATTACATAATAATCACTAAAATTGACATAACTAATAACATTATTACAATTTAACATTTTAGTACAATAATAACAAAAATACAATTTAACATTTCAATATAATTCAAAGTTTTAAAATGTCACAGAATTAAATTTATATATACACATATTTTATTTTATTATATAAAAAAGAAAAAAGAAGCATTATGTGTATTATTTTAAAAAGGCCAAAATTTTTTTCCTAAATTATACCAAATTGTCGTGGCAGACGTCTAAATCAATTATTTCTTTAGAAATGTTATTATAATATAATGTCGCCTTTCTGGGTATTGGTGAGGTGTTACCTAAATGAGTCCTATACGTTGCAACTTGAAATAGTTTTGATGGATAACCAGGATTTCTTGATGGGATTCGAAATAAAATTCTATTCAAAAGATCCAGACATTCAATTTCGTTGTTCAAAAGTTTGTAAAGAAACATCAATGATAGGATTTTTCTTCTGTTTTCAAGCCTGCAAACGCTAAAGTAGTTTAACCTCTCATTATAATTTTTAAGGTTTAGTTTAAATGTAAATGATAATTACAAGCAAGATAGAGTATATAATACAATATCATGTTCAAATATAACCATGTCACCTTGTATAATGTGTATTTGTATATGAAGGTATCTGGTGAATACGCTATGATCTCTCGGAATGGGGACTCCTCGGAGGTGGAGAGTACTCTGATGGAAACACTCACCTGTATGAGACGAGCTGGTGGGTGATACACTATATATCTTTATATACATATATAATTCTTCTGTGAGTGTGTATGTCACTGAACTTCTCTCAAACGACTGGACCGATTTTGATGAAATTTTTTGTTTGTGTTCAAGGGGATCTGGGAATTGTTTAGATTCACAATTTTGTCCGCTGGACAATAAAAAACGTAACAGATATTTATTGATTATAGGGCGATACGAAGTTCGCCGTGTCTTCTAGTATGACTTATAAAATGAGACTATGTGTTGACTTGAACACAGACAGATTCAAGTATTTAACTTATATACTATGAAACAATGTATGTAGATAATATATATAAAGTTACATATGAGAAGATCTAAATGAAACTAATATTTCCGGATTTACTATGCGATTTTTTTTGCTCATAGTAAATCCGAAAACATTAGTTTCATTTACATGAATACGAAAATCTTTGATCTCATTATATGAGAAGATCATTGAATATAAAAGTATTAATTGCTTAGTTGGACGCCGTAAAACCGTGTTAGGGATTTAATTCCGTGTATTCATTACATATATACTTATATTTTAAATATAATCTTTGTTATTAAAATTATAAATTGACTAAAAATGATCTGTTTTTTCAGGTGCTGACTGTATCATCACATATTTCACGCCTCTCATTTTAAACATACTGTCTAGAAAATAATTATTAATGTAAGGAGAATATGTCCATACATGATTTTTATTAGGAAATAGTTTAGACTTATAGACTGACATGGTGACTGATCAAATAGACTTAACTATTAAAATTTGGGGCTTCAATAAGTACATACTCTGTTGTTTATGTTGAAATAAAAATATATTATAAAAAATCGACTTTTCTTATTTACCTCGTTTAAAACCATCTAAAACAATAGTGCCACGTGGTACAATTAAATAAATATAACACTTACGTATACTGTTAATGCTAACTAGCTAATAAAAATAATTTAATTTTCTTTTTTTTATATAATAAAAGTCAAAAATAATAATTACTGAAGCTTTCCCTGTCTCTCAGTTGTGCTTTACGCAATGTATTACTGAAGAGAAAAATGCATTTTTTTGTTTACATTATCGTGAGAATACTCTCGTTGATAAGATATCATGTACTTTAATCACCGTATTATGTAAAAAAATAATTGATTATTAATGTTAATGAAATTTCACCTAGCAACGAATTCAAAATTAGAAATATTAACAGAAGATTTTGTAATGTTTGAATTTTCAGGCTCTTATAAATGTATTTTATTGTTACAATTTTTACTAATTACTTTTTAATAATATATTTAAAAAAATCATTTATTTTTGTCTTAATTCTTAGAATTTCTGGAATAATCAGTTTTATTTTTAGTGCCTTATATAGCTTTTAATATATTTATTACTTGCGTGGGTTTACAACATTCAAATTTTAGGTTTTGCAACATTTAAATTTTACGCCAAATTGACACGTCTCTTTCCACATATTTCGAGTCTTTTCGAGTCTTCATCGAACAAGCAACCTCACCAGTAATAGACGTGGGCCAATCATATTGAGACAAATCGGTATACTTGGTCCAATAACGTTCATATATTTGGTACGTCATCTTATGGCTCACCAATCGCGATAGCCCACGATTCACACTAGCGCTAAATAATAGCGACGGCAGCGTGGAATAATTCAGTTTCTGTTGGACATCAGAGAGTAAAGTATACATTCGTGTTCAGTGTTACAATATAAAGTGCCCTAAGAAGTGTAATTTCACGTATCTGCGACTTCAAATTGATCCAGTTAATCTACAATTTTAAGTATAGGTAATTTAATTTATAATTTTTTTCAGTAACGTAAAATCATTCTTAATCTTTTATGAACTTAAAATTAGACGGCAAATTATAACCAATTTACATCTGCCAATAACTACATCTTTATATCAGTTTTAAGATACTAGGAAATTATTTTAAAGTAAGTCATTTAGTAAATTTAGTTTTCTCTGAAGTATTCCAATAAGTTTTTCATTACTGATGTGGAATATTCTCGACGTCACCGCATAGAGGGCCGGCGCCATGGCCTATATTACATACCGTTAATATATCCCGTTACTATAACACTTTCTATTGTAGAAAACCCGTTGGTTTTTTTTATTCGTTCCATTTCATTACTAAGTTTCTCGTAGCCGGTAGCAGTGACGTGTACCTCAAATAGATTACGTGTCCTTGGTGAGATTATTGAACTCGGTTTTCAGCTTAGGCATTGAAATGACCTAAAATATATATAAATATTTCATTATTCTAAATGTACTTGTTACAAATTTTTAATTTTTAGTAATATCATGTTGATTAATATAACATTTTTGTTACAGAAAATAGAATTGCATGGTGAAAATGCGGTGGTGTATATTAGCTCTTGCGTGTGTGCTCGCGGCGGTTTACGCCGACGAGAAGAAGGAGAAAGACAAAGACATTGGCACCGTCATCGGTATTGACTTGGGAACCACGTACTCATGGTGAGGACCTCTTATATGTTATAGGGACAACACTTATAAATTTTCTCAATAAAATTATAGATTTTTCTATTTTATAACCTAAGTGTAAAAGTAGTACAATATAAATTTGTTCATCATCTTTATTTTGATATTAATAATAAATTTAGTATAATATTCCTTTACTTATCTTGGCATATGGCAAAATTTTTTGCAGAATGTGTCTGCAATAATTTTTAACTTCTCTTTTTATAATTTTACTTTATGAAATACAAAAAAGTTTTCGAAATAGTAACATAGATTGTGTTTGAGTTTTAATTGAAATATGAGAAAGTGAGTTTCGACTTTATTACTCATTTTATAATTTATTTGTCAACAGCGTGGGTGTATATAAGAATGGACGTGTTGAAATCATTGCCAACGACCAGGGTAACCGTATCACACCATCGTACGTAGCGTTCACAGCCGACGGAGAGCGTCTTATTGGAGATGCTGCCAAAAATCAGCTGACGACGAACCCTGAAAACACAGTCTTCGACGCCAAGCGTCTTATTGGTCGTGAATGGAGTGACAGCACTGTCCAACACGATGTTAAGTTCTTCCCCTTCAAGGTTGTTGAAAAGAACAGCAAACCTCATGTCTCCGTTATGACCGCTCAAGGTGACAAAATTTTCGCTCCTGAAGAAATCTCCGCTATGGTACTCACCAAAATGAAGGAAACCGCTGAGGCTTACCTCGGTAAGAAGGTCACCCACGCCGTCGTTACAGTCCCAGCTTACTTCAACGACGCCCAGCGTCAAGCCACCAAAGACGCCGGTGTCATCGCAGGACTTAACGTTATGAGAATCATCAACGAACCCACGGCAGCCGCCATCGCTTACGGTCTTGACAAGAAAGAAGGTGAAAAGAATGTATTGGTATTTGACTTGGGTGGTGGTACCTTCGACGTGTCTCTTCTTACCATCGACAACGGTGTATTCGAAGTAGTCGCTACCAATGGTGACACTCACTTGGGAGGTGAGGACTTTGACCAGAGAGTTATGGAGCACTTCATCAAACTGTACAAGAAGAAGAAGGGTAAGGACATCAGAAAGGACAACCGTGCGGTACAGAAGCTGCGTCGTGAGGTCGAAAAGGCGAAGAGAGCTTTGTCTTCAAGCCACCAAGTCAAAATCGAAATCGAGTCCTTCTTCGAAGGTGAAGACTTCTCTGAGACTCTTACCAGGGCTAAATTCGAGGAATTGAACATGGACCTATTCAGATCTACCCTTAAACCTGTCCAAAAGGTATTGGAAGACGCTGACATGAACAAGAAAGACGTCGATGAGATCGTGTTGGTCGGTGGATCTACTCGTATTCCTAAGGTACAACAGCTGGTAAAAGAATTCTTCAATGGCAAGGAACCTTCCCGAGGTATCAACCCTGATGAAGCCGTCGCCTATGGTGCCGCCGTCCAAGCCGGAGTACTCAGCGGTGAACAGGACACTGACGCTATCGTTCTTCTGGACGTCAACCCTCTGACCATGGGTATCGAGACTGTCGGTGGAGTCATGACCAAGCTCATTCCTCGCAACACTGTCATCCCAACCAAGAAATCACAGATCTTCTCTACAGCCAGCGACAACCAGCACACAGTCACTATTCAAGTATATGAGGGTGAGCGTCCCATGACTAAGGATAACCACCTGCTTGGAAAGTTCGACCTTACCGGTATTCCACCCGCGCCCAGAGGTATCCCACAAATTGAGGTCACATTCGAGATTGACGCCAACGGTATCCTTCAAGTATCTGCCGAAGACAAGGGTACAGGAAACAGGGAAAAGATTGTCATCACCAACGACCAGAACAGACTGACACCTGAAGATATCGAGAGAATGATCAAGGACGCTGAGAAGTTCGCAGACGATGACAAGAAACTGAAGGAGAGGGTTGAGTCGAGAAACGAATTGGAGAGTTACGCTTACTCCATCAAGAACCAACTTCAGGACAAGGAGAAGCTGGGCTCCAAGCTGTCTGACGATGAGAAGAGCAAGATGGAAGAGGCCATCGACGCTTCCATCAAATGGCTCGAAGACAACCAGGACGCTGACGCCGAGGACTACAAGAAACAGAAGAAATCACTTGAAGATGTCGTCCAGCCAATCATCGCCAAGCTGTACCAAGGACAGGGCGGAGTCCCTCCTCAGGGCGCCGGCGGCGAAGACGAAGACTTCAAAGATGAATTGTAACAGACTGAACTGTAGCCAAATTTGATCTGAGTGTCAGATGCAGATTAGGTACATTGTAAATGTGTGCTGTGTACATAACCTGTTTACAAATGGATACAAGTGTTTTAGATAGCATTGTGTATATTTATTATGGATCGTGTGAGTGAGGCGTGCGGAGCGCTGAAGGCCCGCCGCGCGCCTGTGTGTATCGTTAGAGACTTTATTGTATAAACTGATGCATTTTTTATTTGTATGGAGATAAATCGCGATGTAAGAATCTTCCTCGGTCGATGTAAACCCTGCTAGTCTCAGGTCACGCGGAGACTACCTCACTGAATGTTAAATACTGTATGAAGTTTTCTAGAGACTGCTGAATTATTAGGTGTTAATTAGCACAGTAATTTATAATAATGTAGCTATAATATTTCGATGGTCGTACGAAGGAGTACATAAATAAAAACAGTTTCTATTATGACATGTTTCTTTTATTTATCACATATAACCAACTCGTCTGCTTTCACATTTTTCAGTTGAGAACAATATTCTATATTAAAGGTCGGGGCCGCCATGATCGCTGCCTGCACTTTTACCTGGACGTAATCTGAATGAAAATGGGATATTAAAATCAAAAGACTTGCATTTCATAACTGCTAAATAAATAACTCTTGATAATAAGAAAAACACTATCATATCATAGTGAGGTTTTATATTTTTAAACATTTACCCACTGACTTATTGCCATCTATTTCTACTGCTGTAATACCGGCCGCTGCTCGTAGTTCAGCCAAATTCTCGGTAAAATATGTTTCCAACTGAAAGTTTATATTACAATTACAAGAAAAATTAAGCCGGATAGCTTATTCTAGACAATAATTCCTTGATTGAAAGTAATTTCATTTTTTACCAGCCTCAAGCCTTAATAATACAGATTTCATGTTCAATCTTTATAAATGAAAATATTGTACAAAATTTATGAATGAACATCTTGAAAAGTTCCAACTAAATTGTATTTTTTAATTTCGATTTTATAATGCTCAACTATCATTAGATCTATTGGTGTAGTCATGTCATTTTAGCTAAGCACCAGTGAGTAAGCACTAACCAAATAAAAAAACATATATAGTAAATTAGTAGTTTCTTATTTTTTTGGTGGTAGTTACTCAAGCTCGAACATGAGCTCTCAGGAAGATCGCCGTGAAGTATCCTTTAATGGTTGTGTTCCGTCAGATGAGTGACAGAGCCGGTTGAATTTTCCCTCCCTTTCCTACCCTTTCCTCTCCCTCTTCCACAAAAGAACACCAACGAATCTTCAACCTCCCTTATGGAGCTGATATCCTAGGGCGACAGTGACTACTTTCCATCAAGTAGGCCGTCTGCTTGTCCTCCACATTTGATATACCTAGTAAAATATTCTTTCTGGCCTTACATACCTCTGCTTCCAAAGCTTTTTGTGGCACACGTTGTTTTAGCACGCGTGGCCCCGACCCAGGCGCCGCCTCGCGACCCGTACACCAGTCCACACCACGGCTTTGTGTACGAGCCTTGCATACCGACCACTCAGTGTTCAGGATTATTATACTGGTAAAAATTATATTAAATGCAGTCCAAAATAATTTAATGGCTTATTATTTTTTATAAGACAAAACATATTTACAGATTACATATTATTTTGTATCACAATGCCGAAATATTGAGATCAATATTAAACGGTTACCAAAATATCTACAATAACTTAAGTGATAACTAGTAACATTTTAAATCTTAAGTGTATTTATAATAGCCAAACATAATTCATGCGAGTTTATAAAATGAGGTTTCAATGTTACAGTTCAACGCATTTATTTCATGAAATTATGGTGTTAGGAATTATTAGTATAGAAAAAAAGTAAAACGTAAAAATACCAATATTCGATTCGCGGGACAATTTCTTGTTACAATTAGGTATAAAATGAAAGTCAATTTTGCAAGTACTTTCACTTAGAAAGCGTTTGATCTGATTCATTTAAGAGTATTTATATCAAATCACAAATATATAGGTAGCACAATTCATCAATTGCTGACAATTTTGTTTTACCGATTCGGTGGTGTCGGCATGTTGTCCAAATACTCGAAATCCACGCCATTAGCAGGATATCCGGTGAAAATCCAGCCGTGGTCTATGCAATCCTGTCATAAGTTTAAAACAAGGTTAAAAAAAAAATACAGTCAACAAAACTCATGTAGGTATGCTGCTTACCTTTTGTGCTATACGACGTCTCACTACCTCAGCTTTCAACTGTACACTTGTACCGTGCTTTCTAAGTTTTTCACCAATGTCGTCGTTCTTTACGAGGGCTTCATTGAATAAATCTTCAAAATTTACTACAGAAAATTTTATAAACTACACTAGATTCTAGAATATGTTTACACACTTAAACAACGTTCCTTAGGTAATAGGTTCATATCTTTTAGTGTCCTTGAAATATAAAAAATATACATCTTACAGTACACGAGACCAAAATGCTTAGCGGCAGCCATTGCTTGTGTCTTTCTGCCTGACCCGCGGGGCCCTATTAATATGACGCGGTACACGCTGGGTGCTCCGGTCGCGTGAATGCCCTGTCCCGGGCCCTGCGCCCCGGCCGCGCTCGCCGCTATGGCGTTCACGCACTTCGTCACTATATGTTCTATAGCTTCCTCTGATTCGACGTGAACCTCCTGGGAATGTTAAAGTGACCTTAGTGATTACTGTGATCAGCTGTACTAAGCAAACCTGGTATATCTACGTCTAGTGTATCTATTATAAAGAAACGATTATTATGAACAATTTTTGAGACATTAATCACAACCTATACAGTTTATCTTCTCGTTCCGATTATCAGGAAAATAGAAAACCTTAAAAAAGACGATAGGTAAAAACCATAATTAAAACGGGAGTCACATCAAGTATTTTACCAAACGGGTAAATACTTGCAGCAATCGACTGAGGAAAATAATATAGAAGCTATTTTAACATTTGAGAGTCAACCTTTAAGGTCGCTTTGTAGGCGAACTTTAAGCCTTCGAAGTCCTGTGTAAAGAAAGTCCTGGCTGGTGTCCGTGGGTCCTCAGCGACCGGAGCGGTCGGTGGTGGTGGCATGAGGACCAAGGTCACTGTAGGAAGTACACCGTCCTGTTGTAGACATCGAGCTTCACGAACAGTACATGGATGATCTGTTTTAGATATAAGTACATAGTTTGTAACTCCTTCGAAAATTGTAGACAACCTTTTTTCTGTCTTTTATATTTTAAACCATGTTTAAGAAGTTATGTCCTTATGAATTTCTGGGCAGTTTAATATCTAGACTTTTGTAACCAATTTTTTTTTAGATTAGATATAGGTATATTAAATTCCTGAATGAAAATCAATCATGTCAGATAAATCAGAACCTTATTCAAAGTTTGTAAAAAATATTTTAGGCCATTTTGATAACGGTCATATTAATGATGGAGACGATGTACCAAACATTAGCCACCCTGCTTGCGTAACAGGATCTTTCGTCGTCATCAATTTTGTTACTTTCGAAAGCAAGGACGGTGAAACACAGCCAGGCACGTAATCGTCATGCTGAAACGTGATTATTTTTATATCGATTACAATTATCGATAAATTAACTGATATCTATTTATCGGACCTTTTCATAGCGATCCATCACGCAATTACGAGTTATTACGAAAAAACCCAGTTCTTTTATTAGATCTCTTGCTAATCTTCGTACATCTGTAAACTTACAAGGGATTAGATTAAAAAATATCGAAATTTAATATTCTCACCTACTTCTTACCAATATTCAAAGCTGGGGACACCAACAATATTACTCTATCGACATCCTTGCTACAATGAAGATGGCGATTGAGAAATACTTTCATGTGTTTCAAATGGTCTCTGGGCAAATTCACCACCAGATCCTGAACCATGTCCTTATTGAAAAAATGAAAAACAATACAAAACTTTAATAATGCAATATTGATAACTATGTGTATTTAAATTCATTAGTATATTGGTCAAACATAAGTAACCAAGTATTCAAGTATGACTGTAGGATGTTATCTATAATTAATTAATTAATTAATCAATAAGAAGTTTACCTATTGTGTAACGAGATCTTAGACTTTCGCGAGTTTAGTTCATTTAAACGAAACTAATATTTTTCGGATATACTACTCGTGCTTTATTTTTGTACAAAACTACATACTTACTCCCGAAATTTCGGCAATTTTTCAGCAAACGTGATTACGGACAGATGAGATGTTTCATTCAAATTAAATTTACTGTGTGTTTCTTTGTTAATTTATTATAGAAAAGCCCCAAAAGCGATTTTATCACAATTATTTAGTTAGTTAGCTTTAGGCTTAGATTTGGCTTATTTTTAACAAGCATGTGCCTAAATTTATATCTCTAAATGAAGAGAATAGTGCCAAAGAGTATTGGGTAAAACATGTTTGATACACGTTTGATATAAGACACAATGAAACTAATGAAAGGATAAACATGGTCTTGGTAAAGAAGATAATTATTAACATATGGTATTTAAATTAACCTTAAATATTTTATAAATCCTGTATTTCTCCAAGTAAGGAAGAAAAGTCTCTGGCATTTCCAAAGGCCTTTTGGTAGCATCCGTCTCAGTCATTTCTTGATATTATAATTTAAAATATTAAGAATAATCTACAGTTCAAGTTCAATGATTTCTATAAAAACAAACGTAACAATTCTTGTCTAATACTTAGGTTTTATTTTTAATTCATATTATCAATTGCCTTTAAGAAATAAGATACTTACTTAGGTACGAAAAAAAAGAAACAATGATTGTGTATAATCTAATTTTATTGAGATTTATTCCTCATTTTAAAACATAATTAATAATTTTATATGTGGAACATATTACAAAATAAATTAATATAATATAATAAACTGTAGTTATAATTGACAGCAAAAATAAATGCTAATACCTACCTCGTGTATAAATCAGATGATGTTGATACTTGATAGTGATTGTTGACATTTACAGTTTCCAATATTAAGGGTTATGTTATGTTGGGTTTTTTACTTCAATGTACCTATTAATATGTACCTGCTGAATTATTTTGTGAAGTTGAAATATCCAGTTTAATTTGGTTGCTTATGTCGTAATAGGAGGTCAAATGTCAAGATGATTTAATGATATATCGTAGAGTAAACCGTAGTATTGTCGTCTCATCTCTTTACACATAAAACAATTATGATACCATCACATATTATACCAATACGATTGAACCAGTTTATTTTTTGCCATAATTGCAAATTGGCCAATAGTGGAATCCGTCCTGTATAATTTATATTCGCTAGTGCGTCAATGCTAAGCATTGGGATTGCTCGTGTAATAGTAGTAAATAGAGTATTAAATTTAAGGATGTCTTCCACCAAGTTTTCCTATGAGGTAAATTGAAATATAAGATATTAAAAACTAATACGATTTCAAGTTAATAACAGAAAACTCTCTCCTGTCATAAATAATGTCTTTTTTTAAAATTCCAACATAATTATAACAATAATATTCATAGTTATATGATTTAACTTTAAAGTTAATTATCTTTATTTTATGTATTCCTTCACCTGCAGTGTTTTTTTTTGAATAAAAATGTATTGTTTTAGGAGGCTGTTCACAAGTTAAACTTGCTTCAGTCTAATAAATCCACTATTGACCAAATTCGAAAAGGGATTAAAAATGGTGAAGTATGTAAAATATACATAAAAATTAAATATATATTATAAATTTATAACTGCTAAGAATTGGTAGAATAATGTTCTGTTTGAAACTAAACTAGAATATATTTATTGTCATTGACATTCTTGACTGTAGTTAATTTCACATATTTTTAAATTTCAGAAATGTAATAACCTAAAAGACATGGAAAACTATTTATCGAGAACAGGAGTCACCATGTCTATGTTAGACACTCTGTCTGTAATACATGTAGCCGGTACCAAGGGCAAGGTATAATAATATAATTTTAATATTTTTACTTTAATAAATTTGGAACATAATTTTCCTTTTAAAAATAGCTATTAATAGACATGACATATTCATGAATTATTTTTTGCCTGTAAATTGTATCACTGTTAAACACTAAAATGGGTTTCTTTACCCATAAAAAGACAGTTTATATAATTATTTGTCTCTTCGAAGGGTTCAACTAGTGCCATGTGTGAGTCTATACTACGGTCATATGGTTTCCGTACTGGTTTTTACTCATCACCACATCTTGTAGCTGTGAGAGAGAGAATACAACTTGAGGGACAAATACTATCTAAGGAAAAATTTGCTTATTACTTTCACCAAGTGTATGGATCACTTTTGGCTACACAGGTAGCTTTTTTTTAAAGATATTGTTTAAAACATGCCAGTATATATTCCTTTCTTGGAACATATTGAATGTATTATGTCAGGAAAAATGTAAAATTAATAAATTCCAATTGTTTCAGGCTTTTGAAGGTGATATGCCCAAATATTTTAGTTTCCTAACAGTTTTGGCCTTCAATGTATTTCTGAAAGAGAAAGTAGATGTAGCTATTGTTGAAGTGGGTATTGGGGGTATAGTTGATTATACTAATGTTTTAAGGTACTATTACTTTTTATTAATAGATTATAGTATTTATAATAACTCTTAGCCTTATTAATGTTGATAATTCAGAAAGGTTCCAGTTGTGGGTATAACTCCATTGGGTTTGGACCATACATCAATACTAGGTAATACATTACCAGAGATTGCTGCTGCTAAGGCTGGAATAATGAAACCTGGCTGTGAAGCATATACCGTCCACCAAGCTCCGGAAGCTATGGCTGTGTTAAAAAAAGTTGCAAAAGATGTTAAGGTACACTCAATACATACACCTTAAATTTATTTACATGAATTGCTTAAGTTAAATTGACCCATGGAAATATATTATTTCTTAAGTACTAATATGTCATCTGGTGAAATTGCTTATAATTACAAAATTCAGTATTTAATTTTGCTTACAACTTTTTTTTCTGTTCTATTCCAAATGAGAGCTTTATTAACAACTTATTTATTAAAGATTGTTGTTATATTTCCAGTGTTCTCTAAATGTAGTTCCTGAACTTAGTTCCTATAAATATGAAAATGGGCTTAAGCTCTCTATATATTTAGAAGCTTATGCAATGAATGCCTCTCTTGCCATACAACTTTCACATGCTTGGATACGAAGAATAGGGGGAAGTATACAACCAATGGTGACAAGGAATGTTACGTGCAAAAAAGATGACCACCTCTTGGTTGACATCTTAACAAAAGAAACTGTAAAAGGTTTAAAAGAATTTAGATGGCCTGGCCGGTATCAGACTGTTAAGACTGATTATGCTGAGTTTTATTTGGATGGAGCACATACAAAGGAGTCAATGGATATCTGTGCTAAATGGTTCACAGATAGCAACAGGTGATAATTTTTTCTTTAATTATAATGACTGATTGAAATTACATATCTGGTTTCATATGTTTCGAAACTGTATATATGAGAAAAAGATTGTGTTAGACTCACATATAAAGAAAAATTCCTAAAACTACAGATAGTAGTACTTAATATCATAAATAATATATGCATGAAATGTGCTCTCCAAAGTTAAGGTGATGGAGTAGATGCCTGTAAGGCAACAAATTGTTTTTGAAGTAAAACTTCTTTATGATAATCCATAATGAATTCAAATATTTGTACAAAATTAATACATATACAAACATAATATGCATATGTACATATTACATATAGATGGAGCGGAAGAAGTTTTACTTCAGTTGTGTGGTCTAAAGCACACTGGTTTTAATGTCCAACTTCTCCTTTTGCTTTCCTTCGCTGCGAATGCAGAAATAACGCAAAGAGGAAAAACTATTTTTGATGGCATTATATCAGAGTTTTGGAAATAATATATATTTATCATAAATTACACTTTTAAAAATAATAAATAGCTATAACAGTTTTAAAACAAGGAAGGAAGGTACATAATATTGTTTAGGCAAAGTTACATTTACGATGGTCATAACTCACAAGCCGACTAAAGCCGTGTAATATTTGTATTAGGAATGGACTTTACTAACAAAAAAAGACTAGATATTTGGAAATATTACCAAATTTATTGTTATTATTGTATATATACTTAATTCGAAACCGAGTATATTTCGAGTGAATTAAGTTTTCTTTATTCCAAATGTAATATACATACTTAGTTATGTTTATACTTTCATTATTTTTACATCAATTTTATCAAAAAAAAAAAAATTATCATTATTTTGTACTTTTGCATGTAAATCGTTATACTTTTATAGTGGGATATTCTAAACAAGATTTTTATAGGGTCACTTTAGAAACTTATCTAATATTATGTGTGCATTTTATTTACGTCATATTTTAAATGAAGTCAAGGAGTTTATAAATAAAACACAAGTTATATTTACATTTTTTTTTTAATGAAGTGGAAAAGAATAACTTTTTTGCGGGCGTGTTTGTGCCTCTATATATGAATTCAAAGTGAACAGTCAACATATATCTCAATATGAGTATCTAAACAAAATTTCGCAGATTCATTTGTCAATAAAAATAATGTACTAGGTATCTTCAGAACATATAAATAAATTGTATTTTAAGCTGAATATAAGTACATATTGAAAAAGGCCAGCTAGCTTTAGTATTTGAAATTTAACTAATACTAAAAATATATATTTTTCACTTATTCAATAGTCATTTGATTATCATTTACATCTAGTAACCTATTTATATCGGTCAACCATGAAATAAGTCTGTCTAAATAACCTCCATCTTGATTATAACTGAGTAACAAAAGCTGCATGTGTTTGAATGCTGTTTCATGTTCCAGTAAAACTTTCAATTGTTCATCCCTTATAGATAACAGTTTTATAAACACTATAGCAATCAATGTCCACTGTATGGGTTTGAACATAATATTGTCTGCTTTCAATTTGAATGTATTTACAAGCAGCCGTATATCAGAACTGATTGTAAGAGTTAATAAGCCAAGTGATCGTAATAAATCTGGCAATACCTTGTTTAAATGCTGGCAAACAATTTTTCTTCTCAGTGCATTTTGTGAATTCTTATCAACTAGTGGTAATACGGTTGAGTTATCATTCTCATTGTATGCATCAACCTCTGTGGATTCTGGTTCGGGAATTTCAATTTCTCCGGCGAAGAAGGCTCTGACTTTCAGTTGTATTTTCTTACTCTCTTCCTTCAGAATTGAGTAATCTGGCAATGGTTTAGTTTCTTTATTTAATATCTGAGCATCCTGTCGTCTGGATTCTAATTCTAACAAGTTAAGTTTCCGGCACAATGCTTGGTACTGGTCATATGTGTTTGAAGTGTAGAATATGCTTTTGGAGTAATTGTTTAAGTAGTCGGTTATACATTGTCCTTTGTTAGATAACATTATCTTTACTTTTTCTTCCCCATATATGAACAGCAAAGTGTCAATAGTAAACCATTCCGCTAAACATTTTTCTACATTTATTGTTATAGCTGTGATTGAAGGCTGTTTCTTCTGATGTATAGTTTTAGTTAAGCTGGTGGGTGTTTTCTCCGGTTCTTTATCTTTACTTGAAGGTTTATTAATGAGTATAGGGTCAATTTGTTTTTCTGGTCTCTCCACTATATCACCGACAATATTTAATGGGTTTGATGATTTCTGTATAGGTTTCTTTCTTACTTCAGGTTCCTGTTTATTTGATGGTTTAGAAGATTCTAAATTATTACTGGGTGTAACATTTTCATCATTAGTATTAACTTCATTGCTTCCTTTTACATCTGTACTATTGTTTAATAGCTTAGTTTCAATCTTATTTGAATCTACAAGATTAGATGCATGCTGAAGGCTGGATTTTGTGAACTGTGAAGTTGTGATAAAATCATCTTTATTTATTTCTATTTTTGTTGGTCCACCCAAGTCTACCTCTTGACCCAAAACACCGATAGTATCTACCGGCAACAATTGAATTGTTGGTATTTCTTCATATTCCCTAAACCATAAAGGGCTGGTCAACATTTGTTTTTTAATGTGCATTGCAGATTTATAACAGATGTTACTGCAGAAACATTTTCTTGTTGTTATATCGTAAACCTTATTTGTTTTTAATGATATCCTATATTTTTGTTTAGGAATATCCTTCTTTAATAATGGTTTCTGACACAATGGATAACCACATAGTTGTAATATAGACCGCTCCTCAATCACATCATCGAAATGACTTTGATTGATATCGACTAAACATTTTAAAAAATAATCCTCATTCACACACTTTTCAAGTAATTTTTCAACTATGTTTTGCGCTTTGGCGTTACACTCGCGTTTTTTGATGATAGCTTTTCTTATTTGTTCCTTGGTCATTTCTTCGATTTTAGGTGGTCGCTTTGTACTCTTATTATGTTCCATGTTCGTTAAAAAAATGAAATAATGCGATAAATAGAATTATTTAAAAGATATTGGTGTGGTAAGTGGTACCGTGTAGCAATGTTATTGTGTCAATAATGACAAAACTGTCAATTGACAGTGTCAAATGACTAAAGACGTCAAAAAGATTGTAATGTTCAAATAGCTAAGTTTTCCACTGATATAAAATGAGTTTTCACGTTAAAAATAAAATTATTAAAAAGAAAATGCTATGAATTTTTAAAGAAATTGTACAAAATTTTGATATTACAAATATTTATTTTTTCCTTGACTAATAAGTGGCGAGTATTTTCTGCTTCGGTTCATGTTTCTAGATTTTAACCTTTTTAATTTCTCCTTCAGATCTTCTACTCAAGCATTGATCTTCAGCGCAACCGGTGATCGTGATTCAAAAGTTTTACTAGAATCACTGAGGAATATACATTTTCATATAGTGTATTTTGTTATACCCAGTTCCTACAAAAAGTTGAGCAAAAATAATGACAATTTTTATATGATGGAACACAAGGACCTTCTAACGAGATGTAAAAGTCAAGCCTCGATATGGAAGAACATAAATGGAAACTCTACAGTGAATGTATTTGAATGTGTCGCTGATGCCTTAGAAAGTATAAAGAAAATTAAAGGCAATAGTTCCGTTCTTGTTACTGGTTCCCTACATTTAGTCGGTGCAACACTTTCAATAATTGATCCTAATCTTAATAAAGATTGATATTTAAGCCTAAGTGTTTGTTATTATATATAAAGTATTGTCAATTAAAAATGTGATATTGTCTGTGTTTATTTATTTCTCCATGTGAACATGTATTTATTACAATATATTAGTATGGTTAATATCATTCTGACTTCGTCTTTATTTTAGATCAAACAAACAATTTTTTTTACATTTTAATTACATAATTTTACATGTACAATTTTTTATCAGAAGTTATGTTTAAATTATTTAATGTTGAGAACAAAGTGAGCAACATAAGAAAATCACACCTGTTTCGTCCAAATTTCATTGTATATAAAAATATATTAACAATTATTCTTAATATCCAAAAAGTTTGAGTTATTCTAATTGACAACTTTAACTTTAAAAAAATCCATATGTCATGTTCATTTTTAGACAGACAGTCAATGTCAGTGTCAGTTGTGATTACCATCGGCCGTTTGTGGTGTAACTGTAATACATCTTAAATAATATAATCACGGCTATTTAGATACAAATACTTTCACTATCACTTGTATTTGAGATTCCAAGTTTAAATAAAATTTGTCACTACAATCAACGTATATTGACTGCGTTCAATACAACATTTAAAGTGTATTTACTGTTGAATTAGATAATAGTACTTGATAAGAGTTTATCTTATAATGTAGGGCGATGAAATTGTAAATAGAATGTCTTGTGAATCGTGATACAAAATTGGTGGCTATAGGTGAGTTTCACTGAATTAATCATTATTATTTGATTATATGTATTCATGTCAGTAAATGTTATTTTCCTGTTTCCATTTCCCCTTAAAAACATGAATAAATGGTAAAAAATTCATATTTATAGATTTTCTATGCGAAAATAATTATCTTTATATTATTTTAAGGAGATGTTTTTGTTATATGTATTATATTTATATTTTTTTTGTGGAAGGAGTTCCATTATTTTCCTGTTCATTATTTTGCATCATCTTCCACTAGCAGAAAGTTAATGTATGAAAGTGAAATATTCGAATTTTTCTATAAGTAACAGTAGGCTAAAAACATGCTAATAATGCTGTGACAATGTCCACTGAAAATATGGCAAATTATTCCTTATTTATAATTTGGTGAACATATTTTTTATGTGTCTCTTATTTGAATGTTTTTGTATGGTTTGTTGCCTTTAATATGTCCTGGATAAAAAAAGCAAATTACTATTTTCTTCTAGTAAGTATTATGTCTGGCTGGAATATCTTGTAGATGTTAATAAAATCAATATCAGAAAAATATAAAATACTATCCATAAATAACTTATATTTTATTATAATTATTTTTTAATATTAAATTTAAAATGTCAAGTTATACATTGAATATAAAGTCAAAAGAAACAATTCCATGTTCACACTATAAGAATTCACATGTTTACTTCAACATCTTCCTTAGAAACATACAAAATAACATCTGTTAATATATCCAAAGCTATAAATAGATAACATATAATAAAAAAACAATCATAATAATTTACAATGAACTAAAATAACTTTATATTTTTACAACAACACTTAAAATATATGAAATGTTCAACCATAAGACAATAATCATAAATTACGTGAATAATGCTGTTTTCGACAGTTGATTATTACATATGTCTGACCATATTTAATTACAAAATAACTTTTTTTAATAGTCTTCTGACGTCTGTATTTAATAACAATAAAGTCTAGTATTAAATATTTTATATGTAATAAACTGATGTAACTAAACTTTCGTCTTAATATTACAACACAATTTATTTCAAATTGTCATTTCCATGTCGTATAATATATAAAAAAAATTTTAGAAGATACTTTTGCGTCGTCCTCCAGACGAGACGTATTTTTATATGTGCGTATTTTAACGCGTTGTGATGATAGAGCTTACGGTTCCTTGGAAAACAAACATCCCTGAAGACCATGCCATCAAGGTCAATAAATATTACGAGCTCACAAACGAACTCACTCCAAATAGGTTGGTCGTGGATTTGTACGCGGTAGAAGTGGGAACGAGAGGTATAACGGCTAAATCTCTCTACAAACTACTAAAAGATTTGGGCCAGTCCAGAACTCACATTAATTCATTCATAGAACCTACTTCGAAGGCAGCCCTAGTAGGTTTCAAATTTGGGTAGGTAGAAGGAGGATCTCATACGTTGAGTTGAGCGTTTAAAGCCGTGAGGGGCCCCTTAAACCCACACCTAGGCCGCGAGTCCCAGGCACTGTTGAAGCTCCTCTCCCTGAAACGCGATATACCCGGTACCTGCACCGTGAATCCATTGATTGCTGAGAGGTTTCGTCTCAAATATAGAATGTAAATTTATCTACACGAGCAGGATTACAACCGACCCCTCCCCGTCCCAATAGCTTTACCACCTAAACTGTAATGCCCTGACTCGAGTAGGCGAATCTTTGTCCACACTCAACATGCCTCTTACGTTAAAATCCTACTCACTTACAACTGAGTTATCGCGCCAATATCGTTTGATTAATTAGTATATAATGCAGATAATGATTTGATTTGAGTTTTATAAATATTATATCAGCGTCAAGTAAAAACACTAGATAGTATATTACAATGTAAGCTATCTTTTTAAAACATTGTATTGAAATGTAAAACGATATCAGGACACTTATTGAATTTATACATGATAGAAATAATAGTATATATATTATATTCCTTATCTCGCAATAAATACAGATGCTATTTCAACTGATAAAATCAACTAAACACAATATTTTTATGTAATAGAGTGTAAAACTCCTAAAACTAATTTTATTTAAACTTTTATTATGTTTGATTTTTTTCTGTTCGTACACAAATAATAACCATTTTTTTCAAGCTTCGTCTCGATCAAGCTTTTTTATTTGTTACGTCAATGTATTCACGTTAGAAGATTTAATATTTCGTTAATATTACCTATACTTGTATACTTAACTATATGGGTCTTCGGTAATTATGATAGCAAGCTGTTTTCAGTGTACAAAAATATAGTCTGTTATATGTATTGTTAACTCCTCTATAAGTTCTACTAACATCAGCCATTGTTCCTCGTTGTTTATATTAACAAGTCTAAACCTAGATATTTGGGTTCACTGATAAGATCTTTGTTCTCTCTGCCAGTTTATGTCGATGACTATCACTGACCACGTTACACGTTACTCGTCATGTGAATTGTGAATGAACTGTGAGTGGATTTACTTCACCCTAATTAATTATATTGAAATGTATAACAAGAATTGTGAAGGATAAAATATTTGTATTAAATTTTCTCATAGATAATATCAATAGATCTGATTTATTTGGTATATTTTGTTTGCTATAGCTGTAGTCATGATGCACATGTGGATGTGGTTCGGCTATGACCTTGGCGACTTCCTGTTCCCTGGTCTGGTCGTCAACACGAGGTGGTCGTTCGCTCTCACCTGGATACTGCTGTTCTTCGTGGCTCTACTCTTCGAAGGATCGAAGGTGAGATGCTTTCAAAATATTAATAAGAGATTTTTGATGTGAATCTGACAAGTTGGATAGGATAAACTATAAAGAATGTCATGATGCTCTGAAAATAATGTTATTTATAGTCGTGTATGCAACAGATGTCGTTTACCGAACACAATTGGCATACGATTGAATCTGCATAATCTATTTAAGATCACAAGTAATTGTTCAAATATTATCTAGTTTACATATTTGTAATAGAATTTGTACCAAAAGCTATTTTATTGAAGAAAATGTAAATATGAATTTCAAGTTATGTATGTATTGATTCTAATATTTGTAATTTGAGGTAAGGTCTCTTTGTTGTCCGTGCAGGTGTATCTCGCTCGTGTTCAACGCGAGGCTCTTCGGAAATTACGTCCTCACGGCTCTGACGAGAGACGGAACTTGTTATGTGAGCGGTAAGATATACTCTCTTACGATACAAAAATTAAACCCTTGAAAATATTATAAATTTCCATACAGAAGCCTCATAAACAAACTTAATAATGCCGTCTGAAAGTAGGAGCTAAATAAGATGTAGGTCACTATTTATTTACTAAATGCAAAAACCTATTTATTCGCAAAATGACAAGGAACTGTTCTTGTGTTAAATTATTAATAGTTGTCAAGTCTTGATCGTGTTGGACGTTTGTTGCAGCGATGTTCCAAATAAATGATAGCCACTTTTTAATATGAACTCATATGTATTCAGGTATATTTAAACAAATAAGTATATTAAAGCCTGTATCATTATAAGTTAAAATTAAGATGTAATTTGTTTTTTTAATTATTCAGTCTCGAATCCACCAAAAACTTATATAATTATTTCCAAATACAGTAGAAACTCTATTAACCGGACTAATTGTTGTCGATAGGCATTCGGATAATCGAAAATCCGGATAATCGAATGTATGTAGAAAAACCGGTTTTGTGCATATGTAGTTCATAATATTATATGATTATTAGAAAAATAAATTACAACTAGTTTTTGCTCGCGACTTAATTTCGTCATTAGTAATATATGTATAGCTGACGGGGGAACTCTATTCCATCTTAAATAACCAGGTATTGGTATTTACTAAATTTTTCCTGTTTCAATCGAACAGAATGACTGACATATTCGTCAGTTGTGAAATCTAATGTCAAAAAATCTTTTGTATGGGAAATAGAAAAGGGCTGTTTTTAGGGTTTTCCCGGAAATGATTAAATTTTTTTCAGCTTTAAAACCTTCCCTGAACCTCCACAAACATTTCAAGACTGAGATAAGATAAATCCGTTCAGCTGTTCTCGAGTTTTAGTGAGACTAAAGAACAGCAATTCATTTTTTTATATATAGATATGTATTTGGTAACAACTCTTTACATAGGCTTTGACATGTTTTCTTGTCCGGACTTGTCCGTAGTCTGGATAATTGCGAATCCGTATAACTGAGGGCCGGATAATCGAGTTTCTACTGTACATTTGTACATTAGGTTGGAAATTATATTTGTCGGTATTCAAGCTGCAGTTAAAATTATTCTATGAGTGAAATGGTGGTCGTAAAAATGAGATAAGGTTTACGTTTAAAGGTTTCTTAGTGTTCGTTTGTAATACGACTTAATGCTGTAGGTAGGTACTTCTCATACGTGTTCAAGGACGTCAGTCTCAAATGTCCTATTCATCGATCATGGTTTTTAACTGAAAGAGCTTGAAATTGATGAGGTTTCTATTAAATATAATGAAGCGATACAAAAACAAAATGTATATTTTTAAAAAAATTTGAAAATTACATATGTACTTAACGTTTTTATCAAAGTTACTTGTTATAAATTAACTGTTTAAAAAATTTTGATCGTTTACTTTTTATACTTAGATCTAAACATTTTTTTAAATTAATAACTAGTTTTTACCCGCGACTTCGTCCGCGTTAATTTCGGAGTTACTAATGTATGTAGCTGACCTAGAGAACTCTATTTCGCCCTACAGGCCATAAATAACCCATTATTGATATTTATTAAGTATTTCTTATTTTTCGATCGAACAGAAGTAAATATCCTATGTCCGTCCGTCAACCATATCACTGCCGCCGTTCTTGAGTTATAAATAGTGAAAATAGTGTAACTAACATATTAATGACGGTAATTAGTTATAAAGAATACGTAGGTTTGCCAATAGAAGTACCATCTGCCTAGTGTACGGCGATAGAATCTCGGTAGATTTAGAAGACACAAGACCGGGAGATGATGCAGATTTTGTGGAAGGTCTATATACAGCTATATTCGAGTTCGACTATGACGGCTGATGGTCATATAAAAATAATCCGATATCTTGCCAACAATAATATTCTAAGACAAATTTGTTTGTAAATACAATAATATAACAAATAGTTGTTTGTTTGGAATGTGATCGATTGATCTGCTGCTTAAAATGTTATGTCCGGATTATGATGGAGTACACGGCATTGGTGAGGAAAATAGTTCATAATGGATAATTACTGTGTTGACCTTACGCTCTGGGTTGGGATACGATTGTAATAATGGACCTTGATGGAAAGTGAACGGTTGTAGACCAACGAATAGTGAAGTATTTGGCAAGTTATGAGAAATGTACTTATGTACTTTTAAAGAGGAAGGTGGAATGTGAAAAATTAAGTATTTAGTTATAGATTAATTTTAAGAAGAAGGAATTTCTACGATAAATAATAGTACGATATTTATTCCTTATAGTTTTTTTTATATATTAATTCGTTAAATCATATCATTGTTCATATAAAATATGCCACCTATGGATCACGATAATTCTTTCTTGTGAATATCAACGAGAGTTTTGATGACAGAGTTTTTCATAACCGACCCTTCCTATATATTGGTGGTCATAAATCATGTTATTTAGTCCAAGTTTGTAGTAAGCTGAGTAAGCATAATTAATATTTTGTTAAATAAGCATAACAAATACACAGATAAGCCTGACAAACACGTGTAAATACTATGGTACTCCTACTTAGACTGCAACGTTTTAAAAATTTTACTCAATTCATACTAATAAAAACTAACCGGTTATTACGTTTCTATGGAGTTTGAAAACTTATTATGATTTCAAAAACTAAACTTTTATTTATTTACTTCAACTGTCTTTATCAACGAATCATATTCCCATAAAATAAATGTTTTTTTCACAGCGATCGAGAGCAAGCAAACGCCATGGAGCCGACGACCAGTCGAAACACTAGCTCGGGGCAAGTCAGCAAGTGGAATACATTTAAAATAAGGCAAGTATGTTGAACACTTGTATAGAAACAATATAACAATAATCCTCTGGCAAAGAAACTATGGTTGAGGTCAAATATGATGGTTTAAAATGAACAATAATGTATTAATAATTATGATTCCACCACTGTATCTAGGACCCTGGTGAACGGTCATCAGACGCTGGTGTTCGTGGTCCATAACGTGGTTGGTTACCTGCTGATGTTGGCCGTCATGATCTACAACGTTCATCTCATGCTGGCTGTCGTCTTCGGAATGATGTTGGGTTAGACATGCATGCCTATATTAAACCTATATATGTACTTGAATTAGGACTGTAAATATATACAATTCAAAATTTATCATCATCAAGACAGAATCAAACCGAGAGGTGTCAGATAACACATCTCAGCTGACTTAACAAATGAGCTATCTGCTCTAACTAGAGATCGTGAATTAACAGTCATTGCTATTTTTGTTAATAAATAGTAATTTTAATGCACACGTTTTTTTATCATAACTACTTGATATGTACTCATTAATTATGAAGCCTTGTGTAATATCAGTGACCATTTTATATTTTTTTATTTATGTTTCTAATCAAAATCTATAAGAAATTATCAATTATATGAAGTGTGCAGACAGTTATATAGATATAATCTTTTTATATATATCAGGTTACTTCCTGTTCGGGACCAAGTTAACTCGTCTCCAGATGCAATGCTTCAGCACCAAGCGGGTCGTCATCTGTACGCCGGAATGCGACGATACTGGTTAGTATAATACAATCAACGCGCTATATACCGCTGGTTTCATGTTACCGAATGCCAATAGTATGTAGGGTAGGTTAATGTTAGGTAGGTGAAGCCCCCCACTATCCCTCCCCAGACCGCTGCAACACGGAGAAGTGCAGCTGGGAGGTGTGCGAGGGCAAGCTGTGCAAGGAAATGGACGCGCTAGAACTACAACAGGCGGACACCGCGTACACACGGAAGTACGCGCCCACTACCATGTTATATGTAGAATCGGTCGCTGTAGTGTCGTTTTGTTTACGTTTAATTCCCATCACATAGACTTTTTCTTTATTTTCCTCAACGTTTATATAGAATGCTTCTCGTATTGCACCTGTGTCGTATTTAGTTTCGATTTGATTTTGTTTGTATTTCATTACTTCAACCATGTTGTACGTAGATCTGCTATCATTAAAATATTGTTTATCAATAGCGTTCTAGATCCATGTGTTCTTAGTTCTATTAGGTAATTGAGTTTGTCGGTCTAAATCATGTTAGTTTGATTAGGGAATAGAAATAAATCCCTATGAACTTGCTTAGATAAAACATTTATGTAATTACAATAATTTATTCAATTTGGTATTATTATTTTTTTTACTAATTAATTGGAAATTCAATATGAATATAAAATATTTGTTAGTCTCACTATCTAACCAACCTATTTTCTAGTACATTTAATTAAATAGACTTGACCTTTTGCATTTCCTTTAAAACTTAATTATTTTTGTTTTATTAATACAGCACCTATTATTATTTCAGCTGAGAACTCAACGCCTCCGCTACTAAACACTTCCATGGATTCCCAGTCGTCCGACATATTTGTTTGTCAAACTCGTACCTGTATACAGCCCTCTCACTACTTTCCCGCCAATACTCAAGATGGCGGCGAGCACAGCAACGCCAGCTGTTACTATGGCGCCAAACGATGTCCGTCTAAGGTCGCCAAGTTTAAGAAGATGCAGTCCGGTGTCCACTGTCATCACGACAGCGAGAAGGAGGACAGTCCCGGCGTCGAGGACGCGCAATTACTTCATAGTGAGAGGCGTGGCTGTTGTAAGAAATTAGAACCTCCTCCAGACGAAACATGCTGCAAATCTAGTCAAAACACGACAGTCGTGATACACGAGGAGAGCCACTCGGAGGAAGCTGACACCCAGAGCCGAGAGAACAGTCCTCAGATCTCGTGTTGTCACTCCAAGTCGACGCGCGACAGCCAGGAACAAATAGTCACGTGATGTTCACTAAACCAGTTACCGAGAGGCTTATATTTTTATAAAATTCGTTTGACGGATTATATAGTTTTGTATTTTTTTAATGAGAATATTCAAAGTATTCGTTACCATAAACTAAATTTGACGTGCTCAATGTTCGATATTTATAGTGTAGTGTAGAGCAATAACTAGTAGTATCCGTTATTCTTATATGTATATATTATGTTGGATGAAGTGTGTTGATTTTATTATAGACTTAATGGAATGAGTCTGTTGATGTGAAAAGCTGTTTTAGACGAGTAAGAATGTATGAAATAATTCATATGGAGCTTTAATAAACACGTAACATTGTTCCTTGTTGATGTTTTACATGACATTAATGAATAACATTTTATTTACTTATATTTTATTCATAATAGAACATTTACACGAATAATAAAATAATATCTTAATACTAACTTAAAACTATGTTTTGTTTCAAATAATCACATGATACAGGGCGCGGCTACAACTAACGGGACGTCCACGACAAACGAGATTCTATTACAAATTATACAAGGGCAAAGTTTTAATAAAATCAACATATAGAAATGGAATTTAACAGTCTTATAGGTAATGCGTATGTTAGGCGTTTCGTTCGCACCGCGCCCGAGACTGCGAGGTCGCGAAAACAATGTAAAAAAAATAATAAAGTTATCAATGGCGGTATCGAAACAACTGAAGTAGCACATGTCTAAAAATAATTCACTAACAAGAGGAAGAGTTGAACGGGAAGTGATATATATAATACACTGGAAAATCTACAAAGTTACATACTTTGTGCAACTTAAACATTAAATGCAATAATTTAGTGGAACTTTAGTATTGGAAGGGAATTCGATAACATGATCTTATAGACAAAGGAAACTCAAATATAAAAATAAAGTATACCACTTACTGTATCCTCTAACAACCTAAACAATTAAATACAAACATATTTAAAAAACTAACTGGCTAAAGAATTATATTGCACCACTTCAGTTACTGGCAAATGTTAAACTTAACTAAAAATACGTTTTACTTATCACAATATTGAATTGTGGATAAAACGAATAAAAATGTATACACCATGTATATATGCAACATTAACAAATATTAAAAAAAATACAGATTGACTTCAATAAAATTAATATCACAAAATTATTGAAATTATCTGTGGCAAAAAATTTCAATACCTTATTTAACCTCCATAATAAAATATAACCAATTACACAAGTATATGGCAATTATGAAACATTAAAATCTATATTTTCCGATTTTAATGTAAAAAAACAAAAAAATATATACACATAATTAATGTAAGTGCAAAATATTTTATACTTATTAGATAAATTATAAATAATATATTATACTACTGGGATTTTGACGGTGAGTTCACAGCTTCAAGCAAGCCGAGTCTAGGGACACATTATTTTACAGGATCTAGATTTACTTTATTTGGTCATTTAGTTTTATTGCTCAATCAAATCCTCTGATTGATCTTTTAATTAGGGCAATGTCAAAAAGAATTATATTTCTTTACTTAAACTATAAATACCTCTTGGATTTTTCCTGTACCATATTTACACTACATATAGAGCATTTCCAGTTTTTCTTGATAGACAAAGACAATCTGGTTGAAATTTAAAAAATCCAAACATGGATATGAATCCAAGGAGGTTGATTCATAAATAAACTGGTAATGTTCATACTGTAGTGTGCCAACACATAATAGTTCCAGTTAATATTATTTGGAGACATTTCAAGAGATATTAAAGTTCTTTTCGCTATTAGTCAAGTGCAAGTGTTCTGATCTCTTATTCTAATCCGTTCAGGCCGTTATCTCCCAGTACTGGCCGAGTCTCTCCCCGGACGGCAGCATCATACTCTGGGGACGAATGAAGTTCACTTCTATCGTCTTGAACCTCTTCTTTAGTTCTGCATCAAACATCTGGAAAGTTGAACAACATTTTACTTGCAATTTGGCGCTTTCAAGACAAGTTTTCTTCTATGGCTTCATTTCCACCAGTCACTATCCAGTCAGTATATAAGGAACAATTTAAGGTCTTGTTTATGTTAATTCTCCCTGTTATTGCTAATAAATAAATATTGCTATACAGCTAAACATCGAACTAAAAATGTAAGAAGCTTTACACATTCTAATTCACACAAAGAATTCTAAATGCAGTAACATATTGAGTGTCTGTATACAAGTTTCACTTAGAATACTCATTATACCTCTTCTCCGGCATGATCGATATCGATGGGGGCTCGTCTGTCGGGGTCAGTGACCTGCCTGGCGACGGCGGCCAGCGTGGGCTGCCAGTGCCGCGTCAAAGCTCGGACCTCCCATAGAGATGAACCTAGGGCTCTGGACCGGGATGCTGAAGACTCCTCCATCACGTACGGGTCGTTGGACACTGAGTTATAATGAAAAAAATTCACAATTAATTCTATAAAGATCTTACAATACAACAAAAAGTAACCACGGGTGAGGGAAGAGATGAAACCTCTTAATACTCAATGGATTGACCACCCGGTGTTGGGTCCATCGCATTGTAAGCAGAGGAACTTTAACAGTGCCTGGGACTTGCGACCCAGGTGTAGGTTTTAGGCCCCTATCTAACCCGCGTTATACGCTCACCTCCACTGTCCAAGCTCCTCTCTCTACCTAACAAAATTTGAAAACAACCTACTAGGGCTGCCTTTGATGTACGTTCCAAGAATGTATTAATGTTAGTTCTGGACAGACCCAAGTCTTTTAGTAGGTTATAGAGAGATTTAGCTGTTATACGTCTCGCTCCCATCTATACCGCGTACAAATCAACGACGAACCTATTTTGAGTTAGTTCGTTAGTGAGCTCGTAATATTTATTAACCTTGAAAGCATGGTCTTTGGGTATGTTGGTTTCCAATGGAACCGTAAGCTCTATCATCACATAATAGTTCTAGATATAACACCAAGTTAAATCTGTTCTAATTGTATTGAAACTTACTGACAGCGGGTGTGTCCTCGCAACAAATCATTCGTTTGAGTGCAGTGTGTCTCAGTAGGAGGTTGCCCACTAGTTGTAACAGACCCATTGCATCTTCAGGAGACGCTACTAGCGCTAGGCGAGACAGACGCTTAGCGAACCCTGCCACCAGGCTCTCGGGTAGGTGACTGGAAATTAAAAATTGGTCTATAATGGTATTAAAATACATCATTATATACTAGTACATACATATATTATGAACAATGATTTGCCCTGGTCACTTTATAACTTGAGACTGCATTTATATATTTTTTTATCTTTTCACATATTTTACAGATTGTTCTTATATTGCAAAAATCAACTTTGAGTCTTCTGGTGTCAAATCAAATAATTCATTACATAGAAATATCGCCGGGGATAATGCAAATTTGCGTAACTACCATTGGATGCTCCCGCGTTTCTTACTAATTGTGAAAAAAGTAAGTTAAAAGTCGTTAATTTAGCAAATATTTCAGCATAAACTATCTTCTGATAATCCGTTTCTAATGTAGATACGCGGAATTATCCAATAGTAGTTACGCGGATATGCGCTATCCCCGACGATATGTCGTTAACATGAGCAGAGCGCGTCTATTTAGTAAGTATATAAAATTCATTGGTAGTTTGTTATTACGTGGAACTGAGGAATATATCAGCTAGATGTATGAGTCGCTTCTTGTATCTGGTGGCGAACATCTCCGGCTCGAACATGGCGTACAGGCGGTCGTACATGTCCGGGTAGTCGATGTTGTGGTGACGGACCAGCTCCAACATGCCTTGGAGAGCCAGCATGCTGATGGGACCACCTGTTTATAAACACATGCTATATTATATAAGAAGGTATTTAGTTTTGTTTTCGGTTCTATAGAAAAAGGTTTGTAACTGGTTAAATTATTTTTTTTTACAAATTACTAAGTTTGCGTTTGAGACACCCGTCAATTCATCATGAACAGCAATGCAGTATGAATAACATTAATAATTCACATTATATTTATTTGCATTTCAAAGAAATTATATTTCAATAGAATGTTTAATTACACTAGTTTACACGGTTTTCATACCCCAGCTGAAAGTTGTTATTTTATTTTGTGTTCAGGTAGAACTATCCAGAAAAAATAATAAAAAAATTCTATCACGTCTGGTTTAAAAAATATTTATTTTCTTGAAGGGAAATACAAAATTTTTGGATTAATACAAAAATAAATTAAAAATGACAAATTTTTGCTTTATTTTTATAGTTATTTGAATTAGTTTCTCTTATGATAGACCAACAGTAATCCCCTAACATATTTTTATCCCAAAATCCTTGATGTTGTTCTTCGAAAGTCCTTAAATCTTGGTGGAAACGTTCACCCTGTTCGTCACTCATACTTCCTAAGTTTTCAGGAAAAAAATTCAGATGAGAGTGTAGAAAGTGAATCTTTAATGACATGTTTACTCCCATATCATGAAAGTTTTTCAATAAATTGTTAACAATTTCTTCATAATTTTCACTTTTTTTATTCCCCAAAAAATTTTCTACAAGCATTTTAAATGAGTTCCAAGCAGACTTTTCTTTAACCGATAAAAGGTTTTCAAACTGAGAATCTTTCATAATTTTACGGATTTGTGGACCAATAAATATACCCTCCTTCAGTTTTCCCTCTGTAATATTTGGAAATATTTTTTGCAAATCCAGGAAAGCATCACTGTTTTTGTCAAGCGCCTTTACAAAGTTTTTCATGAGCCCCAGTTTGATGTGTAAAGGGAGTAAAGTGACGTTATTTGGATCGACCAACAGCTCGTGATTAATGTTCATTTTGCCCGGAATATACTCATTTCGAACAGGCCATTCTTTCCGTACATAATGATGTTGTTTCGCTCTACTGTCAAACAAACAAAGGAAACAACAGTACTAGGTTCTCTCCATAGCATTGGCGAACCAAATGGAAGGTAAACTTTTTCTCCTGATGACCACTGGAGTAAGATGATTCTACAGCTTTCGCAAAACACGTGAGGCACCCACTTTTTATCTTGATTTGCAACAGGAAATCCAAAATAATGAAGATATGCCGTTTTTAACGAATCTACAATAGGTCTTCTCTTTTTTGAAAATATAAACTGTCCACAAACATAACAAAAACGGTCAGAACTTTGTTTGCACTTTCTGCTAGCCATTTTAAATCAATCCAAAGCAAAGTAACTGTCGTTTGAAGCGAACAAATAAACAATAAAATATCACCACCACGTCGAATAGTTAAAAAAAAACAATTGACGACAGAAAAAAATTCCGACGTGATAAAATATTTCTACTAACACTTTTAGGTTTAGGGAAGGTAGATTAACATATTGACATACATTCGGTTCGGGGTATAAATGAAAAGTAAAATTTTGTAAACTAGTGTTATTTATTAATTATTACTATATCAAAAGTACAGAAATAAATAAAATTTTACTTTCTTCAACTTTTAAAACTATTATGTATATATTATAAATTAAGTAATAGTAAATAATTTTTGCAAAAATTTATTACAAAGTTTGTTCACAACCTGTCAAAGAAGTAAAATTTGGAGCCCAAACTATAGTTTAAGTAACTTGAATAAAATTAAGAATTTCCGATGATATAAAATAATATATAACGCGTACCCCGTTACGCGTACGCGTAACAATCCTAGTTTTGATTAGATGAATAAATACTTGCAAAGTCTTAGATATCATTGAGTAACTTAAATTTATTTATCAAAATCTTAGTAATCTATGCGAAAACAAGTTCAATTGTATGTATTCACAAACCATACTACAAATAAAATTATTATTTTTCCCTTCTATATATCAATCCAATAGATATTTAAACAATTTCACCAATACTCACCTGCATCCAAGCTGTCGCAGAGCATGTCGGTTGCCAGATGAGGTTTGTTTAGTATGGGCATCAGTCTCTCAACGAGCAGCACCAGGGCTCTGCGATGAGACCGGGGGGACTCACATAGTGGCCACTGACACGAGAAACCCCAGCAACGGTTGGCATAACGACGACACACTGATGTGTTGTACGGGAATGATGGCTTGCCTGAAGAAAAAAGATTAATGTAAGGATTATACATGGCAACATTATCCTACTAATAACTATATGTAATTGCGAAAGTTTGTGAGTGTGTGTGTATGTTTGTTACTTCTTCACGCTCAAACCGATTATGATAAAATTTTGTATACAGGAAGCTGACGTCCAGGACTTTGGCTACTTTACACCCTGGAAAATGTTCGACCTGATAATCAGCGGGTAACACCGCAGGGCGCAGTTAGTCAGTATATAATACCATTACAATTCAATCTTACCGTCATTAGCGCACAATACTTTGAAATCTTCTTCACCAATCTTATCTTTGGTCTTCCTTACTTCCGATGGTATTTCTGTTGCCAACAACTTGTCAAATAACTCTAGATAATTTTGCATGTATATCTGAGATGGTGATCTGTTAACGAAAATATAAATATACATTTACTAACTAACATTTTTAGTAATATTCAAATAATTCATATGCAACAGACATTATATTATATTATGGTGTATATTGCCTCGTACAAGCCATACTAACAATTATTTAAATAGCAAAACAAATGATTATAATGTAGAAATGAAACATACTTATGACAAGCCAGTGTTGAAAGTACTTTAAGACCATGTTGCTGCACATCTCTGTATTCAGTGAACTCCTGGAAGCGTGCTATCGGTGCTAACATGGAAATTTCAGAATCCAGGAGTACACAAAATATATTCTGAAAACAATATATATAATATAAGAATATATGTTAACTACAATACAATATCACTGGGTTCCAAATAATGATGTAAGGTTTATATTGTTAGTTATCAAATAAAGCCAATGTTAATTTTAGCTTAAACTGATCAAATGAAACCTTCCTAAAAAACCTTCTACCTAGTCTATTCACATCTCTCATTTGGGTTAATAAAATCAAATTAAGGAAAATCTCTACACACTTCTTTTATTCCCATAGAAACTCTTTAGTTACATGATTTCCCTAAACTTAAAAGAAATTTTGATCCATTGTGCTCACTATACTGCCAGTATTTATATCACAATATGAACAAAAAATACTTATAATAAATACAAAAATAATAATGCATATGTATATAATGAGATAATAATTGTACCAATTTTTTTTGTATTTAAAACTAGTTTTTGGTGTTAATGTAGGTCATATCCTTGACTGAGGTGTTATCTGACTTCATTTTAAAATTTATTCAAAAATGTTTTACAGTTAAGAATTAACAGTGAAAAGTCTAGAGATAGTATCATACATTCATTTTAAACAAAGATACTATTTTTAATTTCATGAGAATATCAGGAACATATTAAAAAATCTAAAAATTTATATTTATGCATTGATTTGTAGAAATATATTCTTGAAGCATTGGAGGCAAGACTATTAACATAGTTTATTATTTTGTAACATTTGTAATAGTTAGTATTTATGTAGAATAAATGTTATATGAACACAGAACAAAACCTATGCAGTTAATGATAATTTAAATAGTGTTAGGTGAAAAACTTCACACACATTTCTAGATAAAGGTATTAAATAAATAATTATTATAATTAAATGACCAATCCCTTCTACGTTTTTAAATATTAGCACACAAATCTTTATCAAATTATTTCCTAAACACGTGCCGCCATAGCAAAATATATATGTTTGTATCTATATTTCAACAAATACCTACATATTATGACAGATACAAATATTGGTAATCACACAACTCTTTTTTTTTAATACATTACTTATACTGAAAATATCATCAGCAAACTGATATGTCATATTTTTATATACCTATGTATAAAGTTTGTTCCATGAAAACAAAATTAATATGTTAGTGTTGATAAATGTTTTCATTTATTACTTTCTACCTGTGCTATAAGAAAAAACATAAAATTCAGTTGGAATTAACTTCCTATTTCTTACATTAATGCAGGTCGCAAGAGCACTGATTTGGGAAAATAGTATGTTTTTTTTTGATTTGCACAATTTCGAGAGGTCAATTTGAAACAGATACACCTATTATATTAATTTCTTAGACAAGTTACTATAGCAACATACCTTCAATCTAACTGATGGGAAGAAGTATCCACTGGTATGTTCTAAAGGATATTTTCCCTCGGCTTGCATCAATTTGCAGGCTGTGACTAGGGCCTGGAGGCGAGAGCTGGTGCGTCCGCGTCGAATACATTCCACTACACGAGAGAGAGCGCTCTCATAACACTCGTTGAGCCATCTTGTGTATTCTGCCTCGGGACTACGGTCTGAGAAATAATCAAATCAGTGAGTACATGGTCCGTGAAACATGATTTTTTTTCTCTGGTATAAATATTAAAATTGAAACGATTAGCACATGTTCAGAGTATACGAGGAGATATATAGATTGTCAAAGGACATTTCGTAATTAAAAAACATCTATCATTAACTACGTTAATATGTACTTACTCCACAAAATCAATAATTAAGTACGTTCAATGTTTTTACCGCTCAACTTACCTATTGGTTTTAAGGGTTCAATATGTTGAACTAAATCGCCTCGTTTCAATAGCTCCGTGAAGATCACTTCAATTGTTAAAAGCAACGGGGTATAATTTTCCGTTTCAGCCTGTAATATGATGAAGAATGTTTAGAGACGTAACCTAAGACGTAGTTCATATAAACGCCCGTTACACTTAACTTCTTTATTTCCCTTACCTCAAACATTTGAAGAATGTCGGCTAGATTATTAGCATTTTTTCTAGAGTTAAGAAACTCATTTGCTTTGTTTCGCAGCTGTGCAGAAATCATTTTAGAAAAATTTTGGTGCACAGCAGCCATTTTTGTATTTGAAAAGACTTTGCTGACAGATAACAACAAGTCAAGTTCAAGAAACAGATGAAACATATAATAGACATAATCATCGTATCATGTAGTAGAATTTTGTTGTCTTTGTTTATAAATTAATTTTTATATACATATGTATTTCATATTTCCTAACTAACTAACTAATACAATTAAATTAAAATTTATTTCTTATAATAAAATAATTATAATTGTTAATCATTCCACTTTGAACGCAGAGGTTTTCAATATCTAGCATTTAAAAATGAGGTTATCTGTCAAACGCCGCAAGCTATAGCGGCATTTGTTTTGGTAACAGAGAATATTTGTTTTTACTTTATATACCTTAGTAAGTAAAATGGACGGGGATCTTTATGACGAATTCGGTAATTACATCGGCCCCGATTTAGAATCCGACTCTGAAGATGAACAGAGTGTGTATGGCCAAGATAACCGAGATGGTGATGAAGATGCTATGGAGGAAGACGAAGACGCAGACGCTGAGCCCGAAGTAGCTCCGATGTCTGTTGTATTGCATGAGGATAAGAGGTTTGTCTTATTTACTATCAGTTTATACGTATATATGATATATTAACTTTATTTTTATCTATTTGAATCTGCAAAATGTTAAACTTTGGAAGAGTTTTTAGTTTTTGGATAGCAAAAGCTTTTATTAATTGTCTGTATCTAAAAAGTAACTAAAATTGGTGAGTGCCATTAATCTAGTGTGTTCCATAATCACTACTTGCCATACATAAACTCTTAACAACTTTGAAACAGCCTTTGTGAATGTAAAAATGAATTTTTATGTATGTAATGGCATTATAAAAAGTAGACGTAGATGTAGATTTGTCAAACATGCAAAGCATATATGCAACTTAACAATAAAGCTATTTATTTTAAATTCAAAAACCTCTATGCAATTTTACAAATCTATATGTCAATATTTATCAAGTATTTTTAGTAACATAAATAGTGTCTTAAATTACCTCTGCATTAATAAACAATATACTTCTGTAAATCGTTTTTGCAAAATAGAATATTCAGCAGAATAACATGTACAAAAAAAAAATACACTTTTGCTAAAGTTGTTTCCCATAGGTAATATGATTGTAACTGTTGTTTATTTTTAGATATTACCCACAAGCAGTTGAAGTATATGGCCCTGATGTGGAGACAGTGGTTCAAGAAGAGGACACACAGGCCCTCGACAAACCGCTGGTCGAGCCTGTTAAACATAAGAAATTTCAAGTTCAAGAGCAACATTTACCGGAGACCACTTACGACATGGAATATTTAGCCGACATGCTAGATAACACCAACCTCATGAGAAATGTTACATTAATGGGACATTTACATAACGGTTTGTTTATATTGGTACATTTAAACAAAGCTAGACTCGTTAAAGAAACATCTGTCAAGTATTTAAAGGAAACTAATATTTTTTGGATTATGCTACGCGACTTTTTTTTGTTTTGTAAAAAACTACATACTCATTTCAGCAATCGTGATCACGGGCAGACAGATGTGAGTGTCTGTCAGCCGGTCTTGTTATTTATCACCTGTCGCCATCAATTTCTTAATTCTCTGGCGTGCCACTCTACGCCACTTTATTTTTTTATAAAAATAAAGTCGCGTAGTATAATCCGAAAAATATTTGTTTCTTTTAAATGAATACAACTCGCGACAATCTTAGATGTTATTATAATCAAGTATTTCATAATAACAATATTTTTTAGGTAAAACATCGTTTGTGGATTGCCTTATCCGTCAAACACATCCCGGTACAGTCAACAATGAGACGACAATCCCCATGAGGTATACAGACACGCTGTTTGTTGAACAGGAGCGGGGAGTCTCCATCAAATCTATGCCTGTCACTCTACTCCTTAAAGATATCAAGGGGAAATCACATTTACTTAATATTATGGATACTCCTGGACATGTGAACTTTAGTGATGAAGTCACCGCTGCTTTGAGGATATCTGACGGTAGGTTTTAATGATATATAGATATGTATTCACAATCTACTCTAATATATTAATTAAAACAATGTACTAATTATAATTATATCTATGTGTCATGCTATATATATTGTATTTTAACAATATATATACACTACCTTTCCGCCCGCAGCTTCGTCCGCGTGGAGTTCGGTTATATCGCGTTTCCAAGAGAACCTTTCAAAAGTCTGGGATAAAAACTATCCGATGTTCTTTCTCAAGGTCCTCTGTATCTCTGTACCAAATTTAATTAAAATCAGTTCAGTGGTTTAGTGGTTAAAAGCGTAACAGACAAACAGACAGAGTTACTTTCGCATTTATAATATTAGTAGGGATCAGTGGCGGCTGTACCTTAAGTGCACTCGTGCGCTGAACCACCAATTCAAAAGATTTAAAAAATTCATCTTCATTTTTAAATTACCATTTTAATATTTATTTTTTAAACATAATAACGTATAAAAAATTAAGTTTTCTAATTATAGTCAAAAAGTTTGTGCGCTTTACTAAACTAATATCGTGCGCTTCGGCGAGTGCACGAGGACTGCTAATACATTTTGTATGAGATACGCATTAATACGCCTGGCGCGTGAAACAAAACATAGTTCATAGAAATGTACCGAGTAACGAGTCGGTTCTCGAGCGCCGCACGAGCGGCCGAAGATTACCGAGAGCACCCGATGTATGACGAATTGAGCCGCGATTGACATCTCGTTATGTTTTGTTGCATTTTCTAATTTTAATATTTTAGTAAAGTGCACCACTAGTTTTATAACCCACCAGCCGCCACTGGTAGGGATGAATATGATTATAATGTTTTTAATTATTATGTAACAATTTTCTGTACCAGGTGCGGTATTATTCGTGGATGCGGCGGAGGGTATAATGTTGAACACTGAGCGGTTGTTACGTCACGCGGTCCAGGAACGAGTGCCGCTCACACTGTGTATTAATAAGATAGATCGTCTTATATTGGAATTGAAGCTGCCACCCGCGGACGCGTACTACAAGCTGAGGCACATTATAGACGAACTGAACACTATGCTTGAAACCAACCAGCCTCAAGACAACGCTGATGAACCGCCCATTGTGTTCTCACCCTTACTAGGTTTGTATTATTTTTTTTAACTATAAGGGTATATAAACAGACGGCCTACCTAATGTTGAAAAGGGGAGGAAGAAGTGGGAAAGGGAGGGGATAGGAAAGAGTGGGAAAAGGGTAAGAGCAATTGGCTCTTTCATCTATCGGACGAAACGCAGCCATTAAAGACTACTGCACACTGATCTTCTGTGAGAGGGTGGTAGTTTCCCGGTCAACCAGCCCATATTTGATTTGCAAACACAACTGACCACAGCTAAGCTCTACCTCCCAGTATCCATACATATTTCAGTGTTACCACTATAGATATATCATTGAAAGATTCAAGGTCATATTATATTATTCTAATCATATGAGTTGCATCTCTTGGCTGATTTAATTCATAGACACCATTGTTAATCTATTTCTATTGTGGTATTGAAGATTTCTTCCCATGTTCCAGGTAACGTTTGCTTCGCGTCGTCTCTGTACGATGTTTGTTTCACACTGGAGTCCTTCGCCGCTATGTACGCGCGGACTCACGAGGGCTTGCGAGCTGGCGAAATGTCCCGCTGGCTGTGGGGTGACATGTACTTCAATAATAAGACGCGCCGGTTCACTAAGAAACAACCGCACGCCTCGGCCCAGAGGAGCTTCGTGGAGTTCATACTTGAACCGCTGTATAAGATATTCGCTCAGGTATGATATATTTGATTTTAGTTTTTTTTCGTTATGTGCTTTTATTGAGAAGTTTACTTAGAACCCTATCGAATTACCAATTGGTATTAGTAGCACTCAAAACGATATATTTGTAAGTATTTTTTGTATACAACCCACACAAAGTTGTATACACCATATAAATGGATTCGTTATTTGTTTAATGAGTGCCATATAAACTGCAAGTTTTATTAATGACGTGACTGTTCGTGTGTGGTAGGTGGTTGGTGATGTGGACGACACTCTCCTCACAGTACTGGCCGAACTGGGAATCAAACTGACTAAACAGGAAGCTAAACTGAACGTGAGACCGCTCTTGAGACTAGTCTGCAGCAGATTCTTTGGTGATTTTTGGTGAGAATTGCACAATAGTATATAAAAAAATTATTACATAATCCTTGAAAATCTTAATCTATACTAATATTATAAAGCTGGAGAGTTTGTTTGTTTGTTTGCTTGTTTGTTTGTTTGTTTGAAAGCGCTAATCTCCGAAACTACTGGTTCGAATTGAATAATTCTTTTTTTGTTGAATAGTCCAGTTATCGAGGAAAGTTTTGGGCTATATAACATCACGCTACAACCAATAGGAGCAAAGATATAGTGGTAAATGTGTAAAAAACGGGAGAAATCACTTCATCTTTGAAGCCTTCCGTTGCGTGCGCCGTGAAAACGGTTCAAGATACACAAAAAATATGTATTAAAGAATAATAGCTCTCTTAATGATCTAAAAAACAGTCCGCGACAGTATATGTCTATCTTTTAAGATTAACTCACAAAAACCGTTTATATGGTACCTAATTTGGTCGAAATAATTTGTTTAAGTTGTATCAACATAATAATATTAATCTTTATTCAAATAAACAAATAAATATGTTAAGATTAAGAATACTTCATTGTGAATTAAAAAAAACATAGGTTTTATTATGAAAATTCTACGGGAACTCGACCATTCCGAAAACCCCGCAAGAATGGGAACTATGTGGGAAGAACCAAAAATCTGCCGGAAGTCACTATTCCACGCAGACGAAGTCGCGGCAAAAGCTAGTTATTAATACAAAAATATCATACCATACAATTTTTACATGTTATAAAAGATAAACACTCTTAAAATTTACGACAATATACCATTAATTATTATAAAATTATTCATTCTCTATTCATGTTTAAATATAATTCAGTAAAAACTATTTACCCCTAAAAAAAATTCGTATTAATTGTAACAGTATTGCCCTTACAAAAAAAAATCACTTCAGTTTTACGATTTTTTAATCCTGTCATATAGAGGTGGGAGCGAGAGGTATAACAGCGAAACCTCTCTACAACCTACTAAAAGACTTGGGCTTGTCAAGAACTCACATTAATACATTCTTGGAACGTACATCGAAGTCCCTAGTAGGTTCTTTTCAAATTTGGTTAGGTAGAGAGAGGAGCTTGGACAGTGGAGGTGAGCGTATAACGCGTTAGATAAGGGCCTAAAACCTACACCTGGGTCGCAAGTCCCAGGCACTGTTGAAGCTCCTCACATTACAACGATGAACCGGACACCCGCACGGTGGATACATTGAATGCTAAGAGGTTTCGTCTCAAAGATAATCACACATATAATATATAACAATTGTATTATTTCCAGCGGTTTCGTAGACATGGTAGTTCGTCACGTGCCGTCTCCTCTAGACGCCGCCCCTCGCAAGGTGCAGCACTGTTACCGCGGCGCTAACGGCCCGCTCTACGACGACATGATGACGTGCGACCAGTCCGGCCGGCTGGTGGCTCACACCACCAAGATGTACCCCACAGACGACTGCACATTCTTCCTTGTTAGTGTGGAACGAGCTTTATATATATATATATTAACTCCATACCTTACATTTACAGTTAGTGTGGAACGATATTTACACTTTATTCATCGCTAGTTTTCCGCCCGCGCCTTGCCCGCTTCGAATTCGGTTATATCGCGTTTCCAAGAGAACCTTTCAAAAGTCTGGGATGAAAACTATCTTGTCCTTTCTCAAGGTGAACTCTATCTCTGTACCAAATTTCATTACAATCAGTTCAGTCGTTTAGGCGTGAAAGAGTAACAGACAGACAGACAGATTTACTTTCGCATTTATAATATTAGTAAGGATTAAATAATTTACATGAATAATCATACTAAAAGAAAGAATAGTGTGACATACAAAATGCGGGTTTATTGCCAAATAGTTATTTCTTCCATATGAACTTAGTTTAGGGAGTAGCAAGAAGATAACTATGTCAATAGAAAATAATATTTCAGTGTGAAAAGTTTGGTTACAATAAAAGTAGATTAATAAAAACAATCATTTGTATAAAAAAAGAGAGTAAGGAACTTAGGAAGATATATTATTCTATTCATCTTTATAATTTACAGTCATCATCACAAGTACATGTTTCAAATGTATGTATTCCACAGGTGCTGGCTCGTATAATGTCTGGTACACTGTATGCAGGACAGACTGTGCGTGTGTTGGGAGAGAACTACTCCTCACAGGATGAAGAGGACTCGAGGATCATGAATGTTGGTCGGCTATGGATCTATGAAGCCAGATACAAGGTATGTATTATAAGATTTTGGAAGATGTATTATTTTAATCAATGTATAAAAGTACGAATGAAATTTAATTATACATATTTAGAATTTTTAATGATCTTATTATAGTATTTTCTTTTAAGAGATATGTATTTCCTTTCTATTTCTTTAGTATTTTAATAAATAGCTTAGTTTCACTTACATAGATTTTTTTTTGTTATAAGTTATATGAGCAAAGATAAGAGTCAAATGGCTTTGAGCAACTGATGCTTTATTGAGTTGAGCACTGTTCAATATTTAAAAAAAGTAATTTAGTTCAGTGGACTATTTTCTAAAAATATAATTACACAATTGTATATAAAACTAGTTTTTGCCCGCGACTTCGTCCGCGTTAGTTTGGTCAAGAGTAATATATGTAGGTATAGCTGACCAGGCGAACTCTATTCCGTCTTAGCGGCCATAAATAATCAGGTTTTTCCTGTTTCAATCAAACAGAATGATTGACATATTAGTTAGTTGTCAAATCTAATGTCAAAAAAAACGTTTGTATGGGAAATAGAAAACGGCTGTTTTTAGCGTTTTCCCAACAATTATTAAAAATTTTCTCACCTTTTATACCTTCCCTGGACTTCTAGGAGTATTTCAAGACTAAAATTAGCCAAATCCGTTCAGCCGTTCTCGAGTTTTAGCGAGACTAAGGAACAGCAATCCATTTTTATATATATAGAAGATTATTGAAGAAAATATACATTTGCTAATTCTATTTCTAAAATTTATAGGTGGAACTGAATAGAGTTCCCGCTGGTTGCTGGGCTCTCATAGAAGGTATAGACCAGCCTATAGTGAAAACTTGTACTGTGGTCTCCGCTGATGAGGAAGAGGAACTTCACACATTCAAGCCGTTGAGGTTTAACACACAAGCTGTTGTCAAGATAGCTGTTGAGCCCGTCAACCCATCTGAACTGCCTAAAATGCTGGATGGACTTAGAAAGGTCATTTTTAATATTATCTTGTTAAATTTCTTGAATTTTTTGTTTTTGAACAATTAGGAGAAGGTTAAATATAGCCTTTATTTCCTTAAAGTGCTTCTGCTATTATAAATATTATATGGGAGATAAATATAAAAGTTACTGCTCAAGATAAAAGTTTACTTTAACAATTAAATATATAAGAACTATTTGTGTCTGTCATTAAGTATTATAAAATGTAATTAACTAATTAACACTTAATAAAGTTGTAATTTTTTTATGTACAAAGTCAATATATCTTAATTATCTTCTTGATTAATGTCCACATGTCTAATATGCTGTCTATCTTTAATTCTTTTTCCAGGTGAACAAGTCTTACCCGGTGTTGTCAACTCGTGTGGAGGAAAGTGGAGAACATGTGGTGCTGGGGACCGGGGAGTTGTATCTTGACTGTGTGATGCATGATCTTAGAGATATGTACTCGGAGATTGATATTAAAGGTACCTACAAAAGATTTATAAGTTACTAGCTTTTGCCGCGACTCCGTCCGCGTGGAATAGTGACTTCCGACAGATTTTTGGTTCTTCCCACACAGTTCCCGTTCTTGCGGGGTTTTCGGAATGGTCGAGTTCCCGTAGAGTTTTCAGGATAAAACCAATTTTTTTTTATTCACAATGAAGTACTCTTAACCAACAACATATTTATTTGTTTATTTGAATAAAGATTTTATAAAATTATTTCGACCAAATTAGGTACCATAAAAACGATTTTTGTGAGTTAATCTTAAAAGATAGACATATACTGTCGCGGATTGTTTTTTAGATCATTAAAAGAGCTATTATTCTTTAATACATGTTTTTTGTGTATCTTGAACCGTTTTCACGGCGCACGCAACGGAAGGCTTCAAAGATGAAATAATTTCTCCCGTCTTTTACACATTTACCACTACATCTTTGCTTCTATTGGTCGTAGCGTGATGTTATACAGGGTGACTGGTGAATTACTATCGATATTTGAGGACGTGATATTTGACGATCATATATGACAAAATAAAAATTAATATAACATAAATATTAATAAACTTCTAAGTAAAGTTAACCAAAAGTGATGTAATAAATTACGCATCGTATGAACACCCTACAGATTAGGTATACACACACACTCACACACGCGTGCTGATACAACACTACGCCGCCGCACGCGTCCACGCTTGGAACACTTGGAACGTGTCAACACTTTATTTATTTATACGGAAATTTGGTCAAAAATTAAGTACCTATTTTTTTTACATAATTCGAATGAGAATCATGTACCGAGTATTCTCCTTAAATATTGATAGTAATTCACCAGTCACCCTGTATAGCCTACAGCCTTCCTGGACAACTGGACTATCCAACACAAAAAGAATTATTCAATTCGAACATGTAGTTTCGGAGATTAGCGCTTTCAAACAAACAAACAAACTCTTCAGCTTTATAATATTAGTATAGATAACTTCTAGGAGAATATATACATCTCGTCTGCCCGTGATCACGGTTACTGTAAAGTAACCGAAACGTCGGGAGTATGTAGTTTGTAGTGAAAAATAAAAAAATCGCGTAGTAAATCTGAAAATATTAGTTTCATTATTGGAGAACTATATATAAAAATTGTACTTTTATTGTCTAAATTGCGTTAGAAAATATAATTTAGTTATCTTGTTTGAGTACAATAAGTTAAATATTATGAATTATAATCCCTGAATTAGTATGTACATAGTTCCATATGTTAGCAAACTTCACTTAGGTAACCAAAAAAACAAATCTGTATATCTAACACAATTAGAAATGTTATTTAATCCAGCAAATTTAGGTCAGATTTTCACAATTTGAGACAAACTATATTATGTATAACAACAGGAAAAATAAAAACTAATATTCTATACTATTCCATGTTACACAGTTGCAGATCCAGTAGTTTCGTTCTGTGAGACGGTAGTAGAAACTTCGTCTCTGAAGTGTTTTGCGGAGACTCCCAACAAGAGGAACAAGCTGACCATGATTGCTGAACCTCTAGAAAGAGGACTCGCTGAGGATATTGAGGCGGGGGCTGTTTGTGTCACCTGGGATAGAAGAAGACTCGGGGAATTCTTCCAGACCAAGTTAGTATTGGAGATTTATTAGGTTGGATTTCGGAACTATTTATTTATTTCGTAATTATATTTATTATTATTAGAATATATACAAATTTAACATAAAAGTAGCCTGAATTACTCTTGAACACTTCAGCTGTCTTCTTCTTGAAATTTCTGTTAAAACCGAAACAAAGTGACAGACAAATATGTATTAAGTGAAAAGAATGTACTTAAATTTTATAATTGGTAACACGAACTTTATTTGTCCATGTCTATAGATACATAACTTGTAAAATATAGAAGACCGATTAGAAGGTAAAGAGTTAGTCTCAGAACAAATTAAAAAAAATATACATTGTGGAGAAGTTTAAGAAATTCTATAACTAAAATAATTTCATAAAAATTAAACTGAAAAGGTCTTTGATAATATTGACCATTCATCATATCAATATATAATAATGTTACAGATACGACTGGGATCTGTTGGCGGCTCGGTCTATCTGGGCGTTCGGTCCAGATGCCGCGGGTCCTAATATACTGGTCGATGATACGCTGCCCTCTGAGGTCGACAAACATTTATTGGCCTCTGTCAAGGACAGTATCGTGCAAGGTGGGAATTAATATGAAAATACAACTAATTAAAACAACAGAAAAAGATGTTTTCACATAATATATCTTCGAGATTACAATTATTTCATGTTTATTTCTAACAAGAGAATAATTTAAACTTTATTATAAAGTCGTATTATAATTATTATTTATTAATTACTACAGGCTTCCAGTGGGGTACTCGCGAGGGTCCTCTGTGCGAGGAACCCATCAGGAACGTGAAGTTTAAGATCCTGGACGCCGTGATCGCCAACGAGCCGCTCCATCGCGGCGGAGGACAGATCATACCTACCGCTAGACGGGTAAAAATAACTGATATAAACACTATACTGAGTGTTGGTCCGGATTAATGTATATGTAGCAACTTGTGTATATACTTTGTATTAAATATGTCCAATTTATTAACATCTTCCAAGTTCAGATTAATATTGATTAAGTCAAGTTCCAAGTTCAGATAATCATACCCACCGCTAGACGGGTATAGTCCGTTAGACTTAAGCTGAGCTTTGCATTTGTGTGAGAGAAAGTAGAGTTAGACAAAAAACTCTTAGTATTAAATTTTATTATATTTTAAATAAATACATAACATAAGTGTTTGATCTATTCTAGATTAATAAGCAAAACTTGTAAAAGGTCAAATGGAAATATTATAGAATTTTTTTTATTAAGTAATAAAAATTTTGAAAAGACAATACAAATTTTTCTTTACTTGACATTGCGTTTTCAACATTTGACGTTGCTACCAGTACAAAGGGTGAAGTGAAAAAGGTGCGGGCGGTGTAAAAGCGGAATAAACCGGTTTAAAACTAGAAAAGAACATAGCATTCGAAAATTTGACATTACAGCTATACTATCCGTGTGCACTCACACAAATGCAAAGCTCAGCTTAAATCAAACGCACTATAAAAATAACTGATACAAACACTATACTGAGTATTGGCCCAGCTTAGCACCTTTTGTGTATACAAGTGGTGTCAACTATGTTAATGTGTGTCAATATCTAGTCCAATAATCTACATCTTTGAAGTTAAGATTAGTATTGATCGTGGCGTGTGTTGTAAGGTGGCGTACTCAGCGTTCCTCATGGCCACTCCCCGCCTGATGGAGCCCTACCTGTTCGTGGAGGTGCAGGCGCCCGCAGATTGCGTGTCCGCCGTATACACCGTGCTGGCTAAGAGGAGAGGTAACGGAGTAAAAACACGAGTAATGTTTATCTATCTAACTAGTAGAGACTTATCAGTAGTTCAATGTGTTCAGGTCACGTGACCCAGGACGCGCCCGTCCCAGGCTCGCCTCTATACACTATCAAGGCCTTCGTCCCCGCGATCGACTCGTTCGGCTTTGAGACTGATTTGAGGACCCACACGCAGGGCCAGGCGTTTTGCCTGCAAGTGTTCCACCACTGGCAGATTGTTCCCGGCGATCCTCTGGATAAGAGCATCGTCATCAGGTATGACATAGTTTCATCCGAACGAAATACTTGAACAAAAGTTCAAATTTAATGTATAGAATCAATAATTAAACTGCAGCTTTTGGAATATTACCTTCCAGACGCTTTTTCTTTGCCTGTTTTAGTTACCTATTTGATTATGTTAAATAATATTCCTTATTAAATGTATTCCAGACCTCTCGAGCCCCAGCCGGCGACTCACCTCGCGCGTGAGTTCATGATCAAGACGAGGAGGCGGAAGGGTCTCAGTGAGGACGTGTCCATCAATAAATTCTTCGACGACCCTATGTTGTTGGAGCTAGCGAGACAAGATGTACAATTCAATTAATATTAAATATAGCTATTTTAGTTTATCGTGGGTTTTATTTATTAGTATATGGGTCAAATTTTTTTTATCGCTATTATATTACACTAAAATACTGACTACCTTGTCACGTACGCGCTATATAATATGAAGAAATATTAAACATTACCGGGGCGACATCTTTGTATGGTTTAAATATCATATAACGAGTGACGCCGCTGATTCCGCGGAACGAACATCAAGCCGTGTGAACCAGAAGATTCCTTACACCGTACAAGCAATAGAATGTCATTGTCATCCTGACATCGGTGCAATCATGTAGTCTTAGGCGTCGGTTATATGTTTTAACATGTAATTCGGATTTTAATATACATATGAATATTTTTCTTAGTTTTCTTAGAACCTCCGTTTGTCACCCTATATAATTACCTCTTATTCATTCATTTATTTACTTGGTATATGATAAAACTTTAATTATAATAACTAATACCCACGATAGTTAGATAGTAACGCTTGCGCGCCACCTAAGCGTAACTATAACCAACGTGTGCACCGATCATACCACCGAGCGTGGTAGAAAATGTATTAAAATATAATACAGTTGTGTTCTAAAAACTGTCAACCCTTAAAGGCATGTATACGTACAAGTATAAGCTTATTATTAAAAATAGTATAACTTAAAAAATATCAAGCAGAGATCAGTTACAGTGCATAGGCTAAATAAATTTTAAATCGACATTATTTGAAAAAATGTTCCAAACATCTGACCCGTAAAAGGTTAAGGAACCCTATAGTCGCGCCGGCGCATGCGCGGCCATATCGCAGGTGTCGGGGTAATTATTATTATTATTTTGTCAGTTTTCGAATAAAGATTTGCAAGTTTAAAAATTAGGTATTACGATAAATATTCTATCAATATTGCTATAAATAGTTATGCTTTTCAAATTAAAATAATTTCATTTAAAATAACTATTATTAATCAATATTATAATTTGGAACTTCTTCAGGTAGATTAACTATGTTGTATTATTAGGAAAAATCGTTAATCTATTTCTGTTAAAAATGGTGTTTTACAATCAAAAATAATATTAATGTTTGATATATCAAAATAATATGAATATTAAATATTTATTTATTGTTATGATTTTTTAAATATCGATATTTTCAATAATGTGAAAGTAACTTCGAGTTCGTCACTAGTAGTGCAGCAGGTGTGATGACGTCATTGCGTGTCATCGTGTTATACCAGTGGGTACAAACATTTGGTTACTCTACATATAATAATCATTTAATATTTAATTTTATTATTTTTATTGAAGAGTTTGTAAATGTAAGTTGTTTGATTATGTTCCATTTTCGATACTGATAACGCAGTTAAGGGGGTTGACACAATTTTTCATACACACTGTATGAGAATTGAGAAAAGATAAATTTATGTACATACTAGCTTTTGCCGCGACTTCGTCCGCCTGGAATAGTGACTTACGGCAGATTTTTGGTTCTTCCCACATAGTTCCCGTTCTTTCGGGGTTTTTGGAATGGTTGAGTTCCCGTAGAATTTTCAGGATAAAACCTATGTTTTTTTTATTCACAATGAAGTACTCTTAACCAACAACATATTTATTTGTTTATTTGAATAAAGATTAATATTATTATGTTGATACAACTTAAACAAATTATTTCGACCAAATTAGGTACCACAAAAACGGTTTTTGTGAGTTAATCTTAAAAGATAAACATATATTGTCGCGGAGTGTTTTTTAGATCATTAAAAGAGCTATTATTCTTTAATACATATTTTTTGTGTATCTTGAACCGTTTTCACGGCGCACGCAACGAAGGCTTCAAAGATGAAATAACTTCTCCCGTTTTTTACACATTTACCACTATATCTTGGCTCCTATTGGTCGGAGCGTGATGTTATATATGTTATATAACGGAACTATGTGGGAAGAACCAAAAATCTGTCGGAAGTAACTATTCCACGCGCACGAAGTCGCGGCAAAAACTAGTAATAGTATAAGTATTAAACATTCGTTTGACACACTATTGGCAACACTTTTGTAAGTCTTATCCTCACTATTCGATTATTTAAACTGTAAATGACAAGAAAACATATTAGTTATTATTAAGGTGCTATAATTTGGTCCCTAGACTAATTATACCCGATTTAAACTGTTATTCAGTTTAAAAGAACTTCATGCCTTTAATTATGGCCCACCCTCTTATTCCTTCTATTCCTACATTTATTTGAATGAATTTTTATCATTGTTTTGGTGCTTAAATAAACCCTATCAATTTGGTAATTTTTATTTTTATTAATGTACTAGCTGACCCGGCAGACTTTGTACTGCCTCAATCAAGAAATAAATTATGTCTTATTTATTTTTTTGGTGTTTACCTTTAAGCCATAAATCTCCGTGTTCGGAAGTGCGACAAATAATTGACATATTAGTTAGTTGTCAAATCTAATGTCAAAAAACCGTTTGTATGGGAAATAAAAAAGCGCTGTTTTTAGGGTTTTCTCGGAAATTAATAAAAAAAATTCAGCTTTTAAACCTTCCCTAAACCTCCACGAACATTTCAAGACTAAGATAAGATAAATCCATTCAGCTGTTCTCGAGTTTTAGCGAGACTAAGGAACAGCAATCCATTTTTATATATATAGAAGAAGATGTGCTCTACAAAATGGCGGATAACTTAGGTTTTGTCAATCCCATCAACATGGGTATCAAATGAAAGATCTCAACAAGTAGAATACAATTTACTTTGCTAAATTGAAATCTAAGATGGCCGCCGCTACCAAATGGCTGATAACAATTTTTTAGAGGAGTTGGACTGCAATAAACTAACGGGCAAGAAACCTTGCAATAATGAAGCACAAATGAATTAATTAGAATGAAAAATAAAAAATAAAAACTAGAAAATGAAAATAGGTAAAAAAACTTTTTAAGTAAAACGGTTTTACGCGAAACATACATTGCAATGTTTAAGATAAATGTACTAAAAACCAAAAAATAATAAAATAAATACAGTCGTGGGAATTATAAACATATGCACAGACTAAACTAAAATAAAAGTATGGGGCAAAATAAAATACAGTCCTTGATTAAAATGTTTGTTTTGTAATGTTACACTATAATTAGGCAGTTGTAATTTCCATGAGCAAGAAAATAGTAAGTAATTTCTTCACCGTCTGCGGGCCAACTGCCTAACGACGAATTAAGCGATTCTTCTATCACACTAAGTCGATAATTTGTATACAATTGACGTGCCCCACGCTTTTATTTTAGTCTAGTCTGTGCATATGTATATAATTCCCACGACTGTATCTATTTTATTATTTTTTGGTTTTTAGTACATTTATCTTCTTTATCTATGGTGCAGATATACTCTATGGTTTCTAAATTTCTATTCATAAATGAAACGCTCGTTCATTGCTGGTTGTCCCTTCGTTGTGATAAGTTTACATTAAGTTTTTACTAATATAAACTTAAAATATAACATTATAAATGACAAATAATATGTATTTAAATCAAAGGTGTTCAATTTGCTAAATAACGTTTATTATAACGCAAGATGGAAGATGATGAAGATCCGGTCGAACTTCCTCATCAGGGGGTAAAGATATTGTCGGAAGATGAGAAGCAACGGTTAGAAGCTCAAAACTCTAGAATTATCCCTGAAGCAAAGGCATTAAGGTTAGAAAGAGAAGCCAAAAGACATTGGGACATATTTTACAAACGTAATGAAACAAAATTTTTCAAAGACCGGCATTGGACAACACGTGAGTTTCAAGAACTTATAAATTTCGACGTAGATCAGAAGATTGTGTATTTAGAAATGGGTTGTGGAGTTGGCAATATGGTTTTTCCTTTGATAGAAGAAGGATTTTCAAACTTTTACTTCTACGCGTGTGACTTTTCACCACGTGCTGTGGAATTTGTCAAATCCAACAAACTTTACGATGAAAATAAAATAAAAGCGTTCTGCGCTGATCTAACTACCGACGATATCTATGACAACGTGGAAAAGGAGAGCGTAGATATCTGCAGTTTAATTTTCGTATTATCTGCTGTCCATCCTGCTAGTTGGTCGCAAGTAGCCAAGTTGGCTTACAACGTGCTGAGACCCGGCGGAGTCCTTTTATTCCGTGACTATGGCAGATATGACATGGCGCAGTTACGGTTCAAACCCGGACACAAGATATCTGAGAACTTTTACATGAGGCAGGATGGCACGAGGTACGAATGGTTTTTAGTCTTAATATACACATACATCAATATGGGTTCTCACTAAGTCTAATAAATTCTCATTTGTTTTAGGAGTTACTTTTTTACGGATGATGAACTGGCCCATTTGTTTGTTGAAGCTGGATTCGAAATTCTCATGAATAATTATGTCCAGCGTCGGACGGTCAACTTCAAAGAAGGTATTGATGTGCCTCGTATATTTGTACAAGGAAAATATAAGAAGCCTGTAGCAGATGGTAAGATTCATTTATTATGATTGTTTAGCAATTCTCTTAATAACTTGTAGTGTTTAATATTATAATTGTTTAAAAACTAAATGATGTTAATATATTAACCCTTGAAAACCATGAGAGGCATATAATATTAGCTCTATCTGAACCGTCTAAAATTTTTCCAAAAATGTATTGTTTGATGTCTTAAATATTAATCTATAGTGTTTGTTTTAGGTTTTACTGAAAAGGCATCCTGAATTTCCACAATCGTCTACTAGGGTAAGATAGTTAGACTAAGTTAATTAATTATTATATATAACACTATAATGATGAAAATGCAGTGCAGCTGACCCACAATAGGTATTTTCAGTAGTAGGGACTACTTTTATAATTTTAAATTTAAAGGTTTTTTTTAAAGTAATGGTTAGTTTTAATGCTAAGTGTAATTTTTATTATTATTCTTTTTTTATAGGGCTAGCATAGGGAACCAATTGTGGGAATTGATGCATACAAAATCGCTTAAAAAGCATTCTGAAATTGTCTATGACTACCATTCATTTGAAATATAATTTTATATTTATAAATATAAATTTTCTGTTTTTAGATCTTGGACTGGAGTGTTAAGAAACTACATGTGAAGGTGAGCTTTGTGATATAAAGCACTTTAGTAATTATAATATCCTATACAGGCAAAAAAACTATCTTTCTCTCAAAGTGATGCTGTCAGAGCTGCAGAGCTAATCACAATATACATAATAATAAATATATATATACATAACTTTAGTTTTACAGTCTATACATATATTCTAAGTGATGATCCCATAGTTCATCTGATTACTCTGATGTACATCTAGCCATGTCTTTCGCTCCTATCTGATTTTATAAAGCTCTACCATACAAAATTTTCAATAACAGACAAAGTATTATAACAATTTTTTATATTTCAGATATTTGTCACATGAATGTGTGGAAGAATCATTGGCTTGTCTCAGGTGAGCTTACATTGAACTTTTCATACAATTTTTAAGTCATTGAATCTTGTGATGATCCCATAGTTCATCTGATTACTCTGATGTACATAATGCATTGTCTTTCGCTCCTATCTGATTTAATTTTTCTCAAATACCCACTGTCTTAACCAAAACAGGAAAATAACAATATAATTTCTTCTAGATATCCAGTTGAAATGGATTGAAGTTTGAGAGCTGCAAAGAAATTTCTAAGGTGAGATAAATTTGAATTGTTTTTTATTTCTTTATATTGTAATATTTTTATGATGATCCCATAGTTCATCTGATTACTCTGATGTACATAATGCATTGTCTTTCGCTCCTATCTGATTTATTGAATTAAAGCTAATACATTTGTCTTACTAAATGGTAAAAATAATTAGCCAGACTTTGTTTTTTTTCAGAATTCAACAATATTATCGGAGGAGAAACAAATACTATTGACAAGACAACTAAGATATTTGAAATATAAGGTAAAATATTCTCTATTTAAATGGTAAAGTTATTCTTTATTCAGACAATTCCTCTTCATGTGATGATCTTAGATAGGGACATCTTAGTTTATAATGCTGTTAACATAACTATCCACACTGATACTATCAACAATTTGTTTATAATTGATTGTTGCTATATTTTTTTCTAAAAGGATATTAATTTACAGGTACACTCAAATCATGCAAGCTTCCCTGGGCTACAAGTGATGAAAGGTAAAATTGAACAGTCTAGTTTTATTTAAATATATTGATATGAACGAAGATTTGATTAGTATGATGATCTGAGATAGGGACATCTGATTATGATGCTGTTAACATAACTATCCACACTGACACTGCTTCACCAGTGATTACATATTATCTGTGCAATGTATTTCACACATTTGATATATATGTAAACATTTCAGATCAATCAGTACTTCAATGACATAGAAGAGAGAAAATTAGTTTAAAGGTATGCATTTTTATTTTACTTGTCTGGAAATGATTGTTTATATGAATTTTTTATGATGACTGTTTAACTCTGATACTCTTGAAGAACAAAACATAACGAGTTCCGCTGTCTGAGTGTTTTTGTTGATAATAATCCATATTTATATATAGAATTTAATTTAATTGACTTTTTTTATTTTATACAGATGTCCACATTCATCCTTGTTAAATGGCTTTTCCGTTGTCTACAATTTCTACATGCTACATGGTAAATTTTTTAACTGAATAATTTGTGATATTATAGTATTGCATTTCAAATGATGACCGACCTATCAGGTCTCCCTCGTCAGAGAGAACCCAAACAAACCCTGTTGATAAAATAACGCGTCTGATTCAACATTTATAAGTTTTGTCTCGGATATTAAAATGTCAATGTATCAATATATTTTAATATTGCTTTCAGATATGGCTGATATGGAATGCTTCCACTATTTCAAAGCTGTCTTCAATACAAAGTAAGTTATTATACATACAATGTAGTGATGCTTCGTTAACATTACAAATGATGACCGACCTATCAGGTCTCCCTCGTCAGAGAGAACCCAAACAAACCCTGTTGATAAAATAACGCGTCTGATGTTATGCTGCAAGTTGATACTCGAGTATATTTATCGTCAAATGCTCATAAACCCTTTCTTTTTGCTTTCAGACTACAGAAGTTCTCACAGTAGAAGCGGAATATAAGGTTGGTATTTTTGATTAGTAGATAAGAAATCAAAATTGAATACATAGTGCTAATTAAAAATTTATATATCAATTCTGTCTTCAAAATAGGTATTCGAGAGCATATTTTTATAAAATGTTCTCTAAAGCGAGACAGAAAGTGACGTGATCCAAACTGCTGTGGGCAGCGTGACGACGCTCCCTCAGTTATATAGATTCACTACAAGGACAATATTATTATCAGCTTTTTCCATACATTATATTTAATAGTTTTTTAGATATAGATTACTTGAAGATTTTTTCTTTACAGGTAGGGTAGGGAGGGGAATGGCGTTCACTTAAGGAAAACATGGCGTATATTTTTAATTATTTATTATGAATTAAAATTATGAAATGTAAATAGTCTTTAATTATAGAGTAATCAACAATTTAACAACGAAAGATTTTTGCTTAGACCGATTAATAGTAGTAAATTATTTAAAAAAAACGTGTTTGAGCAGCTTTTGGGTAATGCCTTTCAGGGTACGGGGTAATAACGCTCAAACATGATTTTTGAAATATAACAAGTAAGATATATTTTAATTAAATAAATGAAATCAACCTAAGGCAACAAAAGTAAAGTCTATAATCACAAATTAGCATAAATTATAACCATTTGGACGTAAGATCACCCTTTTTCATTTTACTTTTAGTCTCCATTTTAAAATTAACTTAAATTATTATGATATTACTGATATAAATAATTATTAGAGGTATAAAAAAATACAAATCGTATTTTGCTACTTTTGAACACGTAAATGACAGATGTATCTATCTGGTGAATCCTACCTTGAACATAAAGCATGAGCCCACGGTCCACAGAGGGTGCAGCGATACCACAACTCGTTATTTTTCCCAAATTCTTCGCAAACACATGATACATTTGTTATAATCTTCATCATCCATATTCATTTCGTCATCGCTGTTATCGTCTTTTGTACGATTTTTGTTGCTTAAATTTGTTCTTTTTTCTTTGACGACAATCTCTGGTTTATCAGTTTTTACAATTTTATTGAGTTTCACAAATTTTTTTCTTTCCTTTATCCTCTAAAATATTTTTCAAATTGGTCGCTGTCAATATGGTAACATGGTGTTTTCTTTTTCTTTGACCTGGCTTTGAAGATGCTGCAACAGTTGGTGTCTTTGATATTGTAGCAAAAGATACCGGAGTTTCTTGACCATTACGATGTTTTTGATTAGAAGTAACTGCCAAAATAGATTCTTATTTGATGGACCTGACAAAGAAGATGTATGTCCTCATAAAATAAGCATACCCTCAGACTGTTCATCTTCAAAATTCTGGACATTAGGGTCTTGGTTTTCAGTGATTTGTGCCATCAGCGACGCTGCCAGAAAGTCTTGATCGGTAAAAACATTTGGGTTCATTGGATATATTCCCGTGGCTCGAAATCCAAATTCTGCTTTACCTGCCTGTACATATGCTTTATTGAAAAGACCTGCAAAACATCATATTGAGTTATTTTGGACACCAAATGTGTCTGCATGTGCCTGTTGCATTCATGCCTATAAGCAGCTTTCAGCGTCCCATAAAAAGATACATCTAGCGGCTGTGCTCTTTGGGAACTGTGTGGAGGAATGGAAAGCATTATTTTCTTTGCAAAAGTTAAAAGAGATATGTGACTACAACGGTTATCCAAGATTAATAAATCTGGTGATTCTTTGGTAGGTTTAGCACATGTTGCGAAATGTTTGAGCCAAGTGACAAATAAGTTTTCGTTTATCCAGCCGTTTCTAGAATAAACATGGATGGTATGAAATTTCCAGCTGCGCTCATCGCACACATAACTGTTACGTTGATTCCTCTTTCGCCGTTTGTAACAGATCCAACTCTTCTTTGTCCTTTCTTAGCGAGGACTTTTCTTAGGTCTGTCACTGTCGTGATAGCAGTTTCGTCAGCATTGTAGGTATTATCGGGAATAAACTTGTATTCTTCCATTAAATGGCTAAGTTTATTATAGAAGTGCGTAAATTCTTCTTTGTTGAAAGCAGGAATTATATTTAAGCTGGTCGCTTCAGCTTTGCGAATAGAAACTGAAGGATTGCGTCTCATAAATAGAGGTGTAAAAGTAACGAAAAAAGCGTACCCGTATGTATTCGGTACTTTGTCAATTAGTACTCGTTACTATCGTATCGTTACGTTACTCGTTACTTCTGATACTTCTCAAGAGCAACGAATCGAATCTTATTGCGTGCGCTTATTATAAAGAAAAGGATGAATGGACTATTTTTATTTTGTAATATAACCGTGTTACCTAAATCACAATAACATCGAAATCTATTATGAATCGATTATAAATAAAAAAACAACAAATGGGTCTCGAGAATAATTTATTGACAATAAAATCACAACATTCTAATGAAAAATTAACATATTTTTTTTACTTTGAATGAAATTAAATAGAAAAATTAAATAAAACATGTTTTAAACTAAATTAAAATAACAAAAATGTTTTGTTCTTAAAATTAAATAAAATGTGGTAATGTTTACCAAAAATATATTTTAAACAAAAATAAAACAATAAACTGTTTTTTTTCTTAGAATAAAAAAAACGTAAAATAAAACGAATCCTACAGTCATTTAGCATTTGCAACTTGCTCGTTGCGCCACCTCAGTATAAAATCAAATAAATATATATTAATAAAGACATTCTAGGGCAGAAATCTTTGGTTCATATTTAAAAATAAAATCTTCTCCATTCGCTTTGGTTGAATAGATTCTTCTCTCACTTAATATTTGGTCCGATTTTGAATTACAAAGATCACACTGCCTTATCGTTTATAACCGATGTAAAAAAACATCATAGTTTACTTCTTTTCTTATCCATCGTGGCAGGTAAATTGATCTGTAAAATAATTAATTAGTGTAAATAATAATAAATCAAAAATAAGCAATTAATAATAATTAACAGCCAAGAAACATTTAAATCTCATTAGAGCAGCTTCATTGTAATATCTCTTTTAAGCTTCGATCAACAATACCTACCATGTTGATTTTTTTTTTGAGGTTTTAAGAAAATAAATGAAAACGTAAAATACGCGATAATTATGATTTCGACGGTCGGTGGATGCAATGAAACCAAAATTATTTGACTTAATTAAGAGTAAGTTACAACTAGGGTGTGACTATGTTGCACGAAGGTTGAACAAATAGTGACATTAATTTAATCAAATTCTTAAAAGAATTCTTATAATCTAAAAACATAAAAGAAATATAAAACCAAAAACTGTCTTCACACGGAACTGCTGAGTCAGACCCGTGTAGAATAGCCGAGTTTACCCAGAAGCCAAAGCGTCCTCTGATTACACCGTATTAAGATAATTATATTTTAATTAAACGACCACTTATTACACCGTCACATAACACCTCCCTCCTGAAGATCAGCGAATATGAGGAACTTTAGTTGTTAATTGAGCTGGGGGTTGATTGAGGTCGACCCTTCTGGTAGGTGTGGGGATGGTGTAGACTGCTTGTAATTCCATCTGGTTGTCTTCAGGGTTATCTCCGGAATGTAATATGCGCTTGTAGAAATACTTGCGATATAACAGAGCGGCGGCTATTGCGCCTATACTATCAGTACCACGTAGAGAGGGATGGTGGTGTGATATAGTATATAATTTGGGTTCTGGTCTAGGGTCAGCAATGGTTGTAAGCCGACCTTAATGTCAATTTCATGTAAGTGCTTCAAACTGATAGACTTTAGGTTGATTTTAGGTGCTGAGGCTGTCGTGACGCTGTAGCTGGGCAGGTCCATTATTCTTACCGCTTGTCCTTGTACCCGGTTATCGGCGTTTGTTAAAGTAAATTGCGGTGTATCAATATAACATGATTGAGGAATTGTAACGAGATAGCTGCCGTGTAGTGTGCGATATGAATCTTGTCCACAGGATAAATGAGTTTTAGTTGGATTTGGGAAACTGATGCTGTAGTGTAGATCGTCGAGTTTCTCAAAGGCTGTCTTCTTCAATGATACGGTGATAGGTTTGCACGATGATGCTCGTTGCTGAGTTATGATGAGATGCTGGATACAGTCTTCGAATTCTTGGTTTTGAAGATGGCGTTTTTCCTCACAAAGATACCATTTACTGGACTTGGGGCATTCTGTCTCTATGTATATGAAATCTTTATCATTCAAGGTTAAGTAAGGGAAAGGCGGAATAAGGACTTCTTGATTGAGGTTAGGTATAATAGATAGTTTTTACATATCATAAGTATCAGGTAGAACTATAGGGATTTTATAAACTATTTATATCTTATTTCCTACGTAATAAGAACCTATCTTAATTATATCAAAGTATTCCCTAATATCTAAATCTAACACTTTCTGACTGCCATATAGGTTACTAACATTACTAATAATAGAGTTCATAGTTTCCAAATTTAAGGCCGCACAGTGAACGGTGGACAGTTTAATAAAACCTAATACGTTTTGAAGTTTATATAGTTCATGGGAAACGGAATCTACATTATCTACATTATTATTAAAAGTATTTGAGCTAAATGTGCATACTCTCAAGTTTTATGTCTTGCGTTGGGGTTGATAGGTGGAAGAGTGAAGTACCAGGAGTTTCCTGCAACAACTGTGCCTTTGAGGTACTTTTTTAAGTCGGGACTTGGAAATAAGACCTTTCTTTCGTTTTGTGTAAATGTGAATTGGGAGATTAGCTGTCACCTCGTCACGTGTGTACCGCGGGGATAACTTTTGACGTGAGGCAATTGGGTTTTTAATGAAGATGGGTTGATCAGGCGAATAAGTAACTTCAGGCTCACGATCCTTGTTACGTCCTGTCATTATATTAGTTCGTTCCTCAATACCTAGCTCATGAATCGTGTTATAAACTATAGTCATTTTAGCTATATGATCGATTATATATTGTTGTAATAAATGTGCTGAAATATCCATATTAAAAGGATCACAGGGGTCAAAATGTCTTGCAACAAGATCTAGAGGTTCACACTTAGTAAAACTATGAATACTACTGTTGTAAGCTAAAATTGCGTAAGGCATAATGTTAATTACTGAATCTGATTTTTGGCCTGATTTAATTACACGATATTCGAGTGGATGAAAAATCTTGATTGATTAAAATGACATACAAAATTTAAAATAATACACAATTAAAATTCTAAAAGTTAAAATAACCGAAATAAATGCACATGAAATGTAATAAAATTCACACTAATTGATTTGAGAGTCAGGTGAAAATGTAGGCCTATTAAAAACTACTATCCGTATTACTACTAATTCTTTTAATTAATTTTAAACAAAATTAATAATGAAATAAATTGATTTTATTAAGTAAAGATTAGAAATATTAAAATTAAAATCTTAAATTAATTAAAATAATTCACCTATATCTATTAATAAAATTAATTAACCCTTAAATGCATGATTTAATGCATGATTTTATTTTTAGATCGAGAAAAAATATATTTTGGAGCCATGAATATGCTGATTTAGGGAAAAATAATAAAAAAAAAATAGTTTTATTTTATTATTTTCATAGCTATTTTTATTAAAAACCATATGTTGCAGAACTACAACACTATGCACTCACTAGACAATAACTACCTACATATGAAAATTTTTAAAACAATTTTTGGTTGTGGTAAGACAAAGAACTACTCCACACTTCTCACACCTGTTTTGCGTGTATCCCTTGCATCCAGGCATTTTGCATCTGCTGCGAACGCAATTACCAGGCCAGTGACCAACATTGTCAGTCCTTATGTCCTTAGGAGGAATATGTTGAACTGGTCCTCTCCTTTTTTTTGCTTGTATTTCCATTTCAACACTGTTGCTGGTACTTGGCCTTCCTCTTTTGTTGCAGAGTTCAAATGAGTTATTTACTTTGGCTAATACCTCAGCTAGTTCCAGTCTATAGTTACATAGGTTTAGAACTGATGAATTGGCTTCAGTTGTTTTTAAATTTTTATACACAAGCCAAGAATTTATTACCGTCATGTCCAATAAGTGGTAAAAGATACAAAGATACCACTTTCGGCTTCTCATTGCAATTCGGTACCTCCCAATAAAGCTATCCATTAGGTCCACTCCACCCATATGGGCATTATATTCCTTTATTATATGTGGGCATGAAATTTTAATTCTAGTCTTATTTGCCTTGTCAAATCTTTCTACTTGGCCCACAGGTTCAGCTCCAACATATGAAGATAGAAAAGTTTCAACTTTATTGTCCTTCCAAGTAACTGCTGTCAAATCAATACCGTCAAATTCAGTCATCTGCTCTTCATAAGTACCACGAGGAACAGATTTCTTCATCATTGTGTTTTTGTCCGGCAGTTTGCAGTTCACTAGCCTGTTAGATTGCACAGTACCTAGGCTATAGATTCCTTGTTTGGCAAAATAGGTAACTAAAGGTACAGAGGTGTAAAAATTATCAAAATAAATTATATGATTTGTATGCCTTGGGACACCTCTAGCAAGCCGGACTACAACATTTCCCACTGGCCCAAAATCTGGTTCATCTGGAAGCCGTTCATTCTTTTGGCCAGTATATATTTCAAATTTATGAGCATAACCTTTCACGCTGCACATCACATATAATTTAAACCCCCACTTATGGGGCTTATTAGGTAAATACTGCTTCATGAAGTGTGCCAGTTTTGTGGCACACATCTGTTCATCAATTGAGAGTTTTTGTTCCATAGGAACTAAAGCAAATTTCTCATTTAGATGGCTAATTATAGGCCTTATCTTATGGAGCCTATCATGTTGTGGGTGTTTCTTGGGTAAATGTTTCTCGTTATTGTTGAAATGTAGAAATCTACGAATAGTCTCAAATCGGTTGACAGTCATTATGTCCTTGATTGGTTGAAAACCTACAGTATTTGACCAGTACAGCCGTACATTGGGATATTTTATAACAGACATGTATATCAGTATCGCCATAAACTTTCTTAGCTCAGTTTCAGACAAATTTAATGGTTTAGTCACATTTTTTTGAACGGAATACAAATTAGACTCTTCCGCAATCCTTTGACCTATTTCTGATGTAATAAAATGTGAAAAAATACTATAGGGAGTACCAGTAGTAGCCTCATCCTTCAGTTCAGGTGGGTATGTAGTGACTCCATGAAAAGCTGTCTGGTCAGAATTCAAAACAATTTTTTTACCTTCCATACGAGTCCTCTCATAGTTGCGCATCCATTAGCTTGACTTGTTGAGGGGAATGAAACCTGTGGCACTTGATCATTTGCTGTAGGTTCATTTATCAATGGCGGGTCTCCTGCCATGAATGGATCATTATCGGGGTCATCATTTTCCTTTTCTAATGGACTCTCAAGATCGTGAAGTAAATCGTCTCCATTTTCATAAAAATTCTCATTACCTTCTGTATCCGAGTCCTCAAGATCATCTTCCGAAATCTCTCCATCATTTATTAGAGCTAAATACTCTTCTATTTGCTTTTGATTCAAGTATGGCATCTGAAAACCAATAAAAGTCATAGTTAGTAACTAAACAGGGACATTTTCTAGTAAATGCATATTGTTGCAGATTTACAACAACAAAATAAACAAAATTTCCGAACACACCAAAAGTTTTTTTTATAACTTATAAATTGTACTGAAAAGAAGATGAATTATTTAGTGCTTTTCGTTATCCAGCCTTTAAACCTATTATCTTTTAATTACGAATTTACTAATTTCTGTTCATATTTCACATTTTTATTCTTAGGAGGACTTTTTCCAATCGACGAATCACTATTAATATAAGTTCAGCAAACCACTTCCAAATACCTGCTTCAGTTACAGCGGCTCGACCATTCGATATATTTTCAGGCGTCCTCTCACTTAACTCAGGATTTCGTCTCAGAAATGATTGGTACCATTTATTCCCCGGTCTATTATTTACAAATGGGTTTGGTCTTTTATCTTCAGATATAATATTGTGGACGGTACTCAGGAGATCATCACGTTTTAATGGGAAGCCACATTTCGCTAATGCAATACACCAGTTTTTCAAAGCAGTTTCTTCAGTTTTTGGTTAGCACTGTTTCTGGTCCCATTTTACGGGGTAAATCTGGAACCCTTAAATGTACTCGATCCTGTAACGTCCCTCGTGGAACCTTAAAGACTCGACTGGCTTCTCTAATTTTCATACCATTCCTAATCGCCGCCATAGCTTCTATCAATTGTTCTTCTTTATATTGGTGGATTGGTCTCTTTGACATAATGGAACTCTAAAACAAATGATTTTTAGTCTAAAATAATTTGTGCAGAAATTATACTCTAATTAAAAATGCTTTAAGATGCTATTTAGTGCAACAGGACTGACGGCTGATTACTGGATTCTTAGAGCCATTGGTCGGCCACTAACATGCAGTTACATTTGTACGCGGCTGACTACTGTTAAAATACACTTTTCGTCTTAGAAAAGTTAAGCTCAAAGTATTGAGCAAAATTTGAATTATTCGGTCCGTTAATATCAGCTAAATCTAAGATATTCCCAAAAAAACTAGTAATCAGCCGCTTGTGGCTGAGCACTGGACCTACAGTTAAAATTCCAAACCCAGTAGTGAGCCACCTTAATTACTACATATTTAACAAATAAAATATATGTTTTAGTTGATTTACTCGCAAAATAAACAGTTTATTGTAACACAATAATATTATCCACTGCAAAAAACAAGATATAAACACAAAAACTTACCGAAAACTTTAAGGCTTTCCTGAAGACAAAAAACAGTAACAAAAGCGTGTCTAGTCATGTTTGTCACGGCGGCGCAAATGAACGAGCTCAGCTCCTCTAACTGATATGACATCGATTCGTGTGTGTGCTTAGCAGCCAATAGAGAGACAAAGATTCGTTCAAACGTTATTTTAGTGGTGTACATAAATTTTAACACTATTTATAGGGAAATAATGTGTAAATCAAAAGAGAAGTATATGTGTTGAATATCTTACTCTGTATTTAGACATACTTCAAGACAGTGAAAGATATGATATGTATTTTCGGGTTAACACTATGGATGTAGAAACACTAATAATTGACTGTTAATATACACGAAGTATGATGACGAGAGTATTCAGTACCGAAGCGCAAGGTTGAATGTCTTTGTTCGCTAATCCGATCGAATATTAAAATCTTACGAAGCAGTGGGTAAACGTGAAACTCATATCGTCGCCCGTTCGCTTCGCCGCATACTACGCGTTTCGCCCGAATATGCTCGTGAACTAAATATTCATTATAAATAATATTACATAAATTTTTATACATATAATATTGAATATATAAATGTGTAGTGTGACTGTATAGAGTGTAATATACGTAAATAAATATTAAATATAATTTTATATATGAAATATGTCGTGTAATAAATAAATATAATATAGTTACATATATATTTTGATATTACTCCTACAACACAATTTGAAGAAATACACGAATTTATTCAAAGTGACATACATAAGAAAGACACGAAATTTCGCAAAGCCATTAGCACTAAAGAAAGACTTGCTATTTGTTTTAGGTAAGTACCTAAGATAAACAATAAAAAAATACTATTATTATAACTATGGAATATCATATTGATCAACGTTGTTATAAAACCCTTTCAAATTTAAATTTCTTTGCTGCGATTGTTCAGAGTCTACGCGTACTTCTGGAAGTTCATATTGAACTGATAGTGAATTATCCTCATTGCTATGTTCAGTCGAAATTGGGTTTGATATTATTTGATTTGTATTTAACCTTTCAATACATGAATTTTCAAATATAAAAAAAAAGTAATGGTTAGAAAAATTAACATGATTTTTAGGAAAAATAGAAAAAAAAATCTTTGCTTAGAAAATTATTTATTTTTATTTAAAAATAATTATGATGTAGAAATACATCATCATGCATTACAGCTTTGGAAAAAAGAAACTTACAATCTATATGTAAAAAGAACTCGAAAACTGTTTTACACACTTTCATTCAGTATGAAACTTTAAAAAGCAGTTGTTTTTCGCATTTAAACATGGAGGGACCTTGCATTTAGTACAGGACCACTGAGTTGTTCCAGAGCTACCTGGAATTTTGCATCTTAGTCGGAGAACTGAGGCCAGTGGTCTATCCCGTCCTTCCGAACAACTTTTGAGGGGAGTGGATGAGCAGACTTCTTTTGTTTTTTTGCCTGTATTTCTCGTTCCAAAGAGTCATTGCTCGGTCGTCCTCTTTTATTTCCGTTCGTGGATCCTATATTGCAAAGGGTGTCTGCCAATTCATTACGAAATTGACCAAGATTTGGCAGTTGCTTTTTTTGCTAACATTTTTTATGGGTTCGTAACCGAATTTTTCATGCCAGTAAGACCGTACACTAGGTAAATGTTGGACTGACATAAATAGACATATTCCAATAAATTTTTGTATATCAGGAGTTGTTACACTGAAAGAGTTTAATGGGTTAGTCTGTACACAATAAAGGTTCGTTTCATCGGCTATTTTTTTAAGAAAATCAGGTGTAAAATAATAGAGAAAGCATCTGTAAGGCGAGTCGAGTTCTGCTATGTCTGCGTTGAATGGTGTGGGCTCATAAACTATTTTAGTCTCATCGTACGTCAAGTAATTTTTTTTCCAAATTAGTCTTCGTTGTCAAAATTATTATAAATGCGTTCCTCACATCCTGTAGGACACGGTGATATACGGCTTATCTCATCTTCAACTAGCGGTGGATCGCTGTTATCTTGACTGGTTGCCGTTTCTTCGTTGTCCACTTCTTCGTTCCTGTCTAAATCCTGTAAAATTTCCCTGGCTGTTTCATAAAACAATTCTTCGTCTTCATTTTCATCCTCCATACCATCATCAGACAAATTTCCAGATTCTAGTGCATTTAACAGCTCCTCAATATCCCTGTCTTGCAAGCGACGAGACATTCTATAAAAATACGAAAGAAACTGTAAGACATAAACGCATGAACCCCATGCACAAGTACACCCACTCCCGCTAACAACAAGAATCTATTTAATTTTGGTCATAAATATGTATTTAAATTGTAACTAAATACTCCTTACAAGCAGGAACAAATGTAAATACGAACAAATATCCAAACATTCACATAACATTTTCATCGACGGTGTATTGAAGAAAATTAAATAAATTTCTACCGAATTTGCATAATGATGTATATCTACATCACAAAATATATAATTCCAACAATTTACGATATTCTAGACATATTACGAAAAATATTGATCTTATTCATTACACTTACCTCTAATCTTGTGAATTATATTTATTTTCTAATAATATTATCACTTTTTTCCACAAAACAACAATTTGCAAAACCCGCCGAAAGCAACTTTCTGACAAATTGAGTTTAAAACCAAAAATATCCATAGATTAATAAAACATACTGTCAAATTTAGAAAGATGCGTTCACAAATTGTGAATCAAGGTATGTTTTACTAAAAAAAAAAAAGTTGACGTTGATAGTGTTGGCTGTTGCTGCGAAATAAGCATAATAAACTAATGATGTAATACTACATCACCATGCATTAAAGGGTTAAATTATATATGTACATAGAATCACTTGTTCTTTGGTTATTTATCTGTGTGTTTTCTTTCTCTGGTATTGCAATGCGCGTGTACATATCTACTTTGTCCTGGTTTTACAATCAATGGTTTGGTTACATTTTGAATTATTTTGTTCTCAGTTACATTAATCGGAGTATTCAGAATTCGTTCACAATTATTTTACATTTTCATTTCCGAATCGTCTATAAGCCTGTGTAATTGAAATTTAATTTCACGTTTCCTGAATAAACGCAACCAATATTCTCCTGCCATTTTTTCAGAATCCCATGTAGAAGGGTATTTAATTTGATTGAGCATTGCGAACTGATATGCCAGTTTCTTTACTTCTTTAAAAGTCAAACCAAACTAACTGAAGCATTGCTGCGTCTTTAATATAATTAGCTAGTATTCGTTTTTGTTCGTCTTCAATTACTCTTTTCACTGCTAGATTTTCGAATATTTTCGCTACCGATATACCTTTTCAGGGCATAGCTGTGATAGCGTCTTAAACTTGTTCTCGGAATTTGAAAATGTTTGGAAGCACCATGAAGTGTTATCTTCTTCTCCTTCAATAATCTGATTGCATTCTCAATTTTATCTGTGTCTAATGGAGTTTTTTTTTGTTTTGCTTGCTTCGCAGCATTTTTCCTTCACAATAAAAAATAAAAAAGCAATATTATTCGTGTCCTAAGTACAACTAATATGATGTACCTTGACCAGTGTCCATGGTACCTAGTTAGTTGGAAGGCCAAGGTACAACATGGTGACAATTTCTATAAACCACTTTTATAAACACACTTAAAGTTGAGGTTAGTTTCGAACACCAATGCTATCTGTTATCTACATATACTGAGATTAAATTGAGATAAAAGATTTGTAATATATGTTGATCACGTTAAATAAATGGGCATGAGTAAAGTCCGAAAAACATACTTTTTGAGCAAGAAATAATAAATTACCTTTCTTATCTGCACTTACGCGCTGCCGGCGAGTCACAACTTACTCCACGTTAGAGTTTACAAACGATGCTTCGACTGCCATAGACAATATTATTGTAAAGCGCGGGAGTTTTCGAAAAATTATGATTGACCTAGGGACAACACTATCCAACGTAAGACAGGTTCCCCTACAACAGGCAAAAAATTATCATCTTGTGCTTCCTGATTGCCGACTCTTCTATGCACATGTGGTAGGGTCAAGTAAAACTGATGATGGATATCTTCATTTTTTGATACGATATTAGTCTAACTTCAGTGACTTTTTCTGGTATATTATTCTTTAGGTTTATTTATTTATTGGGAAACAAACAGTATTACAACCAATCAATTGAAATAATTCATATAAAAATACATAAACTAATGAAGTTTCCACCTAGGGGTGCCCACTTTGAAAAAAAAGGTGTTTTTTTCGATTCGATATATCGAAACTGTACATCGATTTCTTTCGATGTATTGGAAGAAAACATCGATGTTTTGTATAAATCGAGTACTTTTTAAAGATTTTTTTTAAATCCACTAATTTAAGCATTGTGTTATTAAAAAAACGGTAAAATAAAAGCCTCATGTATAGCAATATCTTTATTATATATGAAAGTAACAACAAAAATAACATCCGCATTTATTTTTATAAGTTTGTTATAATCCTATCCTATTTCCAGTGTTCTTTTGGAAGACTGCAAAAACAACAGTTTATTTACTACTTAATAAACGTTTACCTTTCAACCTATTTCTTTGTTGATCCACGACTTGTGCTGCTTTAGAAAACAGGTATTTTTACTATTGAACCAGTTATCGAAAAATATATTGTGGTTTACATTTCGAGGCACAGTAGATGTGAGTCGTGTAACCACGTTGGAGCTGACACCAAGATCTGGTGCATCGCTTGGAAAAGTGTTGCTTTGATCGCCAGCAAAAATATCGAAGTCGTAACTGAACCCTGATACGCCACTCAACACTTTTTTGTACCCCCACTTATGAGGTTTAGCTTGGTTGTACTGTTTGAGTTGGTGGCGATCTTTCGCGGGTATAATTTGTTCATCTACGGCCAGATATTCTTCTTTGGGTATCAAAAGTAACCGCTCTCTTAATTTATCTATGAGAGGTCGAATTTTAAAGAGTTTATCGTGACCTTGTGTACCGGGTGGTTTGAAATCATTTTTTAACATCAATTTTCTTACCTTTTCTATTTAATTTCCACCAACAAAGCTGCAATACATTTCACTGAGAACGCCTTCGCGTACGCACCGGAGAAAAGTGAGGTTATAATGACACATGACGTTGGCCAGAGACAATAAAATTTACGTTTCGGTTCAGTTTGAATTCCTTAATATTACTACATTGAGATTTTATAAATTTTGTTTAAAATTAGGGTAGAAATAAATTACTAAAGTTGAGCAGCCAAAATTGGCTTTGTATGCAATAGACGGTCAATACACTACACTTTAGCGCGCTTCTTTTAACCCTACTTGCGACGAGAGATTTTTCTTGACTTAGAATTGCCGGACCGGCTTCGGAGACACTTAAAACGCGTGCAGACGCTACGGTGCGTGAAATGCGACTCCCCATGAGACGATTATACTCTTTTACAATTTTCGGACATTTTATATCGACAGGAGATTTTGCTTCCTTGCTAAACCGTTTTATATTTTCAATATATGAACTAAAAATCTTTTTAGAGACATTACATCTGCTACCTTTGCATTACGAAAGGACATTTTCCAGTAATCTTTGTATGATGGCAAAACTACAATACCCATAACGACGTTTATTGCTAAAAAGTCTAGTATTTCTTCCCTTGAAACTGTTATAGATTTTCCTGTTCTTTGAACGCTATACAAATTTGTGTGGGTGGTTATAATATCTTTTAAATCTTCAGTAAAAAATCTATAAAAGTAATATAAATGTGACCAATCAGATGGGATATTTAAAAAAAAATTAGGTCCTGCTAGAAATAGACCTAAATTTTTTACAATTTCAACGAATACTTTTTGCCAACGAAAAGATAAATTATTTTTTCTGTTACACTGTCTTTTTATCGTTCGTGCTAAGCAGAGATGTACAAAATGGTTTTAAAAAACCATTTAAATACAAAATCCAAAATACTTTTCAGATTTACTATTTCAAATGCAAAATACTAAATAGTTTTGCGTTTTGTATTTTAAATGCTAAATGCAAAATAGTTATTTTCAAAATACTTTTTCAAAATAAAATACCTTCTGACTAAATCACAGATATTTTTATTTATTATAGGTACATATTTACTTATCATACATGAGCAATAGAGACCGAGCCGAAAAACAAACGTCTAATAACATCTATACAAATAAAGAAAATTGGAGTGTCTGTTTGTTATATTAAAATAACTGCTTTCTACCATTAATTTATCCAGGTTTACTGACTTCTGTAGAGAATTTGAAAGAATACTTTGCTTCATTTTTTTATATACATGCGGTACTAATGTTATCAGAATCTGCAACACTGCACTTTCTTTTCTTTGTATACTGGGATTGCAATTGTTCATACTCTTTCAGAAGATCATCATGGCCTTTTCTCTAAAAAAAATAACAACCAGGTTAATTATTTAAAAACAAAGAAAAATTACATAATTACCGATTGTTAAAAAAATAATAGTAACTAATAGGTATCCTATAGCTATTTACATATCATATCATACACAAACAAATTTTCATAGGTAATAAATACTTTAATATGATTTAAGAAGTTTGTTGTTGCGTGCAGACTTCCCTTCAGTGTTTTTGAACATATCTTACAAACAGCACTTATATTACTTTCATGATCAGCCTCTTTCTTCACGTCTTTAAAACAGTGCCTTAATATAAATGGTAGATTAGGGTTATCCCTGAAATAAAATCAAAAACGTATTATTTATTTAATCTAACTATAACCAGTAGCCAGTACAGTACAATCTCACTAATCCGGCACTATTAAAAACCGGAGGGTGCCGGATTATTGGAATGTTCGAATTACCGGATTATAGTGAAATAGTCATAGGTACAGTCAGGTCGGGTAACTTTGGACCACTTTTTGAATATTTTCTGTCGCTGCCTTTAGGATTCTATTATTTCGATTAAAAGAACAGTTTGCTCTGTGATCTGGATAGTCTGTGGTTATGGCACCGCTAAAAAAAAATAAAAAATGATTGGAGAAGTCTATGCAAATCCCTGATTTGTAGGTGGTCCAAAGTTACATTGAGTTTGGGGTAACTTTGAGCCATCATAAATATTTTTGCGAAAATTCGTGTTTTTTGCAAATTTTAGAGCACAGGGTAACATTGTACTATGTTTAAATAAATAACGATGAAATTTTTACTCTCAGTAAACAATATGTTGTCAAATAAAAATAAATCAAATGCCCCAAAAGTCCATCAACAAGTTGAATGCATGTGGATTATAGGATCAAGATTCAAGATATAAAATTCATTTTATAAAACATATTTTTTAAATAAAACTTTACTGTTTAAATGCTATAAAAATATATATTTATTCAGCTTTCGATACATATATAACTTGCTATGCTTAATACTAAATTTAAGGTAATGACTAATACAGAGATCAAAATAATGGACAAGCTTCTTAGACTTTTGTCCCAGTCTTATTGCAGTCTTCATGACTTGAACACAACTTCACATAAGGATATGTATATATACTTAATAAAAAAAATCAAATTATAATTAGAACACAAAAAAGAAGATGGGCTTCATTTCCTTACATCTATTCTCCCCACTCCATAGACAAGAAGTCATCATCAATATAAATGATTTTGCCCCTTTTAGATATTTTGTTATCTCTCAGCACTTTTATAATCATTGAAAGGTCAGTGATTGTAGTTAGGTCTGGTTTATCTGGCCAGATCCATCCTCCGTTCAAGTTTTTAGTTAGACAGCTGACACACAATGTAGAAGATTCACTTATTTTTCTTATTTGTCCAGGGAACAAGGTACCTTCATCCTTAAACACACAAAAATTTGTTTACCTCAAACACTTCTTCTTGTTCATTTATCTGCACAAGTTTTCCTCCATCTGAATGAACCAAAAAATCGCCTGTGATATTTTCAAAACCAACCAAATGTGCCACTGCTTCTTCTGGTTCTTTAGTGGGGTCATCAAAAGGTCGTTCTTTAGTGTCTGATTCAGGGTTAGCAGCACGTGTGTCTTCTAGTCCAATATGTAGCACATTTATTGTATTACAATAATTTTCTTTGCCCATGTCATCATTACTTGCAATAGTTTCTGGTACATTGCTCATTATATCTGCATCAGAATGGCTTCTATCACCAATATTCATGTTTTTTGGGACTGATAGATCTGCAGCTGTATTATTTTTCTGTTCTATTGTTTTTTTCTTTTTCCCGTTAACATTTTTGGAACCAACTGGTCTGCCTCTCTTTACAGGTTTTTCTTTCTTCTTGGTCTGCTCATCAATCTTATTTTTGTAAAATGTTTCAACTTCTTCTGCCGAGACTGCCTTTCCTGCTTCAACAGGTAATTGAAACTTTCTACATGACTTGATATTTAGGTCTGACTCTCTGACTTCTTTTAAATATTCTTTGAAGGTCTCACCAACAGATGTTTGAACGTCAGTAGCTGCATACCCAGGTAAGATTGGAAGAACTTCTCTTCGTGACACTGGATGTATTCCACATTTGCGGAAACCGGCAATCAGATTTAATCCTGCAGTTGATTCACATTGGTCCAAGGTAAGTTTTAGCAACTGAGCAAAAACATTCTTTGGTAAACTAATAGCTTTCCTACCTCTTTGGGTTAGCCGCCACGTTCTCAACACTGTCCTCCAGGCTGTTTTTAAAGAGGAAAAGAACCCTACATCCAAGGGTTGTAAAAGATGAGTGGAGTTGGGGATGAGACAAATAAACTTAATGTTATGTTCCTCACAAAGTTTTAGTGCCTTAACAGTTATATGTGCGCTAAGATTATCACAAAGTAGAATTTTCTTCCCCGGTTTTTTATCCACTATTGGAATGAAATGTTTTTCTAACCACTCATCAAAAATATCCGCGTCAATCCAACCTGATTTTGATACGGTCATTTTAGAAGACTTAGGAGCATTTTGTAACCAGTCAGACCAGCAATTTTTGCCTTTAAATATGAAAAACGGCGGAACGAATTCTCCTACTGCATTTCCACAAAAAACAACAGTAAAACATGATTTTGTGGAATTTCGGATCAACTCTGGATGTCGGTTAGCACGGCGGAATAAGAGTTTTTGTTTACCTGGATCGTCATGAAAGCCGGATTCGTCCATGTTGTAGATATTTTCTGGAGGTACACCATCAGCTTCAAGTGTTAACAGATCAAAAAACTTATTGACCATATCTTCATTAACTTGTGCTCTTTTTCGGGAAATATTGTGAGCGATTTTCTCCTTGAGAGCTGGATGTCTCTCTAGATATAGCTTTCCCCACTCATAACCTGGAGTATTATCAGTGAACACCGGTACAAGTTTATTGATAGATGTCAAGTAACGCTTAACAAGCATTTTAAAATCATTAATTCCCACTGGTATACCGAAATCACTCAGAGCAAGCAAATGATCCCGAAACATTATTTCCTCTTCCATGGTTAGACATATTGGTCGTCCAACAGCTTTACTGTGCTTCATTCTCAATTTATTATTAAGAGTAGATCTTGGAATTGTGTAACGTTTGGCTACTTGCCTTTGTGTTAAAGCCCCACATTTAATCAATTGTAATGCTTCTTCTAGCTTCTCTGACGAATAATTTGATAAGGTGCCATAGCTCCGCACCCCAGGTTTCTTTACGTTTGATTTTCGAGGCATTTTATAGATGTGCATACACTGAAACAATTTTAAATTATTTACATCTAGAAACATAAATAATGGCTATTAACATTTATACATAAACAAATGTAATGAAGAAGTAAAATGGAGAAAATATAAGCTATGTTAAGATGCCAATGTTACCCAGCTTATTACAGATTATTAAATAAAAACGTTGGGTAACTTTGGCCGGTCCAAAGTTACCCCAAAAATCAATTTTTTAGGAGAACTTTATTTCATTTTCAAATTTAACACAGATTTTGTTTACAAATGACCTTAAAATGATTGTTTTCATTTAAAAAAAGTAACAAATTACATATATTTACATTTCTTACTCGGTTACTAGTGAAAAACACGTTGAAATTCAAAATTGAAAACACTACTTACCAGAGAGCACTTCCATAACGGTTGAAAAAAAAATTAGATTTGTTTGACAGATTGTCAGTTGTCAATGACATTTTGTTTTTTTTTTATGGCTAGAGAGTTAAACATTCAGCCAAATTTTTATCAGTAGTTAAATAATGTCTAGTTGTTTCTAAAAAAAAGAAAAAGATTATCTTTGGGAATGGTCCAATGTTACCACCGTGGTATAATGTTACCCGATTTGACTGTAATAATAAATAAAATAAAGCATTTCATAGAAGGAATTAATATATGTAATGTACTAAATTAACATGTACATATGTCATTACATAGTTTTGAAATAATCGTTAATTGAGGCCTGTTTTTTTGTAACTTGTAGTCCTTGCCTGAAAACTTTTTCTCGCATGTTGCGAAGAATTATAATATCTTTGGCAGATATACCGTTTTCTTCTGCCCATGTTATGCAGTTGTTGAAACAATTCAATGCATCATCTGGTTGAACTCCTACAGGTGTAGCAGTTGGTGACTCCAATATTTCTCCAAAGCTTTCTCCTTCTTTAACTGCTTCATATACAATTTCTTCATCTGTCATAATTTGTTCTGTTTCTTCGATTCCTTCAAACCAAGAATTTAAATTTTCAACTGTTGACGTTCCGGAATACGATTGGTCATTATTGTGCCAGTTCCATGATAGCCAAGTCTTTTCATTTCATCCAACAAGGGGATAGTAGTAAAATATCTATCAAAAAAGACACAACTATCCGGTGGCACGCTCTGAATGAGGCGCAAAACTACACCAGGTCCAAGTCCAAGAGGATGAGACAATGCATGGTTTCGGCCATGATATATTTCGAAATCCACCATCAATCCTTCACTGGTAGTGACAACAAAATTTTTAATTCCTACTGGACGCGGCTTATTTTTAATAAGTTGTTTAAAATAACATTTACCAGTGAAGGGTATCATTTGCTCGTCTATTGAAAATGGTCCGGGTGTTCTTACATGTTCGTACAAACCGACATTCGTTCAAAGAAATAATCATTGTAATAGTCATGAAAATAAGCAATGGGGGATCGTATCGCACCTGGTTCTGGATGACCAGGATAGTTGTGCTCCTTATCGATGAAAGTAGTTTTCTTCCAGATTCGTTTACGCTGCTTAATTTTTACTTTAACTGCTTTCTTTCCCTTTTTCAAACTCGAGGGGCCAGCTTCGTCTTCATTTGGTGTATTTCTTGCAGCTTTCCTTTTTCTACTTTCTTTCGAAAGTGGCGATGGACTTAGGGTGGAAGGTACTTCATTATGGTCACTAACTTGTTGTTCGAGAGGCGCCACAAATTCTTCATCATCATAGTCCAGGTCTATGTCAGAGCAGTTGCCATCCTCTAGTAAGCTTAGAATTAAATCATCTTCCAAAGGTAATCCTAAAATAAGAGAAAATACTTGAGAAACATACAACACTTCACTAAGTCACGTTAGTGAGCTAGTACAGTTAACCCTTTCCCCCCGGGGTAGTGATTTTTAACGAATTTCCGCTTTTGAACTTTATTTTCATAATAAGGTAGGTAAAATTAAAAACACAGATTTTTTTTAGATTTTTATTATAGTTAGAAGTACTATTTCCAAGACCTAGACTTATAAGTACCGTCAGGAACTTCGTGTTAACAGAGTGGTAGGAACTTTGATAGAAACTACAAAAATAATGAGATCCACTATTGACTTAGCAGTAATTAAATTAATGACTTAAGTAGTAGTAATAAAAAAAAAAAATTACAGGTTAACCTCGTGGTATTCAATAAAACAATTTTTCTTTTCGTTTACACACAAAAACACGTTGCAATGCGAACATTTACTATGAGGTTTCGACTGAATCTTCTTCAAACTACAAACCTCACACCTTCCCCTGTTCTCTACAAACGTAGGCCAATGGATGCCTCTGTTACCTAAGCGTACGTCTTTTATAGTGGAGTAGTCAGATTTGCGTCTTTTGGAAGGGCCGCCTTTTGCAGTATTGTCAGTAGAAGTCTTCCTTTTCTGACTAGCATCTTTCATTGTCATCAAGCCTTGAGTAACAGAACGTCTAAAATCTTTTACGGTAGTCTGTTCCATTATAAGTCCATGAATGACATATGCATTGACAAATACGATGTCCAGAAGACCCCAAAACAATCTGTGCCACCATTTCGGAGATTTGCGATCTATACAGTAAAGGGCTCTCAAACGATCAGCTGTATCTACGCCGCCCATATACATATTGTAATCTTTGACAGCTATAGGGCATGTAATGGCTGACTTGGTTCCATTTTTTTCTTTACGTGACACAGTTGCCTCTTCGTTCCCGTGAAAATTAGACACTAAATGAACCATTTTATTATCCTTCCATTTCCAATATCCAATGTCTAAATTTGAAAATCGATGATCACTATCGCCCCTTTTCAATTGAGAATCAGCGAGCATATTTCCGGGCAGTCCTTTTCTGTTACTTCGGATAGTTCCACATGCGTAGGTGTTTTCAGTTTTCAGTTTCTCAAGTAAAGCCACAGACGTGAAAAAATTATCAAAGTAAACTACCTTCCCCTTACTCCAATCTTGTTCCGTTAACTCCAAAACTACTTTCTCTCCTAATCCATAGCCGGTAAATTTTGTGTTCAGTTCTTCGTCTTTCCCTTGGTAAATTTGAAACTTCTTTATATACCCCCTCTGGTCAGCAAGACACCACAGTTTGTACCCCCTTTTTATGGGCTTCATAGGTAGATACTGTTTTAGGACAGACCTACCTTTGAATTTAATCATGGACTCATCTACACTCAGTTCGCGAGTACCATGATAAACCATTTCAAATTTTTTATTGAGTGCATCAATCATTGGTCTAATTTTATATAATTTATCTTTGCAGCCTGAAGGCATTTTGGAGCTATCATTGCAATGCAGATGAGATAAAATAATAGCGAACCTGTCTCTAGGCAAAGTCTTGCAAATAAGCGCGTTGTTGAGATCAGGTGCCGAAGAGTAGTGGTCTCTCCACGCCGGACGAGTATTGTAACCCATAAAAAAATTATACCTATAAATGTTAGGAGTTCCTCTTTTTTTAGGTTCAATACTTTGCTTTTCTGAGTAGCATAAAGGTTACTTTGGTATACAATATTGTCAACAATGTCATCAATCAATACTAAAAATATATCAGTCGGTGTGGTACAGTGAGCAAACCAGTCATCTACTACTCCAGTATCCGCAATGTATTCCGGTAAAGATGTACTTAGGTCCCTCTTTTTCCATTTACGGTTTGGTTCGGGTAATCGCTGGTTAGTTCGGTGTGAAGAGTTATTTGCAGATGGTAGATCAGGCTGAACACTAGGTGCAGGTAATGAAGATGTGGGTACCTGATTTATTGGGTACTCCAATACATCTTCATTTGACGGCGACGACGGCGGAACTTCGGCCAAAACATCTTCTATAGCTCTTTCAAAAATTTCATCGAAACCTCTTGGCGAGGGTAGTTGAACATTTTCCACTTCATCATCGGACACACCTGCATCAGACGCTTCGTCGCAGTCCGGAAGCTCTTCTAATAACAGGGCTTCAATTAGAGCCGTATTGTTTTTAATATCCATCTCAATTCCTAAAACAATAAAAACCTTGATTAGAACAATAATAAAAAAAAAATAACATGGGTTTATAAAAATAATAATAAAATAAAATAACCACTTCATCGTATACATGTATTATAAAAAATCATAATATTTGAGACTAGAATCACCTGACGGTACTTTTAAGTCCGCAGTAGTTTTTATCAAATATTCGTATGAAATATCGTGATAATACATTATAACAGCTTTTAGAAATATAGCCAATGATATAAACAACGTAAATAGTAAAAAAAATAGCACTTACCTGTGATATTCTACTTATAAAACTTTTTTTATTTCACTGCACAACGAAATGAAAAAACAATCGACAAGTTGTGACAAGAATTTCAATTTTTACGCCAGTGTCGCGCGGTAATTCAATTAACGCGCTGTGATTGGCTGACGGAAACGGTACTCTAAAGGATCGTCAGTTGCCGTTCACGTAAAGTGTTTTCGTACTAAAGATATTAGACGAAAAATGTGGTGGTACTTCTAAGTACCGTAAGGAGGGAAAGGGTTAAGACCCAAAGCTCACGATCGTGCTGCTACTTTTTTGCTCATATCGTTACCCTTAATTAGCAATATTTAAGAGAAAAAAATTGATTAATATGATGCATTATGTATCAGCCTATGTAAAAATACATGCCCATAAAAGGAATTTCAATAAAAACTCAACATATTGAATAAAACTTACGTTGCTGACTCCGGCGATCAAGGAACGCAGCCATCTTGTCCGATCACACGCGCCGACTAAGCTATTTTACCAACACGCGTGGCATCGGATACGTTCTAAAACTGGGTTACAACTTTTTTTTTTACAAATCCTTTGAATTCTTAATGCATTTTTGAACTTGCTTGTGCAACTCAGTAGGTAAAAAAAAATAAAAGACAAAACTTTTTTTACTAAACATGTATGATAATTAATAAATGCTGGGAGTTAGGGTTCTCCTCTGACCGGGGGCCCCTTCCGGCTGGGGGCCCGTGGCATTTTGCCGACTTGCCACCCTGTAGTTACGCCACTGGGCAGAGATGGTAATGTAAAAATACTTATAATTTTACGATTTGTTCGGAATGCTGATAATAATTTGGCGCAGTGCTAGCGTTTAGGTTACTCACCTAGTTTCTTTACAACTACCACCTCGATGTTCCGTTATGACAACATCACTAGTGTAAAAGTATCTTTGCATCACGTAAGAAACTCTGTGTTTAGTCACACTAAAAATACTTAAAAAATATTATTTTTGACATTTTGGCACCTTCTTATTGTTGATCACAACACAATACTTAATAGTCGTTTGTTTCTTGACTTTATTTGTTCTCCAGACTCTTTACAGGAATAAAAGAACATTTCAATATCATAGCATCTTGATCTATATTATTACTATATGCGTAAAATTTAGTATGTAAGTGCATAAGGTCATGCATTGTTAAGGAAGCATAGTAAAGCGATTTTGTGTTATGCGTGCAGACTCTTTCAGGGACTGATTTTGCAGAATATCTAGAAAAAAATATATAAATCATGCTCAGAACATAAAACCAAAACCATACAGATAATTATAATTGGTCAGCTAAATCTTTCTAATCAATAAAATCTGTAAAATTCAGTTCATGGACATTGTAAGGTTTTCCTTTTTCTTAGCATTCCTTATTAATTGAACATATTGATCAGGAACGTAATTCGGGCCTGATTTTTTTTCGCTTTTATTGGAAATTTCAATAATGGAGTGAACGTTATTTCCCGTATTCTGGGTATCGTGAGAAATGAAACTCATGGATGTTCGATGCCAACTGGTTTTATTGATTTAATTCGCTATATTTATTGTTCACTCGCTCAACTCCCGCCACACACGTTACACACACATACATACGTACATAGTTCGCGTCAGCAAATCCTACACGCACATAGTTCCCGTCAGTAAACCCTACAATATTCCCCCTTTTTTTTTTTTAAAAAATGTTTACAATTGTATTACAATATAATTCCAACAAATAATAATAAAAAATAATGTTAAGTTTGTTGCAATATCTTTAAAGCTACTATGTCAAAATTGCATTCAAAGTTACGTTCCGCGCATTTTTACCTGTCCTGTAAATTTTTTGTTTTATCAGTTAATATTGTATACCTCTCAGGTACAGAATGATAGAGTATAATGTAATTAAAATAAAAGGTAACAATGTAAAGTGATCGTTAACAAAATATACTTGTAATTTTTTTTGTATAATTTCATATATTCAAATTAATGTGTGTACATCTTATTGTTGGCATTATATAAACTAAATTAAATACAAAAAATAAATAACATTTTTTTCAAATTAGACAAGTAACGAAAATTAATTATTATTAAATGTATTAATGTAACTAGCCATAAGAAAAATGTAAACATTTTTTTTAAAAAAAAGGGGGAATATTGTAGGGTTTACTGACGGGAACTATGTGCGTGTAGGATTTGCTGACGCGAACTATGTACGTATGTATGTGTGTGTAACGTGTGTGGCGGGAGTTGAGCGAGTGAACAATAAAGTTATTTTTTATCTGATTTTGTGGACTTGAGGTTATTTATCTCGCAACATATACTAACTAAAGTGTTTTAAGAAAGCATTAAGATATCATACTTTTGTTTACCTCTAAATAAACCTTGTGGATGTTATTGGAATTTGGCATTCAAAAGCATTATGTCTCTTGACAGTATATAGTGTAATTGAATTATTAAGGAATTTCTTAGGGGTTTAATAGCAAAATGAAACAAAAGTTACTTCACAAAACTAAAATCAAAATACAATTTATTTTAAATAACCAAAACAGCTACTCGCACGCTTCAGGTAAGTCCGGGACATCTGGTCATGGAAGATTCCTGTAATAGTCATGGAACATGGCTGGTATCCACTGCATCGATTTTTGTAAGTCGTTATACTTGAGGCTCGAAATAAGTCTTGGGTTTTCTCGTATAGGTTTCGGCGTGGGTAAAGAAAATCTTTTCCGTTTATTTCTTAAAAAACTAACTTCTTCGAATGTTTCCTGGTCAAAAGAAGTTTTGTAAAACATCGAACCAATCTCATTTTTTCGGAATTGCATCCATACAATAGCAGCATATGGTACAGACTCTCCCACAATCGATTTTTTTCTATGCACAAAAGGAGCTGATGACCCGTTGCAGAAGGCTGAAAAATCCATGAAATCCATAGTTTCCATGTTCACCACCTTAATTTTGAGGTTCCTTGAACAGCTTTTTATAAACTGTTGCCAGTCCCAGGGAGTCACGATTGAAAACTCTTGCATTTTCTTTTTTTCTCTTTCTATTTTAGAGTGAACAACGTCCACTTCCATGTGTGTGTGGCCCTTTAATAAGTATTTGTGGTTTATTACCTCTTTATTTTCTTTTTGTGACAATATCCACAAATAAGCCATCATTAAATAAATAGTTTTATTTTGCCCCGCACAGTTGTCGCTCCATACTGTTACTTCTTTCAATGCGCTATCGTTTAGCTGCTCAAAACACTTAACTATTCCTGACGCCATTTCGTTTCCGCCTCGTCCTGTCACGGTCTCATCCCACATAAAACACCAACTTTCTTTGGGAATTGAATCCATAATTGTGAAGTTAAAAGTCCACAACTTTCTGTAATAGAAACTCTGCCCATTAGTTAAATAGGGTGTGGGTAAACATTTTTGGAGGTCCACTGTCAGTACTTTTTATACACTACATATATTATGAATATGCAAATCAGTGCTACAATGATTGTAGCTATTGTACTATATTTCTCTAAATTTTCTTCCAACTGTGAAATGGTTGCCCTGTTTGCTCCATTTTGGGCAATAATTACTTCTTCAGTTTCCTTTTCTACACTGTAAGATTTACCCATTATGTGTATTTTAAGAAAAAAATTAACAATTGATTATGTTTCCTTTAATATTGTTGAAAGACAAATGTGAATGTTATAATATATATAGTATATTCGTGACCTAGTTACATTGTTGCAACATTTGATTCATTGTTGACTCATCAGATGAACAGTTAGTTACCTATGTACTTACTAAATCATAATTATGTGATACGTTAATATATTATTTTTATATACCAGTTATAGTTACAGTGTTTGTCTGCTTAATTAATTAAATTTTTTTACTTATACTTACTGATTTAATATTATTAAGTATCTATAAATCTAACAGGTTTCTTAATTGTTCTACCAGACTTTGTGACTATGAGATTGCTTGCAAGATTTTGTTTCGTATTGTTTTCTTCTAATAAATACGTTGGTTTTAATCTGTCTATAGATACCGAAACGACTCTATCCTTTATTTGAATTTTAAATACTTTTTCTGATTTCTCTAAAACTTTATATGGACCTTCATATGGACATACCAATGCTTTTTTAATTCGGTCGATTCTTAAAAATACATGTGAACAATCTTTCAGGTCTGGATGCACAAGAAACTTTTTTGAGCTATGGCATTTTATATCAGTAGACTTATATTGCCTAATGTTATCCCTAATATTTAGTATTGCAGTATGCGGATCATAACTATTTTTACTTTCTGCAAAAAATTCACCTGGTAATCGCAGTGATCGGTCGTAAACCATTGGCGCGGCGCCTTCGTTTCAGATGGCTGCACGAAGTCCTAACATAATAATAGGGAGTTCGCGACTCCAATTTTGATTACCATTTAACCTTGCCATTAAAGATGCTTTCATACTCCTATGCCACCGTTCAACGGCTCCGTTACTTTGCGGATGATACGGGGTTCTTCTATTCTTTTGTATACCGAAATACGTCAATAGTTTATTAAATAAATTGCTCTCAAATTGCCTGCCATCTGCCTCTACCTATCCATTGTTTATATCTAACGCTCGCTACTGTATCAGCCGAAATATCCTTTAAAGTATATGCCTCTGGCCAACCTGTACCTCTATCAATTATCGTTAAGCAGTACTTGTAATCCTCATCTGTTATCGGAAGTGGACCAACTAAATCGATGTGTATGTGTTCGAACCTATCGACTTGCGGATACGTACCGTGTCTAGATATTGTGTGCCTATTTATTTTAGATTTTTGACAGTTTATACATGTTTTTGTCCATACATTTATATCTCTGTTCATATTTGGCCACCAAAACTTTTCTTTAATCATTCGGCGCGATGTACGCAGTCCCGGATGACTAAGATTGTGTATTGCACTAAATGCAGCTTTTCGAAAGGATTCTGTTAAATACGGCCTCGCATTTTCACTCGATATTTCACAGTAGACAGACTGACTAGTATTCGGAATTGAAAATTTCTTAAATTTATATTTTGGATTACTTATAATGTTTTTAAATTCGATGTCTTTGTTTTGTTCCAAGGCTAATTTTTCGTAATCTATTATACTCGATACACATTCTACGGTCTGTATGCGCGATAACGCGTCAGCTACAATGTTGTCTTGACCACTTACATGCCGTATATCGGTTGTAAATTCGCTTATGAAACTAAGTTGTCTAACGCGTCTAGGACTTTCTTTCTTATTATTTTTACACAGTTTAGCGAATGCGAATGTTAATGGTTTATGATCCGTGAAAATAATTAGGTTACAGCCTTCAAATAAGCTTCTAAAATATTCTACACCTAAAAATATATATATATCAAGTAACTCTCGATCATATCGCACCTCCGTTCAAATAGTGTCACATCTCAAAAAACCAGATTGTGGAGAAAAATGCATTTGAAATGGACACCTTCATTTTTTTTTACTTTTTTTGCTTTTATTGCAAAAACAAAAAAAGATACTGTAATATGTTCTTAAGAAAGTTGGTTTTGTTTTTAAACAGCTATAAAATCGTATACTCAATTATCTGAAATCATGAAAAAAAAAACCTGAAATTTTGAGTTATGACACTATATTGATACAAAAAACAGAAAATATAGCAAAATAATGTTTATTCAAGTGTATTTTTATCGAATCGCCTTCATTTTGAGTGTGGCCTGTTATCAAGTATTTATGAGTAATCGAATTCAACTGAGGGTATTTCATTACCGCATACATGTATATTCCGACAATATATTTATTTTTATTTTGGCCGCAACAGTTATCGGAGTAGAAAATCATATCTATATGCTCGCTTTCTGTACATACTGTATATATATATATTCAAAAGAAAACATAAAAAAATGGATTTTCAGATTACATACAATGGAATAAATTCTGTTTATTTTTTTATAATAAATAGTTTGAATTATTTGCTTTGTAAAGCGAATTATTATGATATAATGAGTTCACATTTTTATTATAGTAAAAATTTATTAAATAAAAATGAAAGTACTAAAAATACAAACGGAATAAAAATTAGGAAAACCTGATAGAGTCTCTATAAGAACATATATTATTTGAACGTTATTGAGTTATGAATCAGCATGAAAAATAAAAAAAATTGGTTTACAAATTCTTCAATTCTCCTAGTTTACAACGAATATTATTAACGAGAATTGTGCTTAGTTTCGCTCGCTAAAATATTTCTCAGTTTCATTTCCACAAAACCATTACCTAATATACAAAAATAGATGTTTAAAAAATCTATCACAAATATTCTTATAGAATATGTTCTGCAAAAGCTGTGGGAAGGGAAAAGTAATTTCTAAGAACATCAGTCGTATCTCCTAAACCCATCTCAGATCATTTCAGATGGCGCTGTGAGTCACAAAAGGTTTCGAAAGACCTGATTAATCCATAGCATTGTGATGTTTATCAACAAAACAACACATTATACTAACTCATATGAGGGATGTTAACAACACTATTTACTATGAATTCAATAATAATTATTTTATTTTTAATAAATATACCTAACAAAATGTTTTCGTAACATTGTAGACTAGCAAATTTGAAGTATGTAGTAGCTTATTTTTAAAACGGGAATTTTTTATTGTTTACCTTCTCGCTAGAGGCGCTGTGGATGGAATTTCGCAAAATACGTTCTCAGCTGACATCTACTTGTCGAAAGTAATATTCCCACGAAATTTCAAGTCTGTACACCTTACATTTCTAGGATTTGTGATGAGTCAATATATCCGTGGACACCTCATATATTATTGTAACAAAAAACTTTAATGGTTACGAATGTGAGCTGCTGAAAGAAATTATTCATTGTATTTTGATAAAACTTTACATATTATCTCCAGAAGTATGAATTTCTAAATAAATTCTACTAAATTGTTCTAGTTGGTTTACAAAATTCGTAGCAACTACGAATATTCTGACAGAGCTTGTACCAGTAAAATCACGGTCCATAATTTCCTGAGCACTAAAATCATAGTTCCATTTTATAAGCAATAAATAAGTTTGAAATATACCTTAATATGTATATAGTAATAAACTTTAATATTAAGTCTAGTAAGATTTAAATAAATACATAAAAAGTCAGCTTTTCATGTTAATTACAGAGTTTATAGTTAATAACTGGTCCATAATTACTTTCCCTTTAACTTACTTAATCTTAGCTTTGTTTCTTTATAGTGTATGCACTTTTATTTTGTATTACAGTCTTATACATGAGAACCCTAAACCCTTCATATAATTTCCTCCACTGGTCCCTATTGCAGTTTTCATTTTATTCTCCCAACATGTAACACATAATCTGATACTTTTGTCAAAGTGATCTGATCTCTGGTCTCTAAGTTAGTTACTAGATTAGTCGTAATCAAATCTCTGAGAAGTCCTACTTTACGGAGCAAACCAATGTCTTCAAATGCTTTTAATAAGTTGTCCCATACCTCTTTTGCTGTCTTGGCATCTTGAACATGCTCGTATAATTGTGGATCTATCAATAAAATTATTTTTGTTCTGGCTTTAATGTCTTTTTTTGAATCACAAGTATCAAGCTGTATGCATTCCCAAAGTTCTTCATGTTGTAAATATGCTTCCATCGCAAATTTCCATGTCGAAAAATTAATTTCTGTATTGATAATGTGTTTAAAGCCATTTTGTAACGTTTTGGACACAAATCTGAAAAATAATTTTCTTCCCGCCGAATTTGAGATTATGCCTTACTTTTTTCATGAAGTTTATACTTTTATTACAGCTTTATTTCAAAAACTTTTATCAGGCAGGGACGGTCCATAACCTGTTGTATATAAATAAAGCACTTGAATTTAGATTTAACTGGTTTTAATATAATTAAAAAAAGGATTTACAAATTACAATTGACACGCGTTACACAGCCGGTAAGAGAGAGAGAGAGGCGCCTACGTCAAGCGCTTTAGCAGTTCAAAAACGGTCGTTATTTTGTTGATGCGTTCACACCAACAGCTTCCTTGCTAAACCGTTTTATATTTTCAATATATGAACTACAAATCTTTTTAGAGACATTACATCTGCTACCTTTGCATTACGAAAGGACATTTTCCAGTAATCTTTGTATGATGGCAAAACTACAATACCCATAACGACGTTTATTGCTAAAAAGTCTAGTATTTCTTCCCTTGAAACTGTTATAGATTTTCCTGTTCTTTGAACGCTATATAAATTTGTGTGGGTGGTTATAATATTTTTTAAATCTTCAGTAAAAAATCTATAAAAGTAATATAAATGTGACTAATCAGATGGGATATTTAAAAAAAAATTAGGTCCTGCTTGAAATAGACCTAAATTTTTTACAATTTCAACGAATACTTTTTGCCAACGAAAAGATAAATTATTTTTTCTGTTACACTGTCTTTTTATCGTTAGTGCTAACTGCTAAGACGGAAGGAGCTTTGCGTTTCATTTTTAAGCGTGCGTCAAAGGTGTGCTGACAGGTCCACACCTGTCATATCCATATCCACATATGAGTGGTTTATTTGAAGGCAGAGATGGTAATGTAAAAATACTTATAACTTTACGATTTGTTCGGAATGCTGATAATAATTTGGCGCAGTGCTAGCGTTTAGGTTACTCACCTAGTTTCTTTACAACTACCACCTCGATGTTCCGTTATGACAACATCACTAGTGTAAAAGTATTTTTGCATCACGTAAGAAACTCTGTGTTTAGTCACACCAAAAATACTTAAAAAATATTATTTTTGACATTTTGGCACCTTATTGTTGATCACAACACAATACTTAATAGTCGTTTGTTTTTTGCCTTTATTTGTTCTCCCGACTCTACAGGAATAATAGAACATTTCAATATCATAGCATCTTGATCTATATTATTACTATATGCGTAAAATTTAGTATGTAAGTGCATAAGGTCATGCATTGTTAAGAAAGCATATTAAAGAGATTTTGTGTTATGCGTGCAGACTCTTTCAGGGACTGATTTTGCAGAAAAAATATATAAATCATGCTCAGAACATAAAACCAAAACCATACAGATAATTATAATTGGTCAGCTAAATCTTTCTAATCAATAAAATCTGTAAATTCAGTACATGGACATTGTAAGGCTTTTCCTTTTTCTTAGCATTCCTTATTAATTGAACATATTGATCAGAAACGTAATTCGGGCCTGAATTTTTTCCGCTTTTAATGGACATTTCAATAATGGAGTGAACGTTATCATTCTGGGTATAGCCGCGTACTATAAACTTATGGGTAATTGAATTAACTGTCAATGTTCTTATAGCATACGCATACCTACCATATGATACGGTATGTATCATGCTATATGGTATTATATAGGGTGTCTCACGGAAAATTTCGAATTTAAAAAGGCTATAAAAAAAGAACGACTCGATAGATTTCAATGATCAAACATTTATTTGAAAGCATAATTCATGACATTATTTGTGAAAAATTATCTCGGTCAAATGTCCACCACAGCTTACTTGGCAGTACCCTATTCGATCAGTCCAATTTTTCAGTACATTTTCAATTGTTTCCGGCCTTATGGCAGCAATGGCAACTTCAATTTCATGTTTCAAGTCATCAATCGTGCTTGGCTTGTTGGCGTAACAAACGTCTTTGACCGCTCCCCAAAGGTAATAATCCAATGGTGTTAAATCGCAGCTTCTTGGAGGCCAATTCACATCACCATTTTTGCTGATTATGCGATTTTCGAAGATTGGGCGCAAAACATCGACCGTAGCATGGGCTGTATGGCACGTAGCCCCGTCCTGTTGAAACCAAATATCGTCCAAATCATACTCTTCCATTTGACCGAAAAACCAATCAGTTAACATAGCGCGGTAGCGCTCGCCGTTGACGGTTACGGCGGCTCCTTCATCATTTTCAAAAAAAAATGGGCCGATGATGCCGCCGGACCAAAATCCGCACCAAACAGTCACTCGTTGTGGATGTATCGGTTTCTCCTCAACGACGTGCGGGTTTTCTGTGCCCCATATACGGCAGTTTTGTTTATTTACATAACCGCCGAGGTGAAAATGAGCCTCGTCGGAAAAGATGATTTTTCGATAAAACTCACCATCTTCGGCCAAACGATCTTCCGCCCAATTTGCGAACCGTAGACGTTTCGGATGATCAATTGGCTTCAGCTGTTGGGCCAACTGAACTTTATATGGCTTCAGGGCAAGATCTTTGCGCAAAATTCGGTGCGTAGTTGACCGAGAAAGGTGCAACTCTTGCGCTCGATGACGAATCGATGTGGATGGCCGTTCACGAACACTTTGTTCCACCGCAGCGATGTTTTCGGTTGACCTTGCTGGAAATGGACGTTTACGTGTTGTTTTATCCAACAGTGATCCAGTTTCGCGCACACGATTCACAAATTGCCGCACATATGCCTCCGATGGCAAATCTTTTTTGGCAAATATTTTTTTCAAATTTCGCACAGTTTGCGTTGGCGATTCACCACTTTGGAAATAATTTTTTAATATTTCCCAGCTTTCCTCAAGCGAATAGCGACCCATTTCGTAAATGTCAGACTTATTACTAAATATGTGACACTTCTCCGATGACAGTTGACGTCTCCAATGTCAAATTATCGTTAGTTCAAATTCGAAACGCTAGATGGGACACCCGTTATATGTATGAATGATACCATATGTATCTGAAAAAAAAATAACATTTTAAATATTGATTAGTAACAAAATACCATAACAAAGTAACCTCTATTGAAATTAGAAATAATTGGGTGCACTAAAAACTAAGCTATTCTTCTGCTGGCCATAGTAATTATCAGAAAAGAATATTATATTAATATTAGGACTTTTAAGAGCAATCTTTTAAAAAAACTTAAAAACACAAGAGCCTATTTCAATCGCACCACGATTGCCCATTCCCCCATTCCAGATATAACAATCGGTAATTTTATTTTTAAATCAGATACCTAAAACGAAAAAAAAGTCATAACATTATTTATAATAAGGTAACATGAAAATTAATTGATGGAATTCAAATTTAACTGCCTTGCTAAATAAACGTGGCAGATTTCTTCATCAGTTCTACTATGGTAAAAATCAAACAAGTTTTGATTTATAAAAAAGCTGATGTTTCTCCAGTGGGACACTGCATAACAGGTACTTTCAAGTGTTGTCAAAATATCTGATACTCTATTCGCTACAAAAGTTTTCCATCGACTAGGTTTTTTCAAATTCCTATTCCTGATTAATCTTTTTTCTTGTCCATAAAACCTGCGCACAGCTATTTCTCGTAAAATTCCATATTTTGATGCTGGGGTTTCTTTTTTAAAAGGCAATCTTACTATATATCGTCCTTTACAGTCTCTTTTTGTTGTGGTCGCAAACAAGTCTTCACATTTTCGTTCCTCTGTTGTTAAGCGTTGATTTATTTTATCGGTAGGTTCGGCTTCTAGTTCCCAAAACTTCTTGAGAAGTTCATCATCGCTCATTTGTGTATCTAAATTCACAAATATACTGTGAGTGGTAGGTGAAATAACTTGACCTGACAGTACCCAACCCAAATTAGGCTTCTGTGCTATGGTGGTGCCATAAGGGCTACGAAGGAGACCTTCCTCTATTATTTTTCCATAGACATCACTCCCCAAAAGCTATCCCTGGCGAGGATGCCTCAAAGGAAGATCAAATTGAGGGTCTAGTCAACAATGTTAAATGGCAGATGTCCGCTGATCGTAAAGTTGGTGCCCTCAAACAGTTGCAGGGGCTCATATGGAAGCAGGGCTATGACAAAGGAGGCCTTAAGGGGCATGTCTTCGATGATGTCTCTACAGCATTAGAACGGTGGCACTCAATTGAAGGTCAAAAAGTACATCTATTCATCAGGCTCAGGTAGGTTCAGATTCAGGACCATAGTCTATAATTTCGATGTTGCCCACGGGGTCTACAATTAGCTTCTCATTTAAATCTAAATCAACTTCTTCGAGAGATTTTTCTTTGTAAGCATCTGCTTTTCCTTCTTCTATAAGAATTACAAGCTTTGATATTTAAGTAGTTTGGTATACGTCATCTGGCAACCTGTGAGACTATTTATATACTTCATTAGTATGGCCCATGAATGTAGCCAGCTGCTCCATATCATTTTCAGACATGCTATAAATCTGGGATAAGGTGGCTAAATGTTTTCTTGGTGGCTAGGTGGCCGGGGTCAAGTCACGACAGTTTAATATTCAATAATTCAGCTGCCAAATATAGGTGTGATAGGGGTGACTTTGGTAATGGAATTGTGCTTGGTGACAGTAGATATTTCTTAAATAATTACTTGTTGACACCACTAAGCAATAAACGTACCAAAGTTGAACAATTGTACATATAATGAGTCTCATATCCAGAGTAGAAATGTGATAGAAAGGTGTTTTGGTGTATGGAAAAGCCACCTAGTGACCCCGAGGTATTAATACCACAACAGCTAGAATTTCCACCAGTATATGTCGACAATGAGGGAATAAACAGTACCTCTAGCACACGGGATGGAATAATTAACTATTTTGAATCACTAATAACACAATAATGTGAAGAAATTCTGGCTGCTTATTGACTGCTGTATAACTTCTGTTTTAATTTGGAGTAATAAATAAAAATACCTATTGATTATTTCATTTTTTTATTGGCAACTGGCCTAAACAATAATAAAAAAAATTACACTAATCTTTCCGTTGCATTGTTTTAAGCATCACATTATGTAACTCTTGTTTCCTGATTTCTTCATTTCGAAGGTGTGTTATTTTCAACTCGTGCTCTTGTTCAACAAAATAATGTTCTTTTTTTGCTATCTCTTGTTGAAGACGCACAAGTTCTAGTCTTGCAGCACTTAATTCGTCTATTTTTGCAGTAACGCTGGCCTTAGTTGGTTTTAAAACCGGGTTAATTTTACTTTTCAATGCTTTTGGGTTCCATGTGCCCCATTTGTTATAAGAATCTGTAAAAAGTAATAAAAGGTTTAATATATGTATTATGTTGTACTTATATTTTGTGAACTTTGTCCATGTTTGTAGGTATATGATGTACTACATAACATAATATTATCCGCTTACCATCAGGCGGGCCGTATGCTTTATTGCCACCATAGTGGTATAAAAAGAAAAAAAAGATCTGACTATACAAGGTGTATAGTTGAAGCCCTTCAACCACATCCTCTATACAATATACATTACCATGAACAATGTTTGTCCTACGACTGTACCAAAATAGACATTAATTTTTTCAATTTGTCATACAAAATTCGTCAGCTGTTTGGTCATTTAGTATGGGAAGTCAAAAAAAAATTATGTCTTTATTGGAAAAGTCTTACATTGTTCAGGTTGATGTTTAGAACATGTGGCCAAAGGGATGAAAAGGTTTAACGATACAATCTGTATAATATTATAAAACCTACCTTCACCATTCTCAGTGCCAATAATTGTTGGTTCTGCATTTTGACTGGCGCTTTCATTCAAGTCCTTTTCTAAAAAAAAAGATAAGTTTCTTATGTACTATCATGATGAAGGCAACAAACGAAATAGATTTACCTAATTGTAAAATAATTATAATATTGACTGGCCCGACAGCGGATTAGGTAGTGACTGATAATCCTGTCCTGTGCGCCAGTTATAATAATAATATGACAAATATTAAAAAAACTTTTGTACTTGACAACATAAATGCATACCATCAGTTTCTTGATTCAACATCACAATCTGTATGTCACTATCTTGGATTGTTTTAAATTTTAAATTAAGGTCATCCTGAGACAAATCAATTTTCAGAGGGACAGATGCAGGTTGGATTACATCTGAAAAATAAGGATAGCTTTAATCTTTATGTATTTGTGACTTGAAAAGAAACAGTAAGTAGGAATATTTAATTGGTTTAAATTGTTTTAAATACCTGAAATCTTATCACTATCATTGCGTGCTTCCAATCCTGTAATATTTGAACATATAGCCAGCACTTTCTCCTCCACGTCATCGAAATCAGGAGTATTAGATGTGCGATAAAGTCCCTGCCTGTGACAGGATATCTTCTTCTTCGTGGCCTTTTTGATACCTTCATATTTTAATTTTAATGTTTTAGAGCTACGTGTAGCGGTACCACTTGTAGTTGCATTAAGAAAAGAAGCTGTTCTGCCCCAGGCAGCTTCCTTATTTTTATTGGTCACGGCGTCCGTTTTTTTGTTTTCAATTACATGCTTATATTTGGTAACCAATTCCGTCAATAATCGCGTTTCGGCTTTATCGAAATTGCTTGCACGCTCACGCTTTTTATCCATTTTTATTTATAATAGAACTACTTCTAGATCATATTTAGCAGCTAGAGCAAGTAAGTATCGGATTGACATATATCTTACAACTGGTGCATACACATCATCATAGTTAATTCCCTTCTTTTGAGCAAATCCCTTTATGACTGACTAATCTAGCCTTATAACGAACAATTTCGCCTTCCTCATTTGTTACTCTTAAATACCCATTTACATGGCAAGGCTTCACGTCCGGCTGGTAAATCAACCAATAACCAAGTTTTATTCTTTATTAGAGAACCATATATTTCTTGCGTCGCATTTTTCCATTTATCAGCAGTTGGAGATGAAAGAGCTTCATCAACAGTTTGAGGATCATTTAAATCACGAATACTGCAAAAGAAACTGACATCATGGTCATCCTTCTCTGCATACTGGACAGCTCTACGTGGGCGCAAATTAATATTACATACTGATGTCTCTTGATAATTCTATTTATTGTAGAATCAAACAGCCGGTATCCTTTGCTGGATTTACAGTATCAATTTATAAGTTATATTAGCCAACCCGAATTGGCCTTCCACTTGAGCGAACCATAACGCCGGCTCTTGAGGCCAAAACGGCGGGATTCGTACTCCGACACGACATGAATCACTTGACGGATGAGTAGAAACGCGCACTTGATTTTTCAAATCACCGGCAGTTTCGTTGTTAACACTCATTTTGGTAAGTATTTATATTTAATTTTATATTTTAATTTACTATAGAAAGTATGTACTATGTACATATATTTAATGAAGTTACTGTAAATAATTAATTTTATATAGATATATAATTGTGTAAATATTAATAAGTGTATTATGTTTGTTTGTTTATATAATAATTTTAATGTATGAAAGAGATAATAAATAAAGTATGAATTCGTGTGTGTGATGTGTGACTGTGAATGAATGAATGAATGTATGGGAATATGTGAATGGCTTCCCACAGCCTTTATCCATTTCTCCAAAAGCTTTGCAAAGGGCTTCTTCAGACCAAGCAGCACGAACGCTCAAACGTTTCAAATTTTTATCAATATATTTTAATATTTCTTTCAGATATGGCTGCTATGCAATGCTTACACTATTTCAAAGCTGTCTTCAATACAAAGTAAGTTATTAAACATACAATGTAGTGATGCTTCGTTAACATTACAAATGATGACCGACCTATCAGGTCTCCCTCGTCAGAGAGAACCCAAACAAACCCTGTTGATAAAATAACGCGTCTGATGTAATACTGCAAGTTGATAGTCGACTATATTTATCGTCAAATGCTCATAAACCCCGTCTTTTTGCTTTCAGGCTACAGAAGTTCTCACAGTAGAAGCGGAATACATATAAGGTTGGTATTTTTGATTAGTTGATTAGAAATCAAAATTGAATACATAGTGCTAATTAAAAATTTATATATCAATTCTGTCTTCAAAATATACGAGTGCATACATATTTTTATAAAATGCTCTGTGGGCAGCGTGACGACGCTCCCTCAGTTATATAGATTCACTACAAGGAAAATATTATTATCAGCATTTTCCATACATTATATTCTCAATTTTAATACTCCTGTTTTTGTTATAGGTGTGAAGAGACCGGCCGAGAGACGTTGTTCACGAAGAATTACGGAAGACAAATATGTACTTTGAAATAGAAAAATTAGTGTTTAATTTAATGAGATCTAAGACTTTCGTGAGAATTCATTTAAATGAAACGAATATTTTCAGATTTACTACGCGATTTTTTTATTTTTAACTATAAAGTATCACGGGCAAACGAGATGTGAGCTGATTACTGTTAAGTAGCGGAAACGTCTGGAGTATGTATGTAGTTTATAGTCAAATATAAAAAATCGCGTAGTAAATTCAAAAATATTAGTTTCATTTAGTGTTTAATTTATTTTAAGACTAATAAACTAAAAGCAAAAGTTTTGTATTTTCTTACTTTTATCCTATTAACTTTTAATTTCTTTGTGGTCTCCCTAAATCAAATTTGCAATTATTTATTTTGTTTTTGTTAAAAATTTAGATGGCAGCAATAAAAAGAGATTTCTAAAACAACATATTATGTATTATGTGAAGCAAAACAAAAAAGTCACCTGCTCATTATTAACTTACAAAAAGGAGATAAATGTTTTGACTAATAATAATTCCAAGCTGCAACGATTTAATATAGGTAGGGGAGGGATGGGCACTTTTACACTATTTATTGCATAAAAAATCAGATTTTATAGATAATCAACTTTTATTGCCAATTCTTATTGAGCCACACATTTGACTAGATATGATTAACGAGCTTTCTTAAAAAATACAATCAGTTTCTACATTACGAGATATTTTATAAACTAAGTCAAAAGTGCCCAATGCTCCCTATGGTAGGGAGACTTGGGCATACCCTGTGGGAAGCTTGGGCGCAGCCTATAAATCACTTTATATCCATAATGGAATTCAAAAATTAGTTAAGAAATAAACTATAAAAATAACAGAAACCAAAAATTAAGTCTACAAAATATAAAACATCTTAAATATTATTTTAACTTATCCGAGATTGGGTATAACCCATAGAGGACTATCAAATGTGTACTTAGAGCTACCACGTTTGGTTTTATTGCATGTCTTTGGTACTGGCAATTTAGTTTTGGTTTCGTCTAAAGGGACACTAGCTGTGTTAAAAATCCTCCTAAACTGAACATAATAGGAGGAAGCATTAGGCATGCCCAAACCAGCCGCGCGCCAAATGCCCTTTGCTCCCTCTGTATACATTTTCGACTTAGGTTACCGGTATTTTTTTGAGTCTAGGTATTTAGGCTTGAATTTCAGTTTAATTTATAGATTAGTAAATATACAATAGATAAATAATAGAAAATAGACATATCTTTCATTAGTTTTCTCTTTATTACGACCCGAATCCCCAACAAAATATTTACTTTTACGAGCCCATAACCTTCAAACCTGTTTGTGTTTGACAAGTCACAGAAATGACAGATAGTCTATGGATGAACAGTGCTCTCAGTCGGTAAAGTAAACTACCAAATCAAGGAAAAAATTAAATGTCTAATCAAATCAGAATAAAAAGGGGGTGCCCATGTCTACCGACTGCCCATGCCTCCCCTACCTCCCATACACTAACAGACGTACATATTTGAATAAATGTATTCAACTCATTCATTTTAGTTTCTAGAAAGAACGCCTGAATAAAATTGTAGTCACAGAAAAATTGATATTTTAGAAAATATTTACGATATCAACAAAATAATTCAATTTTACTATAATTTCATATTATAATACAAAGTGTAGAGAATTTATTAGCTTCGTATATGCGCTTTATTAGCTTCGTATATGCGCCAAAGAGATATTTAAAATTTTAGGGCGTCGTGTTACAGTTGTTCTATATTAGAGATTTCAATTCATTAAGGATGTATTGAACACCCATATAAGACTGTTAAATAAATGAGTACATAAATCCACGTATCTCCACTGGAAGTAAGTTCAGAGTGGAGCGTTAAAACAATAATTTTATAAATTTAATGAAATGTTTTATTTTTCACTGTGAGTAATAAATTAATTGTATAATTAGTCACTGAATAAAATTTTATGTCATTAAGTTTGATTCATCGTCTGTAAAATTGCTTCTTTGAAGATACGCAGAGTTATCCGATGCTAGTTAAGCGGATTTTTACTCTCCCCGTTGATTTGACGTGATTATTATAATCAAACATATACATAGTGTTGATATTATATTAAATGACAATAATATGTTCATAACTGCTACATCATCTTTCTTTTTATGTTTAGTAGATTTATATTTTCGTTCGAAGACATAAGTTTAGTAATAAGGAAAAGTAAGACAAATAGCACACATTTTTTTATTGAATTTAATATTTATATTGAAACCGACAAACAATCGTTTGTTTACATTTGAGCGTTATAAGAAGAACCTCCTTCTGGAAGTTTCCATCTGGTGTCTGCGGCCGGCTATGATCCACTCGTAATCTCCGTGCTTGGAGTCAAACGTTCCTTGTTGTAGTGAGATCAGCTTCAAAGTGAACCGTGGCCCTAACTCGCACAGCTTCGCACGCTTCCCTTCTTTCGTGAATTCGTATCTGTTAAGTATCATTTAAACTGAGCTATTGTATCAAAGGAAATAGAAGCTGTAATTTTTTTAAGCTGATATCTTAGTACATGACAGATTTCTCTTAAAATTTTATCACAATGCAACTATTATTAACAAACATAGTCGTGATGTCTCACAACAATAATCTCCAATAATAAAGTTAAGTTCACAATACACAATATCAATAGCCTTTCTGATACAAGTCCATGGTTTACTTCAATTAATCAAAGAGTTAAATAAATCGAAATATTTCTTATTTTGTATAAAATTTGAATAAGTATTAAAGCTCATATTTGTCATGACTCTTCCAGATACGTGTTTACATACCGATGGTGCCTAAAGAAGATGTAGTCCCTCTGGTTGTGGAAGGTGACGACTCGTCTTCCTTTAAACTGGGGTTCAAAGTGGAACAACGCTCCTAACATACGACCCACTGTCAGACCCAGTCGGGTGCTGAAGTTGTTTAATACAACCTGGACATGATAAATAAATGTATATTCTGTACTTAATAACTATTATAATAATATTCATTAAGAAATCATAGTTGTGTTGTAATAATAACTCAAATTTAAAAAAAAAGAAATACTCTCTAAGTATATGCCTTTTTTTTCATTATTTTTCTTGGAACAGCTAATATTACAATATTTGCAGAACAAATGCAAAGGAGATCATTCAAGCCTTATACATTTTTGGGCCTTTTTTGAAAGTGCGCGCCAACAAAAAAAAATGGTACATATTTGTAGAACTAACCATTTGGAACAATAGTTAATATGGCGCAAAAGTTGTAGGATCCAAGATATAGAAGTTATACAAGTTTCGAGATTCATCATTTTGGTACTTTATTTTTTTCTGAAAGTGCCAGAAAACATAAAATAATGATTGATATTGCTAGAGTTAAGCTTCTCAAGCAAATCATAGCCATAATCTGTTAGAAACCTGTCGTTTTTATGTAATACTAGCGAACCCGACAGACGTTGTTCCGCCAAGTATCTAAACGCATGCAACACATTTCTTGATGATTTTATTATTTTTCTAACCTAATATGTATATCGGGGTGCCATTTTTATATATTAAAAAAATGGGCCTAGAAGCACTTTTAACTGATTTTGTACCATTTCATGTCGGATTTGATCATATGACGCGAGAGCAAGTGGCGCAGAGCATGTACATAACCGCATGACTCCAGATTTTCTATAGCATCTCTAAAACCACGGTCTAATATAAAAATGTCACCAGGCCGGTAAAACCAGTGAAATACATTATTCAGTGCATCATTTAAAATCTGGGCATCGGAGGTTGTTGCAGCGATGGGCCATCTACCGCTATTATGGTTCCATTGCAACAAATATTTAAAAAAGGCTTTAAAAGATTTCGAAAGTTATGGTTGCTATAAGATTTTCTTTGAAAAAAGAAATTAGTGCTCTTCCGTAAATATATGTAAGTGCCATCAAGTATAGAGATGGCCTTTCTTTCTTCAATCGGACTATCAGGATTACCAAATTATCGCTCTGGCACAATGAGGTTCCTCTGCGCCACTTGCTCTCGCGTCATATGATCAAATCTGACATGAAATGGTACAAAATCAGTTAAAAGTGCTTCTAGGCCCATTTTTTTAATATATATAAATATGGCACCCCGATATACATATTAGGTTAGACAAATAATAAAATCATCAAGAAATGTGTTGCATGCGTTCAGATACTTGGCGGAACAACGTCTGTCGGGTTCGCTAGTATTACATAAAAACGACAGGTTTCTAACAGATTATGGCTATGATTTGCTTGAGAAGCTTAACTCTAGCAATATCAATCATTATTTTATGTTTCCTGGCATTTTCAGAAAAAAATAAAGTACCAAAATGATGAATCTTGAAACTTGTATAACTTCTATATCTTGGATCCTACAACTTTTGCGCCATGTTAACTATTGTTTCAAATGGTTAGTTCTACAAATATGTACCATTTTTTTTTGTTGGCCGGCACTTTTAAAAAAGACCCAAAAAGAATGATCTCCTTTGTCCTTATGTGGGCCTCTAATTCTCAACTCAAAAGCAATCTGCTCACATAATAAGTATTAATGATGACTACATAAATATAGGAAAATTTTGGTAAATGAATCAATCTTTACAATTAAACTAGATAATTTTATAACTAGAAACTGGTAGTTGGTAAGTGAGATCTAGTTACCTCAGGTCTATGGTTTGTTATTTCTCTGTGGTCTTTGTTCATTTCTTTTGTTATTTTACAGCTGGACAGTCTAAAATGTGCCGTTGGTCCGTTGGGGAGATGTATGAGCAGGAAACCGTTGGGCTGCTTCTGATTCTCATTAACTATTATCACATCCGTCATATCTTCTCTTATCGCTGATTGAACTATTCTCTTAACTGATGACCTGGAAATATAATATTATAATCATTAATATTGCACAAAACATCATATTCACAGTTGAAAGAAGACCACATCATCAAACATTTACTTGCAAAAATACTGTAAAACCTTGAATTAATAAAACTCAAATTTTTGAGATAATGCGTTTTCATTATTTTATTTGGACATGTTCATGTATACTAATATTAATAATTATTTTAATATCAAAGTTTCTCCTGAGTACATTTTTTAACTTTGAATAATATAACTACTTGGACTATATTTAAAATAATCAAGTGAAGTTTGACTTGAGTAGTATTATGTATCTAAATAATAAATAAAACTTGCATGTTCAAGTATGAAATACAAATGAAAAACTAAGCGTTACATACATCTAGAAACAAATCTTTACATAAGTAGATATAGACCTAGTCTATATGTACTATTATTATAAAGAGAAAAGGTTTGATTTTTTGTTTGTTTTTCTCGAATAGGCTCCGATACTACTGTACCGATTTGAAAAATTCTTTCACCGTTGGAAAACTTACTATCCTGTAGTGACATAGGGTATATTTAGTTTTAAAAAAAATAGGGTTCCTTACCAAAACTCCGATAATGTAAAAAATAACCAAAAAACTTTCATTAACCGCTAACACTGCGAAAACGATTGAAGATATAACAAAATGATGTACTACAATTTTGTACAACTATCATTATCTACAAAGAACATCCTGACATCATATCTCTAACTATTATAGTTTTGTCACAATAATCCATTTTTTAAATAAAAAAAATAATTAAAATACTGCTAGAAAAGGCTCTTTATTTGTACCTTAGTATTAATCCTGTTCCAAATTAATGATTTATTATTGAAGAATATTTCAAAACTTTTATATAATTTTTTAAATTATTAGATTTTGACATTCCATTCAAAAGATATCACGAGTTAAATATTTTGAAAAATATCCGCTCAGCGGCTAACTATGCGTTGTAGAGTTGTAGGCGTCACTCGGGCACGGAGGTACGGCACGGGGTTAAGATTACGAAATTATATCTAAGAATTAAATTCCCTATATTTTTTTATTTGATGCAAAAAATTGTGAATATTTGTGTAAATGTCATGTTTAACGCTATCATACTATATGTATAATAACATCCATTACAACATTCACAGTTTTTCTGTAATGTTTTTAGCATCAGCACTGCATGGTGCACCCGTGCGAACCTGGGCCAGGTAACTAGCATATGATATATACAAATATGGGAAACATAATATTTAAGTATTACCTTTGCCTATATCTAGATAATGAATTAGGAATAATTTTCATCAGTTCTCTGCCAAACGTCCTTGTTTTAGTGTGTGGGTTATCTGAATATGTGATCAATACTTTTGGCTCGTACGAGTTTTCAAAGTATGTTGCCATTTCATCAAGTTCCATGTCTTTTTGTGCCTGGAATATGTTAGGTATACATTATTATTTATTTTATCTTATGCTATGGCTTAATTTGCACAGGAATTATTGCATATTTTGCTGATATCAATGTTTTTTGAGTAATGGATTGAATTATAAGCCTAGGTATAGTCCGTTATACTTAAGCTGAGCTTTGCATTTGTGTGAGTGAAAGTAAAAGTAGAGTTAGACAAAAACATTTTAGAATTAAATTTTATTATATTTTAAATAGATACATAACATAAGTGCTATAAAATAAGCAAAACTTGTAAAAACCCAAATTTAAATATTATGAATCTTGTGGAAAAAAAATTATTGATTAATAAGAATTTTGAAAAATCTATACAAATTCTTATTCACTTGACATTGCGTTTACAACATTTGATATTGCTACTAGTACAAAGGGTGAAGTGAGGAAGGTGCGAGGCGGAGTAAAAGCAGAATAAACCGGGTCAAAACTAGAAAAGAACGTGGTATTTAAAAATTTGACATCACACCTACACTATCCGTGTACACTCACACAAAGGTAAAGCGCAGCTTAAATCAAATGCACTATACTGCATGGAGAAAGTACGAAGGACTTAGGTATAAATAAATTAATGTAATTTTTCTAAACAGTTGTAAAGGTGTAATAGTTCTAAGTTAATATATGATATGTACCTCTTCTTGTTCCTCAGTGTCTGCATTTGCTGGCATAGTTTCATCTTTTTCCCTGAGAGATTCCAAAGTGTGTGGTACTTTTTTCGGAACATCGTCACCCTCCTGCTTTTTTTCGAGTTTTCTCCTGCAAATAGATATTTTTAATAAGTACATAAACTACAGCTGCGTGCAAAAGTATTAGGCACCCCTATTGTTAGTCACTATCTCATTAGATAGCGGTCAAGTGTGTGTTTTATGATTTAGCTATTGTATTAGCGGCAATTTTTAACCAAATTAAGATAAAAGAAAATATTTATGACATCCAGGTGTGCTCCTAAGCGGTGTTTCTTCGAATTTGCTTTTTTTGCGTTTCGGGTTATAGTGTGTTATAAGTGCTTGCAGTGAACATACACGTCTTCTACGCAACTATTCCTATCACAATTCTAAAGACTAACATTTAACGTGTTAATCATGCCAAAAAAATCTGAACTTAGTGGTGAACAGCGTCTAAGAATTAAGATTTTACATGAACAAGGCATGTCTCAGGTTAACATAGCTCGAGAAGTGAAGTGCTCGCGATGTGCAGTTCAATGTGCTATAAATAGCTTCAAAGAGACTGGCACCCATGAAAATAGACCAAGAACAGGCAGAAGAAAAGTTACTACTGAACGGGAAGATCGATTGTTGATTAGGCAGTCTTTACAAAACAGGAAAAAAACTGCTTTAGAGCTCGCTGTAGCATTATCTTAGGCAAAAGGCAGCTCAGTGAGTGTTTATACTGTGAGAAGAAGACTTCTTAGAGCTGGATTAAAAGGATGTAAAGCAAGGAAGAAGCCGTGGCTGTCAGAACACAATAAGAAAAATCGGTCGGAGTGGGCACTCAAACATAGAGATTGGTCAGTGAAAGATTGGTCCAACATACTGTGGTCAGACAAATCTAACTTTGAGGTATTGTTATTTATTTTATGTACAATATTAAAACACATAAATGTTTTTAAAATAACATACTGCAAGAAAAATAATAACTTTGAAAATAAATGGGTTTTTTTAGTTTGGCATAGGTGTTTGGAACACCCGGTGTGACTTATGTTAGGCGAAGGGTTGGCGAAGAATACAACCCAGAATGTGTGGTTCCCACTGTTAAGCATGGTGGAGGCTCAATAATGATCTGGGGCTGCATGGCTGCCGACGGAGTGGGCGAAATGGTGTTGTGTGAGGGACGAATGAATAGTGTTAAATACAATATACAATAATACACTGAAGTTCTGGAAACAGCACTAGCAACATCGATAATGCAAATTTTCAGTGATACAAACACCGATGGCCTGAAATTTCAGCAAGACAACGCCACTTGCCACAAGATTAGCAATAAACAAGCTCTATTGGCCGCGTTACAGCAGGAATGGACAAATATATCAAGAGAAGAATGTTTCAGGCTGGTAGAGTCAATGCCAAAAAGAGTGGCTGCGGTTATTAAGTCAAAAGGTGGACCTACAAAATATTAATTATTTTCTTTAAAAAAAACATTGTAATCATAAATGCAGTTTTATTTACACTCGCTATGCTAAAACACCCTAAAACTTGTCTTACTGTAGGGTGCCTAATACTTTTGCCCGTGGCTGTATAAATACAACAACATAACCTAAGCTTTATACTTACTTTTTCTTATCCTTTCCGCGAGCCATTTTGTGTTAAATTTACTCAATTGATTCTACAATCAATACTAAATGTAACCAAACCTTAATTCTCAAAATTTTTCACGAACTATAATTATTAATTTAATACAACAAATACACAAAACACATGCCTTTCGGTAACGTTCTACTTGACATAGCGCAAAATGTCAAATTCAAATCTGTCAGAATGGCATGGAGCTTTTTTTTTTGGTTATGATCGTTCCGTTCAGAACAGGCTAAGAGAACAAAGCTCATACAGCCATGTCTTTTGTATTTTGTATCTTTAATTATTTTTAAATGTCCTCTTTTATTCTTAACTTAAGTTTTTATATCAGGCCTAAGCCATGTCTTCTTTGATTTTCTTCTTAAATCATTTTTTTTTCATTTTAAGGCCGAAGCCATGTCTTCTTTTAATTTTTCTTCTTAAAACATTTTTTAATTATAAGGCTGAGGCCATATCTTTATTAATTTTTTTTGTCAAGTACTTGTTTTTTTTTACATTCCGTCTTTTTTCAATGTCAAGTCCTTGTAATGTCATTTTTAGTACAATTGATTTGTCACAATCGATAAAACTGTCAAATTCTGAAAAATTGCTGAAATAGCTGAAAAACAAATATCTTAAACAAAACGAAAAAATTAGTATTATATACATATGTACATATAACAATTAGATTTCATTTATAGTAGAAACACTAAAGCCATAAACTGGCAAGAAGCATTCTTGAATGCTTAGTATTTGCTGAAGGGAGCGCGGGATATCTTCAGCAGTTTTATAAATACTTAAAAGTTGGTCTACAAGTAAGAAGGACCATCCTTTGAATACTAAACTGTAGACAATCAAAAAATGTTCGAGGGGGTTCATCAGCACTATTGCAATATCTACAAATTGAAGAGTCAAAAACATCGATCCTAAAAAGGTGAGCACCAAAACTACAATGTCCCAGACGCAAACGACAGATTGTGGTATAATACTTTCTATGGCTATAGTCACTACCCCGGGTAAACCAGGGGGAAGAGACGTTTTTCTTTATTGTAGCGAACCATTTTCCTTTTACCATTACCACCTGATCCCATAAGTTGTAAAATTCTTTTTGTAACTTGAGTTTGAAGAGGGATAGAGCATCTGAATAAGTAATTGGGAAATTTAAAATAACATATCAATTCTTTCAATATAACCCAGAGTAACGAGACCATACCATGCTAGAAAAAATATTGTGTTTATTAAAAAATTGTTTTGTTTCAGAAAAACAGTGAAACACATATGAATTAATATTGGCAGTCCTGTTAATAGTGTCCCGCAGGTTAACAAGAAGTGGATGGTTACTAATGGAGAGCAACCTTGCAAAAAATTTTGATTGTAAGTATTTAAACTTAAGTGCTAATATACCTCATATTACATTCCACCTGCATTGACACTATGGAAGTAGTTCACATGGCACCCATTATAATACGCAAACATTTATTTTGTATCTTTTCTAATTTATCTACTATAGTTCTTACCCCTGCAAAACAAAAAAAAGCATATTCAAAATGACTTGTTACTAATGATTTATACAATTTTAATAGAATCCTTGGATCAGCAGACCAATATGTGCTTGTTAAAGATTTCAAAACATTACAAGCATTTAAAGCTCGAGATTCTAGAGTTTCAGCATACTTATTCCATCTAGAAATGTTTGTAAAAATAACACCTAAAAACTTTACAGAGCTCTCTACAGACATTACATTATTATTGAACAAAATATTTACATTCCTATTTTTAATTCCATTTTTTCAAAAGACAACAACTTTACTTTTTTCATTGCTAACCTCCAGCCCAAGGCTATCAAAATAGTTCTTTAGTCTTTGGACAGCAACATTGAGGACTGATTGTACATGTAAAAAATTAGTATTAGAGCAATAAACAATTAAATCATCTGCAAACTGCAGATTAGAAGCTTCACACCCCAGAGTTAAATTTAGCTGGCTCAATACACCACCCTGTGATACACCCCTACAAGAATATCTTGGACCAAATAACTGATTGTTAACTTTAACAAACACCTTTCTGTAGTTCAAAAAATTAAAAATCCAATTTACAACTTTTCCAGGTGCCTGTAGTAATAATAATATTGAGGATAATTTGTTCAGATCTACATTATTGAAAGCCCCTACAATGTCAAGAAAAACACCAACTAGTACTTTATTCTCGGAACGAGCATCGTGGATATCAGGACAGAAATGACATAGACTCTCACAAGCAGAATGGCCACAACGAAAGATAAACTGATTGTAAGGTAAAAGATTATTACTTTCTATGTGAAAAATTAATCTCTATTTTATTAATTGTTCAAAAATTTTTGCAACACATGAACTCAGTGTAATAGGACGATAAGAATCAGCCAAATTAAAGTCTTTGCCAGGTTTTAATATTGGTACCAAACAGTCAGTTTTCCAATCCTCTGGGATAATAGAAGACGACCTTAAATTATTTAATAAATTCAAAAAAATAGATAGAGTTTGAACATATAAAAGTTTAAACATTCTGTAGAAAAGCCAATCCAGGCCACATGATGAATCTTTTCTTGAGGCTAAAGCAGATTTTAACTCTTGCATAGTAAAACAACCAATCATGTATGAATTATCACTATTTCCTCCAAGAACATTATCTATACTTATCTGTTGTGAAACAGTATCCGGTGTATATTTATATAAAAATGTTTGAGCCCAATTGAGGTCAGAAAATAAGTTAGAACTTTTTTGAATTTTCTTATTTTAGTCCAAATGCGATTTATAGATGTCAAACGATTTATTGATGAGCAGAATTCAGACCAACTTTTACAACGTTCTTCTTTTAAAGTGCGTTTTTTAAAGGCTTGTGCGCGTTTGAAATTAATGTAGGCGTTCTTGCAATCTTCTACTACTTTTGAACATTTATCATTCCACCAAGGTACTTGGCACCTTTTTCTAGGACGGTTATTATTACTATCAGTTGTATTATGGTTTAAGCTGGGCCCGGAGAATTTGATTGCCAATAGAATATTTGCACAAAACTCTCTGTATGAGTCAAGGAGATCACTACTGTCAACTTTAAAGTTTATTAACATTTTATTAACAATTTGTTCAGACCTATCCCAATTTACTAATTTCAGATTGCTGTGAAAAGGAATGTTGTTCAAGGAAATAGAGGGCTCATGTTGATCTCTTACGAGAGTGAATTTTGTTATAGTTGGCAGATGATAACTGCTTAAAGGGTCCTGATGAATTTGCCAGTCACAAAAAAGAAATAATGAAGAAGACACCATAGTTAAATCTAGAAAGAAATGCATTTATGTTTCAGTTTAATAACAATGACTACAATTTGTAATGAATCATCATTAAAAGTATCTAGTTTAGAGAAATGTATACCATTTTTAATTAATATTGCTACACCATTATGATCATTACCGCAGTCATTACTAATAAATTAAATTGAATGTTAGGCTTGAGCCAAGTTTCTGAAATAAGAGCTATATGTATATTATTTTGGTATAAAAAAATTTGAAACTCAAGTCTGTTTAACTTAACAGACTTTGAGTGTTCCACTGTAAAATATTTAAGATTTGGTGGTTGAATGTGACGATTTGCTATTTTTATTCTGGATGTTTTCTTTGATAGTTGAGCTAATAAATTGTGAACTAATACTTATATTTTGAGTTTTATTTAAAGTTATAACTTTTACTATAGATTCTATTAATAGGGTCATTGCTTCAGAATTTGATAGTATTGCTTGGATTACTTCTTGGGTATTAAATTTTTTATTAAGGGAGGGAAAATTTAATGAATCTTTTAACGTGTCAGCATATGACTTGGGTTTACTGTTTGCGATTTTCTTTTGCCTTATAGGGCACTGGCTAGAGATGGCAATGTGATTGCCATTACAATTAATGCACTTAGCTTTTTCAATGTTAACCTTGCATTCTTTGAAAGAATGCCTCTCTGTGCATATGGAGCATCGCGGTGAATTTTTACAAAACTTAGCCAGATGATCATAGCGTAAACATTTAAAACACTGTTTTATATGTGGGACATATGTGGAGACAGGCAGGCGCCACATCTTAATGTGAACATAGTCCGGCAGTGACGTAGCAGACGTAAAAGTTATTACTACGCTCTGAGTAGGTTGCAGTGTGAAGGTGTTATTTTCTCCTTTTACTTTACGCATTATACGCCGGACAGAAATGACTTTTTTTTGTTGTTGATATTGCTTTATATATTTTGTGAGTGGGTAGATGAGTGGGAACCGAAGAAATAACTCCCGATAGTTCGGTGGCCCCTGCTGGTATTGAAGCTTTAAGTCGTTGTTCCTTTAGATATGTAGTATTTTCTAAAAAGGCATTTGCCAAATTCGCACGTTGGAAAACAACACCGACCTTATATTCATTTATTTTTTTAAAATATTGTATACCTTTCACAGAGCGTATAAAACTAGTACTAAGCGACATCATGTCCCTATTACCGAGTGGGACATCATTAGTACTTTCGACAAATACTATGAATGTCTTGGCTTCCGTATCTTCAGGGTATCGCCGACAATAATCAGCGACCCTAAAGGGAGCGAAGGCATTTGCATCCTACAGTACTGGCGAATCCTCGCAATGGGAATCGCTGCTTGTGCTGAAAGGCAAGAACTCACCCGAATCCTTCTTTTTACGTTTTTTCACCATCTCTCCATATAAACACTTACATACAGACTAAGTTTTACTTCTTTACAATAAACTAAACAAAAGTTATAGTTTAAAACTATTTAAAATAATTAAAATTTTCAAAAAGCCCGCGTCAACGTTTCAATTCCCGCGCTCTTCCGAACAATAGTCATGGCATGGAGCAGCCATTTTGAAATTTTATATTTTTGAAAAAAAAATCAAAAATACTTTATTTAAATTAAATATTCGTTAATTTACTATTTAAATTAAATATTCGTCTATAGTTTTACATAACAAATACTTTAAAATCTCATTAATACTCTTTAAAATAATATCTGCGGAGTCTAGTGGTTAGAATTTTACTTACATTAGTTAATTTATTACATTAAGAAAATAACGTTGCTTGTATTTTTTACCATTGATTAATTTAAATTGCATTTTAAACTGGTTGTCTGCTAAACAGAAAAAAAGTTATAACAATATTAGGTATTATATTTTATTTGAATTCTATTTTTACTTGTATCCTGTTACTGATAATTTCTTACATGTACAAACTAGACAAAATGGAGGCATTGATATTTATCTTTGAAACTGTTATTGCAATCATAGCCAATGTGTGACGACACACTTTCAATTTTATGTCATGGTCTTTAAGTCCCTGTTATTTTATTCAAATAAGGTATCATTTACACTCTGACAATTATTAATTTTACTTCTGGATTCTTTAATTCAATTTAATTAAAGGAATACCATTATATCTATTCCTAGCATTTTATAATTATAATCTACATATTATAATTATAATCTACATATTAAATACACTATATTAAAATGTATTGTTTGTTATACATGGTTATAAATCGTTATATTAGTAATTTAAACTGATGTCGTTATGTACTATCATCTCAATAATGATTATAACACACGTGCTAGTTGCCAGTTGTAAACAGCTAGTGTAGTGCTAGTTGTAAACAGCTGACAGTCGTCAAATAATTATCCTCCGCCTGCAATAATTACGTGTCTTTGTAAACATAATTTATAGATCTATGTACACATATGTGTGTACATGCACATACTATATATATCTATGTACACATCTTTCCAATGTCTTTGTTTGCTAATAAATGTTAATTATACTGAGATTGCTATATACATCGTTTTTAACTCAAAAAAAACACAGTACTGCAATAGACATCTTTAATTTTTATTTGCAAGGGCAGAGTCATTTTTATTTATGAATGCAGAGTATTTTTTTATTATTAATGTAAAAAAATAAGTAATAAGTACATAATTATTGAATGAAATGTAACATAAATATTTTTTTTTTTAGCATTACATCATACCGGTATGCTATTTTCATAACAATGTTTTCGATATATACACGTTAGCATCTGCTGTGTATAGTCAGTTGGTATCAAATAACATCTCAGGGTAACGTTACTAGTACTTGAATACAGATGATATCAATCTTAATATAATTTATACCATATGTGTTATTATATGAAGTGTTTCAGGCTTTAACAGAATGTTTCATGTCAACTTGTTGAAACTATGCTTTTCGAAGTTTATACAGTACGCAATATATAATTATAATTTTAATTGGTCTTCCCATGATCAAAATTTATAACAATAAATTGTGTAGTATCATCCCACATTATAGTTTTATTCAAATATGCACTCAAAATACTATATCTTAATTCTAATTTAATTATTAATTTAAATAATAAATATCTTGTTCTTTTGTCTTTTAGTTTAATATATGTCAATTCCAATGTGATAATGAGTTGTTTGTTTATATTTATTTTTAAACTATCTCATTCATTGACAGTTGACAACCCTTTAAGAGTTAAGTGTAAGTTTAGTCAGCGGGCGAGTGCTGTAGTTTCGTGACTATAATATAAATAAAATACGTCGATGGTAACTAATGCATATTTTGTTTTGTCTATAAAGCAGTGTTTGTTTATAATAATATTCTCTACACAACTGCAACTACATTTTTAAATATATTAAAAAATGTTCTGAGCAAGCGACTTCATATGACCGTTATTAACTATTCATTTGTATATTTTAGGATCTTGCAATTAATAGAGTCACAAAACTAGAATGTTGTTAAAATCTGTTGAAAATTATGACGAACCTTATCAAATGACGTTACGTTTTATGATATTAATGTATTCATATATAACTGGCAGGATCCTAGAGAACGTAAAATAAAAAAATAACACCCAAATAACTTCACACTTTTATTTAATTTATTGTGTAAGGACACCACAAGTACATTAAATGGATAATATATAACAAGTCTCAGAAATGTGTTTTGCTTTGTAAGGTATAGTTTTAAATAACAAGGCAAAAGCGTTTCCTAGAAAGCTATTGTTTGAGTTTCGGCCGCGTCCCTCCTCAAACAATACGATGTATTTGAGAATCGTGTGAAAGTATTTTAAAAACTAGTCAGGTGCCAAGTTGGGTATTGTCTTTTATTACCCGTTTTGTTTTCGGCCGAGCTTTATGTTCGACATGCCTATGTAACATTTTACCTGAAACTGACCGTTGGTTAAGCAGATTTAAAAGAGTTGCTGATTTGAAGAATAAATATTATTATATTTGTTTTAGTATTTTTAATTGAATAAATAGTAGTACATTTGAAATGTTTAATAATATAAAGACAGCAAATTGTTGTATAGACTGAAAAAAGTTAAAATCATTGTTGATAACGACTTCTTGGAAAAGTATATGCATATTCCACAACGCCATCTAACGAATGTTGGTAAAAGGTTTCTACAGAGTACCAACAGATGGCGCTAGTCAAATAACGAACAAAGCATTCGATTTCATAATAGATTTCTTTATGTTCATTCATCATTTCAAGTTCCAGAGCATTGTATATTTTTTGTCCATCGCGATCGAGCTTATCGTAGGGGTTAGACAATAAAACAACACATTAATGTGGAAGTAAATATATTCAGAAAATATCAACCATAATCGACTTGATTTCGTCAGTATAAAAAGTACATATATAGACAAAATGTGTCGCTTAGTAAAAATTACAGTATTGTCGATTATCAATTCCAATAATTGATTTCTTAACACTAATAGTTTATTGCTTTATACAATATCGTATCGAGAATAACATTCGATAACAAAGGCATTACTTAGATATTTACCTAAAACTTAATATTAAGCCAGCCGTCGCCGTCCGCCACTACAGCAATCTCATACACGATAAACACTTAATTTAGATATAATAATAATTACATATCACAATGAGACGTCCCTTCAACTAGTCATTCGCACACGATCAATATAAAATACAAAAACGAAGGCACGAGATCTACTTTATATCATCTACGACTATTGTAAACATGCCCCTAAAAATGTTAGTCTAAATGCAGGCGCGCGGTGGCACTCGTCAGTCGAAGTCGTCCGGGAGAAGGTAATAACTAGCTCAGTTTGATATCAGTAGCGTAAAGAGTTTTAAAGCGGTTCTGGAATACAATGACTGGTTCACGGAGGTCGTTCCCCGCGTCGGCTGTAGCTAAATGGAATGCCGGCGCAGACCCGCTCCCGGCGCTCATTGTGCGCGGGCGCGGCTGCGGCCCGGCAGGTAGCGGCGCCGCGGCCCGGAGCCCGCCCTAACACTCACACGTCACTACCACTACCAATACTCCCCACTGTCCACACGCGCCTGCTACACAGCGTCCTTCCCTTCGAACTTCTTCGCTAAATCACTCATTAACTCCTGGTAAATGAGGGGATCGATGTTCTTTCCGAGCTGGTACAGCACGAACCAGTCACCGATCTGTAGTTTGCGGGCCACGGCCTCCACTTGTTCTTGTGGTGCGAGACGACTGCGCGCACGTAGAAGGTACAAACGTACACGCGGTCCGGCGACGACAATCGCGCGATATACCAGAGAAATACCACTCAAAATTGATAGGATGATGAACCAGAACCACAGAAATACATATATCTTCTCATTGACGATGTTAAGCGGGAGTACGCAGAGCCCATCGAACTTCTGAACAGTTCCCGAAGGACCATATTTGTGGAATGTACATTTAGTAACTTTAGGGAATACACGCGCCATAGGATCTTCTCTCTCTTCTGGTTCCATCTCTGTAAAACGAACGACATCCCGTCCATAAGTCGAAAACTCTCCGTCCAGGAAAAAGTCCATGAAATAAATTTGTCCCACTACGTTTATAAAGTTCAGTACTTCACAGATAAAGAAACGGAACGCGTAAAAGTTTTGTGTGTGGAGGTTAGTATGAAAGTAGTCCACTAGTAACTTTTTTCGGTCCGCTTTACAATCGCTACTGACCACTGGACAATTAAGGTCTAGTACAAGCATTTTAACACGTCCTCCTTCCCATGTTTTCCACAAGTAGCGTGGCACATAGAAGAGAATAGCTTGAAAGAATAGCACAAAGCACACCCACTGGTAGTATTTGTGGTATTTAACTTCGTCTTGTCCGTCGACGTGTGATGCAACGCCGGGTTGAGCGACATCCTTTCCAACGCGTCCGACGAGCCGGTTCGGTATAGTGAACGTAGAGTATATCCAGCAGTAGGTGTCCATAACGGCGTACGGTATCTCATCGACGATGCAGTCTATAGGGTCCCCGATGTACTGCCTCGAGGTGACGAGGAGCGAGAACGTAATCAAAATGATCACAGTCGCTTTGTAGTGTAGACGGAACACATTGTTGTCGATGCACACAGAATCGAGCTTGAGGAGCCCCTTAACGGAGCCAAAAACGTCAAACATGGCGGTTGAGCTTGCCGCGGGCGCGCGGCGCGTCGGTCGCGGTTATCGAAGAGTCGGGCGTGCGCTTCGCCCTCGAATCGAGTGCGGAATGCCAGCGGCTCTCAGCTCTACGTGAGGCTAGCGGGGTGCAGTCCGCTCGGGCCGGGGCGAGGCCCCCCGCACACGCAGTCGCAGTCTCTGTTCGGATCAACGACACAGCACTGACCCTATTTCTACCTTATATTTGTGGCGTCATCTGGTAGCCGCTGCCGCCAGCTACGCATCTCAAAACAAGCATTAAAATTACTCGCGGCATTACGGATGGCGAGCACAATTAAATACGAACTTATCTATCGATTACATCATGTGCTATGTGATATAACACAAGTCCTACATTTTATTGAACGGTTGGTTATTACAGGAGGCACAAACTTTTGTTTTTTACTTACCCACCTATGAAGTGCAGTAATTTCTCAAATTATTTGTTAGAACAAGCAGGTCATCACATTACAATCCACCACAGTTGTTATACTAATATAATGTGTCACAAAAGCAGCTGACACAGATCGACAAAGTTCAAGTTCCACGATATCTTGTATAAACAACGAGTATCAATATCATTAACTTACCATATTATTATGTTAGGTAATATTATATTATCTTCTGTCTCTTAGAACTTACCTTATACTTAAAATATTTTTTTTTACCACTTTACTTGGCAATAAGTTTGTTTATCACAGTAAAGTCCGAAACCAATTTTTTCAAAATTAACGTAACAATCGATTTTGTTCATGTTAAATACGGTTACGTTCTATATAAAAGGTAAGTAAGCAAATAGTTTTAATGTACATACTTACTTATTCTTCTACTTGGCAATTTTCCCAGCTATAGCCAGGGTCTGCCTTACATGTTGTGAATAGTTTTTGGCTGTTTGTTTTTACGACCGGCCGCCTAACATCAACCCTCTTTTTGGGAATCAACATTAATCAGTGATGTCTAAATACTCTTAGAAAGTACATATGATTCGGAAAAATCACATTGGTACTTGCCCGGGCCAGGATCGAACCCGCGCCCTCGGCGACGAGAGGCGGGCCCTTTAACCACTGAGCCACCACTGACTTAAATATTATAGAAACTTATTACATATAGAAAGAAATAAATAATTGTATTTGCTTGGAGGTACAAGCAAAGCCATGAAAAAGAATAAGCTGATATGAATTTCATAAAAGACAGACTTAGTAGGTTTTCTAAAAATCGGTTTCAAAAAAGGCTTACAAAATAAGTGTTGAAGATTTGAGCTTTGAGGTTTCATTTCTATTAGTACCATCACTACCAAAAATTTTTGCTTACTACTGTAAAAAACAAGTTTTTCTTTGAAAATAAAATTCGGGTTTTACATAAGTTGTGAGTAGTTATTTGCGTCTTTTGTAGAAAAGCGATACACTATCAGCTTATCGCGTCGTGTCGATAATGACTGAGTGACTGTATCTAAGTACGAGGCTCTTTTCACGCTTCCTATCAAGGTGTTAATATTTCGACATACCTATCAGTGAATATTAAAATCTAAAACTATCAGAATGTACTCTATAGTCTTTTGGAAAATATTAATTACTTCTGCTGGACAGTTATACTTCTTTTACAAATATTTTAAGGATATTATTCTTAATCAGTTTATCTAGAAAGAATTTAAAGTCATTTGAACACCAATTCTGAACAGCAAAAAGATTCTTTATCCTTCCTGCAGAGAGTTTTAGCTTTTGTTACATAAAAGTATCTTCAAATTTGTTTCTGCTGATACATTGTTCAGATATTTTATAGTAAATAAAATATTTTATACTAGACCCAGGACTAAACATTCAGTCGACCGTAGACTTGAGAGGTTCCCCCTTTTTTAACGTCAACACGTATGTGTTTCCATTTTCCTATGTGATACAGAGAAATTCAAAAGAAATAAGTCATCTTTAATACTTGCTGTTTACACATCAAAAGCGATACAAATTTTTAAATTACACAAATAACGTCTACCTTTTTTCAACTTGAGTTAATGATTATCCATTTGATTTGAATCTTGCTTTGCTTTAAATACCTAATCATAAATATACGAATTTGTCGTATATAAACATGTATGTATTTCAAAAATAATCACTTAAAAATCCTTTTTTGTGATTCTATACCTAATATGCATTTTTTTAAAACTTGAGTATAGGTTTTAAGCTTAAAGTGAGTAAGAAACCTGGACTTATTTTGCAGTAAGGGAATGAAACTTATAGGGAACTTCCCTTTACCGTAGAATACTAAGAAATGCATATAAATCGAGAAGTCTTTATAGCAAAAGAAGGGAAAATAAATGTTTGTGGTTATATGACGAAATAATTACCTAACTGTTCAAAAATACATTTAATTGGTAAACTACCAGCGATAAATTGTTGTCCAAAACCAGATTTTGAAATTATATATTGGTATTAATTTATTGTTTTTCTTCCTGAGACGAATGTTCAGTCATTTCCCGATTTACCTAACAGTTTATCAATTGATTATTGCGTTACTGTAACTAATTTGTTAATGCCTTAAGTGCTTTTAGATATGGAGCCTTCTGATTCAAAGTTAGCATTAAATTGATCTAGGTTTTTCGATGCTATTTAAGAATAAGAAATCGGAGGCTTGATGTAATAAATTATTATTCCAACACGTTCTTTGGAAATAGTCTTACGTAATATTCGTGGTATGTTTCAAGTCAAAAAGTCCTAATGAATCACAATACAGGCTTGTTAGTTAAAAAAGACCTCAAAAATAATGACTAGGCAAAGTTGTACGTGATGAGAATGGGTTTTGGTTGAGTCAGGATCAACAACCGACGTTTATGTAACATTTTATAAACATGACATACACACAAACACACACACACACACACACAGGTTTTGTTATATTCAAACATATTCAGTTCACATTGAAAACAGACTATGTAAATTCTGTGATTTAATACAGTTTAGAACTATCTACAATCATTACTTATAGAAATTTAGAATAAAATGTAGAAGAAATAAAATTAAATTTAACTTAAGAATTAGACAAAGAATATAAAAATTGGTTATTGATAAAATATGTGAAGCATAATATGTTTTAAGCGTACATAGTTGTCTTAATATAATTAAAACATAGTAACAGCTTATGGAAAATGATTTTTACGAACTGTATATATATTGGTACCTCAAAAGCATTAGCTTGTTTCTTTGAAGTTTGTTGGTTTAGTAAGGCGATGTGATACATTTTAATATATTACCATAACCGTTAGAAGCTCGCTCTGTCACATACCTGCCGGAGTACCGAATACTAAATGGGGACAGGTAAGAATTTAGTAGACATTGTACACTGAGAACCCTTTACTGTTCATACATAATACATATGTATTCATTACCAGTATTTAAAAGTCTATGTTAAATTGTATGCGACTGTTTATACTTATTTAACTACTAGCTTTCCGCCCGCAGCTTCGCCTGCGTGGAGTTCGGTTATATCGCGTTTCCAAGAGAATTTTTCTAAAGTCTGGAATAAAAACTATCCTATGTTCTTTGTCAAGGTCAACTGTATCTCTGTACCAAATTTAATTAAAATCAGTTCAGTGGTTTAGGCGTGAATGCGTAACAGACAGACAGACAGAGTTACTTTCGCATTTATAATATTAGTAGGGATTTTAATGATCTAGGCTGAAGAAATGTTTTTAAAACCAGTACATATTATAATGAATCGAGCAGAAAACCAGGCCAGGTTTTAGGTCACTTTGTGGTTTAATTCTTACGGAGATACAAATACAAAGACCAAGCTTTACAAGTATTTTTTATCAGTGATTATTTCAACAAAAAAAAACACTCATCAATTTCTTAACGGTAATTAGACTTTATTCTTATATCGTTATTTATAATATTGTGTATTTTTTTTACTTTATTATTGTGTTTACATCTTACAAGTCTATTTATAGTATAAGAATTAAAGATAATTAGAAATCACGCATCACAATACTCATTTGTAAAATCATTTTCCATGTTAATGATTCACGAAGTGACTCATCGGTGCCCTGTACACGAAATACGTTGGCTTTTCAATTTTCGTCAAGAAACCTAAGTTAGATTTATGAATTAAGTAGTGGAAACGTAAAAACAATAGTAATAGTTTGTAAATTATACAGGATAAACAAATATATCTTCTAGTTTTAACCCATTTCTTACAGAATTTTTGGGTAACTGTCAACTTCATAAGATTTTAATGCATGAAAATAAAAATATCATGTAATTATCAGGTGTAAGGAAACAGATAAGCCATGCCGAATGAATTGCATGCTGTATATCATATCAAAGTGGCCGACATTATTTGTAATCTGTATAAACTCGAACGTCAGAAGTACAGATAAAATAATTGTGACAATATAATACTCTTTTATAGTTCAAGTTGAAATGATACGAGTGAAATAACAAGATGTAGGTGTGTATTGGTTTAGTTTTTAGATTTTTTTTATATTAATATTACAAGGGCACATATACAACTTAGTTACAGTTTGATTGCAGACAGTTCTGTATAGTTCGTTGGCTTGCGTGTCCAGTAGTGATGTCGACGCCTGCTAGCAATCTCCAATATTTTCTTTTCTCTTTCTCTATATATATGTATATAAAATATATATGGTTCGTTTGCGTTCTTCACATATAAATACTGTTCTTCAAAACTCCTGTCCTGTCACAGATAAGAAATACCTAAATATAACTATGACAAATTCAAACACAGATAATTGAGTAATCGTAGTGTGAGGGTTTTATTTATTTTATGATAGACTATATTCATCGTCTAGTTATGTATTAATTAAACTTTTTGTAGATATTATTATGTTTTTATTTGAAAATTGCTGATTATAATAATAATATAAAGATTGCAAACACATGCTCATTGCACACCTGAGACCGCAGCTGCAACCATGATACACGTGAAAGTATATGGACCATGTTCAAATATCAACGACTATTTATATGAAAACT